AATGATAAATAATAATTGGTAAGGTCAGTTCATAGCAATAGTAGCTTCAGTTAAACTCACTTGAGAACTGACTTAAATTCTTGAAAGTGAAACTTTGAAGCTTTGTTTTTTAATCCAAATAATATCAAGACAAGTGCATTGTTGTTGACTTATTTTACTGATATATTGCTCTAGTTTTTTATAATTGATATCCTTATAAATTAAATTTAATATTCTTTCAATAAAACACGTAATTTATGGTTATATATTGTCCTAATTAAACACTTTTAAATTATTTTATATAAAATATTAAAATTTAAGAAAATAATAATTTGTGCATAATAAAAATTAATTTTTTTAGATAATATATAATATTATAAATTTTAAAAATTTGATTTGAATTTAAATTAAATTTTCATACAATCTGACACGAATCGAATTTTTTAATTTAATTAGAATATTTTTTAAATTTTTTACTTTTCGATTTAAAAGTCAATTCAAACTTAATGTATATATAATATTTAAATTTGATCCGAACTAAATAGAACACTTCAATTTTGAATCGATTTTTGATTTTTTTTAAATTTGTTCTCAATACATAACCTCATAGAACATATATACTATTGCTTTCAAGTTTATCACTGTTGAAAAAAACCCTTAGAAATAGAAAGATAAAGAATATATAATTACCAATTTTGAAAGGCTATTAGATAAACAGTCCATACAGTATAGTCTTCTGGGAATTACAATGCCATAAACAGCGGCAGCAAACTGCTACAATGGGGCAGTCCAAGTTTGAAACTTGCAGACCAAAGCTCTCTCTCTTCACTTATTCACATGGTAACCAAGAGCAGATCTCGTCGACAGACATGTGAAAGACTTTTGGAAAATTTTTGTTTTTGGTTTAATTTTAAGTCCAATAGGGTGCGGTGCATGTGCCTCTTCACACACTTCCTACCCATTTCTTTTAACTTAATAATTAATTAGGTCTTTTTAATGTAGTTTTCATAGCAATTATGTCCAAATCATTTCTTTGTAAACTCCACCAAAAATTTCTCATCATAAAATATATGTTTTCACAGCTTAAAATATTAAGATTTTTAAACATTTGAAATTTAATTCCATTAATTAATATATAATTCTTTACTGTTTATCTAAATTGCGACATTCTTTATAAAAAATTAGATTTCAGCATCAATAATATCACCGACCTTGACCATCAAACACACATTCATGCCAAAAATCTTGAAGAATGAGTTGTGTCTTAATCTGCATTTTTTTTTTGAATCATTGTTAAGTGTGAAGTGTTTAAGATTCAAATCTCTGTTTAGTCAAAAGGGTTAGCTGCTTAGCTTTGTAAAAAAAATGTTTAAATAAATATAATTATTTTTTTATTCTTTTTCTTGGACTTATTGCTTGAGGTCTTCTGGGTAGGGTCCTTTCCTAGTGAGTCTATACATAGAGGTGGGCGCGGTTTACATGGCTATATATATGAGGAAGCCCCCTAACCATTTACAGAACCTTTTTGTTTTTGAAGGACTTTGGGAAGCTTCTTAGTAGCATCAATGGCAGTTTTCATGGTGGTTCTTGGGTTGTTTGTCTTGGTTCTCTGTATCTGCACTGCTTTGTTGAGATGGAATGAGATGAGATACAAGAAGAAAGGTCTGCCCCCTGGAACAATGGGTTGGCCAATCTTTGGAGAAACCACTGAGTTTCTCAAGCAAGGACCAAACTTCATGAAAAACCAAAGAGCAAGGTCATTGTTTTACCTCAATATTTCTTACTCTGCTGTTTCCCTTCCCTATATAACAGCTTATTACTTTAAGATTCTCAGCATGTCATGGCTGTTACTTAAAAACAGTTATAGAGGGTTTTCATGTAAATTTAGCTAATACTGCTTCGGTTCAATATAATTGTGTACTTTTTTTTTGGCTAACAAACAGGTATGGCAGTTTTTTCAAATCCCATATACTGGGTTGTCCTACTGTTGTTTCCATGGATCCGGAGCTTAACAGATATATCCTCATGAATGAAGCCAAAGGCCTTGTTCCTGGCTACCCAAAATCCATGCAAGATATCTTGGGAAAATGCAACATTGCAGCAGTCCATGGCTCCACTCATAAGCAAATGAGAGGAGCTTTGCTTGCTCTTATTAGCCCCACTATGATCAGAGAACAACTTTTGCCAAAAATAGACGAATTCATGGGAACTTTCCTCAGTAATTGGGACAACAATGTCATTAACATACAAGAAAAGACCAAAGAGGTTTGTATGACATTCAAATTTTTGAAGTTTTTGCTTATAGTTCCTCTGTTTCTAATCTGCTTTCTGTTCTGATATTTTGTATAGATGGCATTTTTATCATCACTTAAGCAAATTTCCAGGGCTGAATCCAGTTCAATAGCTCAAGAATTCATGCCTGAGTTCTTTAAACTGGTTTTAGGGACCTTATCACTTCCTATTGATCTTCCTGGAACAAATTATCGACGAGGATGTCAGGTAAATTGACAAGCGTTTGAACTCCTAAATCTAGTCTTTCATTGCAGTTTCTGTTTTATCGTCAATGAGTAAGATGTTTCGCTATGATTTTGCAGGCAAGGAAAAATATTCTAAAAATATTAGGACAACTGATAGAAGAGAGAAGAGATTCCGAAGAATCCAACAATGACATGCTTGGCTACTTGATGAGAAAAGATGATAGTAATAGATACAAACTAAGTGATGATGAGATCATTGATCAAATAATTACAATTTTGTATTCTGGTTATGAGACTGTTTCGACTACATCGATGATGGCTGTCAAGTATCTCCATGATCATCCAAGAGTTCTTGAAGAGCTAAGAGTAAGTGAAAAAAAAAAAAACACATTTTCTGGAACTTTGAACTGTGTTTTTCATCTTGGTTTCATGAGTTTTTTTATTTTGATTTATTGTTGACAAAATTTTCAGCAAGAACATATAGCAATTAGAGGAAGGAAAAGGCCAGAGGATCCAATTGAATGGAATGATCTTAAGGCAATGAGGTTTACTAGAGCAGTAAGAAATTTGTATTCTTTTTTAGACAACCCATTTTTTCTAATAACTTATTTTATAAAGAAAAATTCAATGATTTTGCTGTGCTTCGTTTTATGCAGGTGATTTTTGAGACTTCAAGATTAGCTACAATTGTTAATGGAGTTCTGAGGAAAACTACTCAAGAAATGGAACTAAATGGTGAGCATTAAAATATCAAAGTGGGATCCATATTCAAATAATTCTTTTTGGTTTCTTACCTTTCTAAATGAGCTTTATAGGCTCAAGAAGCTGTTTTTGCAGTTAGCAGCTAACGTTTTGAACCCCCAAAAAAAAGTACATGTAAAAAAAGTGTAATAGACATGAGATCATCTTCCCTTGGTGGACCTCACCCTATCATGATTTGCATGGCATACCTACAAATCCAGCTAGACAATTCCCTGAATGATTCATTGTATTATTTTCAATGATTTTTGAAAAGAAAGGAAGCTTATTCAAATGAAAATAAGGTTTTTTTTTTTTTTTTACCAGGTTTAAAATACATTCAGTTTTTCATTAGCCTTTAGATAAGTTGGTTGGCTTTTCTCAACTCCCAGTTCAAGAACAGTAACAGTGAAATTATATATGTCTAATCTGCAATTTTCTGATTTTTTTTTCCCAGGATTTGTGATTCCTAAAGGCTGGAGAATTTATGTTTATACAAGAGAGATAAACTATGATCCTTTTCTATACCCTGATCCATTAGCCTTCAATCCATGGAGATGGGTGGTTCGTAATAGATAATTTCTTTCATTTTGCCCCATTTCCCTGCATTTGATCCATGAAAGAAGTTCCATGTTTAATTTTAAAATGATTCCTGAATACAGGACAAGAGCTTGGAATCTGATAGTTATTTCTTGTTATTTGGAGGAGGAACCAGGCAGTGTCCTGGAAAGGAACTAGGAATTGCAGAAATTTCTACTTTCCTTCACTATTTTGTAACTAGATACAGGTAAGCAAATAACTCCATGTTTAATCTGAAAAAAGAATATGAACTTGGTTTCTTGGAAATTTAACATTTTTTCCATTGTTTTGAGTGCAGATGGGAAGAAATTGGGGGAGAAAAATTGATGAAATTTCCAAGAGTAGAAGCACCAAATGGACTACACATTAGAGTTTTATCATACTGACTAACAGATGTATGTACAGAAGATATATAAATCAAAAGGGAAGAAGAGGATGGAAATTTAATTTGTTCTAACAAGATAGGAAAATGAATGACACTGTTGAGTTTTTCCTATTTCAGGCTATAGAATAGACTGTAAATTCTGAAATTATGCCCTCTATGTTTTTGGGTAGGATGACAGCATGTTATAATCAAACTGACTCAGAGAATTTGCTTATAGAAATATCTTCCATAGATCAAAGCTATAATAATCTCAACAATCCCAGATAAAATTGACCAAACCCATTAATCAAGAAATCTGCCTTTTCTTCTTTCTTGGGTTAGACCTTGTTGGCCTCATGAACTAATTTGGTGGAGTGGCCTATTTGATGGGCTACTTAATTTAAATCTCAACCCTTGTATATATATATATATATATATATATATTTATTTTCAAATTGTGATCTTTTTTATAATAAAAAAATAATTATGAATTATGAATTTATTTTATATAAAAATATAAACTAAAATATTATTCAACCATTGACGCAACACGATCAGATTGGCATTGAAGTATCATCCTGAAACCCACTACTATCAACCATATTAGCTATAAGAAAAAGTAATGATTTCAATGTTATATATGGTGTTGATTCAATGAACACCTAGTTATGATAAAATATGAAATATTTCATCGTGCGAGCAGCTCATTTCTATACATATATATTATTTGATTATCAATAAGATTATTGTATAATGTTATGTATTTATATGTATGGGCATGGCAATGGCGCTCTCACCCCTCGAGAGCTTTTCCATATTGATCATTAAGTCTTAAAATTAGTGTTTCTTTTCATCACATTTCAATGGCTCTCACCATTTTCTCCTTTACCATCTCTTTGGTTCTGTTCTCGTTTATGTTTGTTCTTGCTTCTGCTATTGATTATGGCTATGGTTCAAAACCAGAAGCACTTTACAAACCAAAGTTTGATGTGAAAGAAAAGCCCCTCCCCATTGCTGTTGAAGGCCTTATCCTATGTAAATCAGGCTCGGAAACAATCCCAATTAAAGGTAATCTCTAAGCCTCACTTCCTTTTTTTCCAAGGTTAGGAATACTAACCAGCTTTACAATTTTCATTAATTAAATTTCTGACAAATCACTCATATCAGGAGCATTAATTAATTATGTTTAGTAGATACAAGATTCGAATCCAAAACTGTTTATCCATGAACATTTTTACCCCTGGAGTATGAATAACCTTCCCGTAGAAATTATCGGTACTTCTTATATGATTTCTAAATAGCAACATTGCATCTATGAAATTTGATTTTATACGATACCATTTATTTCATGTTTTCAGATATGATTAACTGATACTTGTTAATTTTGTGTGCAGGAGCTGTTGCTAGAATAACATGTCTAGCAGTTGATGAACATGGTTATGAAAGCACTTTTATCCCCGATACCATTTTAAACTATCAATACAAAGAAATCAACATATAACTCCACGAGACAAGATCCACATTAAGAATTACAAACATACATAAAAACTCCTCCGCACACTCTCATTTTTCTTGTCTCAACAAACAAACCAACCACATGTGCATTTTACAATCAACGCAACCATAGCTCCCCCTATGTGGACCCCCCTCACAAAAAGCATACACACCCATAAACGTAGACCCAAACCTATAGGGTGTCTATTCACAAAAACTATGTAGAATTCACATTAAAAAAATTACTAATCAAATTTTTAGAATTTTCTTTGGATTGTTTTTACATAACTTACCGATTGTTGAATCTTCTTTAAGTCTTTGATCAAGCTATTGATAATCCAACAATCTCTTAATTTATAAATTAACACTTTTCCATCTTAGCAAGCAAAATTAATTATATTTGTAACTTTGTCTCCTACGATCAACTATAACAATCTAATACGCATATGAAAATCCCAAGGAAATTGAAATTAAATTAAAAAAGATTAATGGTGTCTTTCTCGCTATGATTTCATCTACACCTCACAACCCAAACCAATCTCCAATGGCTATTAGAATTTCGTTCTTGATTCGTTTTGCTTATCTCATTCCTAATTTAATTTGTCAAAGAAATTTTACCTTTTTGAATGAGAAAATGGGTTGTAATTGTTTTTCACAGTATTGAATTTGCTTTCTCTTTGGGATGGACGAATTTTTATCAGCCTGATTGGAACTTCTTGCAGGCTTTCTTGTTTCATAATTTCATTGGACAAATGAAATCCCATATGCTCCAAAGAAAGGCTTGTAATTAAACTGAATAAGTTGAGTTAGACAAATAGTGTGCTCAGTTCATTAACAATTTCGTAGGTATGGGCAGCTGTTCCATTATAATTTTCATACTGAATGATCACTTGAGTTAGTTAGCAGCCATCATTCAAGGAAATATTTCAAAGCAATTTTGCTTCTAAAGATCCTGGTTTGGAACTGTGGATTGAATTTGCCTGTATTTTCCAACTTGTTCTTTTAATATTGGTATTTTCCAACTTGTTACAATGGAAAGTGCCCAATTTTTAAGGTGTTTACAAGGAACTTCCTTTCACTAGAGCACACTGCTTCACCGCCAAACCAAGCTTTCATTGAATGGGATTCCATTTTCATCAATTTCACATGGGAATGGAATTTACAATCTACTCAACAGGCATCCGAAGAAAGATAATTTTCCAACAAATTCACAATTCCTTTCAAGTTAAATAACCTATATGATAAATGAAATACCATGGAAACTACTATTCAAACTTATAAATTATAGACATTTGAGCTTAATTCAAGTGATAAAATTGAGGTTAGATGAAGTTTGGATAAAAATTTTAAGTACATATCGTTATATTCTTTATACAAAAGGAAAAACGAGCCTGTAAAATATTATTTTTTGAACAATTTAATCCTATCAAGTCTAAAGATTATATTAATAAAAAAAATTCAAAAGCTATAATCATTATTCTTTTTATTGACTGACTAGAAAGTTGAAAAAGTTGGTGAAAATCACCGAGACAAAGTCTTTTCCTTTTCAAAGAGACTTGAAATTAAAAAAAAAAAAATTTATTATTTATTTGATTCAAATAATTATTTTTAAAACCTTATGATAAAATTTAAATTAAAATTTTAATACTTATAAATTTTTTTATCCTCATACAATTATATTTCGATTTTTTATATAAAAATTAAAAATAAAGTAATAAAAGAGTCTAGCTTTAACTTGAATTTTTAAATAAATACAAAGAATATGACATATGTTATCATCACAAGTAACAAATTAATTTGATTCCTTTAAAACTCAAAAAGTAAGTTTTAAATTCTATGAATGGTTACTACAAAAGACCACAATTAACTCCGAAAATTAAGACAAAAATTTCGACAACTTTACATCCCAACAATTGAACTGAAAAGGTTTTTTTTTTTTTTTTTTTTTTTGTTTTGGTTTTGGTTTTGTCTAACGATATTTGTCCCAAAAAATTTAAAGCACTCCTTTGAGCCTCCAACTTTTCACTCCCTACACATCAAATGATTCAAAAGAAAGCAAGCCCGTCCTTGTCGGTGGAAAATCAAAGATTTGATTTCAACTTATTTTTTTTCCTTTGCTAAAAGCCCTACTCAATGTGATTTTTTTAAAAAAATTTTCTTGTCTTAGTACATGTCACTTGAATTTATGTCATTAAAATATCAAATTGATTCGTGGTTTAGTGACAGGGAAATTTCATAGTTTTGTGAATTTAATTTAATTGATTTTTTAAATATAAATTAAAGAAAGAAATGGGAAAAAAAAAAGTGTTGGTTATGGATTTTAACAAAAATTATATAACCCTGATTTAAAGTTTTAGTAAAAATCATATATGAATTTAATAAAGTTAAAAAATTTATTTTATATTGGATATTAACACGAATTGTGATACGTAATTTTGTATAAAATATTATACGAATATATAAATTATTAATATTTTAAATATACAAATATACGAATTATATCAGATTTAATAGCCAACATTTGTGAGCTGGCCTTCTTCTAGCTTTGTTTAATAAATCAAAATATTTGCAAGTTGAAGCACATGAATTCATATTTTTTTAATTCTTTTATTGGTTATTTTCGTTTATTAAAAAAATCATACCTCTTCTAAATTGCATGTGGACATTTATGCCATTAGTATACTATACTCTTATCTTATTCCACTTGTTATTAGGAAAAGTAAAAAAAAATAAAAATTGGTACATTAAAATTGAAATATAAAAAATATATAAAAACTGTTAATTATGAATGCTTTCCATATTAAAATTCAATTTTTTATGTAAATATTGTTTGACCACTCACAAAGAAATACAATATTAGTTTATTTACATTATTTACAAATAAATATAACTAAATATATGAATGCATAAACGGTATAGATTAATTCTGTCTCATAAATTTGAGGTTAGTAATGATTAAATCTTAATTATGAAAATTAAAATTTTATTATTTTATCAATAAATTATGTAATTATTGACGGACGACATATTTTAAATTAATTTAATTTAAATTAATAATTAAATTATTATTTTATAATTCCAAGTCTCTAGATATTGACCAAACCAAACTCATAATATAAAGGTCAAAGTTAGCCTTACAATGGCTCACATGATAGAAATTAGATGTTTTTTGCCTTTTATAGCAACATATTTCTTCTCTCTCTCTCTCTCTCTCTATATATATATATATATATATATAGAAATTCTAATAATTTTGGATTTTTTTTCAAGTATTTGTTTATATCTCTTTTTTTAAAAAGAAAAACTTTTAAAAATCCTAAGAAAATGCCCTTTCATCAAAACTCTATCTCACCTCTTCCAAAAGGATTATATCTACCAAATTTATGGAAAAAAAATTCCTTAAATGTAAAAATTTTGAAAACATTATATCAAATGCAAAGCACCTAATTTTATTTCTTTTTTATCTTTCATTTAGATTATTTTCTCAAATTTCAGTTTCGATTAAATTTAACAATTCATGTATTTATATCGTGTAAAATATTAAATTTTATATATTTTAATAATATCTTATATAAAAATTACATTTCAAAATTTATATCAAAATTAAAATATAAAATATATTATTTTAATTTTATTAAATTTATATATAATTATTATTAAAATTTTAAATTATATTACATTCGTATTTTATTTTTATATCATATTTATATCATATAACCGCGTTATATTTTAGATTCTCATATCTAATTTTGATGATTGAAAGTTTGAATGCATTGAGTATTGCCATAGTTAAGTGGGAAAATATAAGTAAAAAAGAAGACAGAAAAAGGGCAAAACCTCACCTTTTTCTAATTTTGGATCTTTCAATTTTGACAAAAGCTCAAATCTTAAGCCTAAAACTCAGGCTTTTTGCCCCTTTGAAGAAGTCCTCGTTCCCGGCAAAACTGTTGCACGTCTCTCCTCTCTCTTCCTTCACTGGTGCCGCCTCACTCGTTTCTCACGTGCCTTCACACCATCCCTCCATATATATTCCCATACAAGCTCTCCCTTTCAATCAATCCCAAATCTGTTTTTCCCTCTTTTCTTTTTGTTGTTTCTTCTTTTGACGTGATAATGGTTGAGCCTGCAACAGCAACACAAGCATTTGCACCAGCAGTACCTCTGCTGAAAGATGAGCTTGACATTGTTATACCAACTATAAGAAACTTGGACTTTCTTGAGATGTGGAGGCCTTTTTTTGAGCCTTACCATCTCATCATTGTTCAAGATGGGGATCCTTCAAAGACCATTAAGGTCCCTGCTGGCTTTGACTATGAGCTTTATAACAGGAATGATATTAACAGGATTCTAGGTCCTAAGGCTTCTTGCATTTCCTTCAAGGACTCTGCTTGCCGTTGCTTTGGTTACATGGTATCCAAGAAGAAGTATATTTTTACCATTGATGATGACTGCTTTGTAAGTTTTTTTCTTTTTTTTTTAATTCTATCTTCTTTGTGATGAGTTAGAATCTAGGTTTTTGTTAGTTTACTCAAATTTTGGTTCTTTTACATTGTTTTGTTTGGAAATTTGGATGCTTTTATTAGTTGCTTGATTTTTTGATAACTGGGTTTTTGTTGTTTTGGTCAAAAGTTTGGATCCTTTCGTTGTTTTGACTGGAGATTTGGTGATTTAATTTTCTATGTACTTGTTTGTTTTAAATTTTAATCTTTTTTTTAACCCTCAACATTCTTTTCTATAATTTTAGCAGAATTTGTATAAAAAAATGATAAATCTTATGTATGTTTGAGATTTAATTTGAATGTCTTTTTTTTTTAGTGTGATGTTGCACTATGGAAAGTCTTTTTATTTGCTTCATTAGTTTGCATTTGATTGTAAAATTGACATTCTTTTTCACATGGAATGCACTTCTAGTAGTTTTGCACATGCTGTATCATGGAAATATATGTTTCTAATTGTTAAATAATTGGTTGTATTATGATCTACAGCTATGAGATTCTAAAATCTTGCATGATTGTATCTGTTTGTGTTATTATATATTCCTGCTAAATGATGAATCTGCAATCTAGAAGTTAAGATCTAAACATCTAATTAATTTTTAATTATAATGGTAAATTAAAATTGCTACCAAACTATGGATCTTGTTGATGATTAGGTTGCCAAGGACCCATCTGGGAAAGCAATCAATGCACTTGAGCAGCACATCAAGAACCTGCTATCCCCATCCACTCCCTTCTTCTTCAACACCTTATATGATCCATTTAGAAAGGGTGCTGATTTTGTCCGTGGGTACCCATTCAGTCTCCGTGAGGGTGTTCCAACGGCTATTTCTCATGGCCTGTGGCTAAACATCCCAGACTATGATGCACCAACCCAACTTGTGAAGCCTCTTGAGAGGAACACTAGGTAAGAAACCACCTTTATTCCTTTCCAAAGACCCTTTTTTTTCTTATTGTTAATGATTAATCAATACTTCTCATGATATATCAGGCATGTGGATGCGGTTCTGACAATTCCAAAGGGCACCTTGTTCCCTATGTGTGGTATGAATTTGGCTTTCGACCGCGAGTTGATTGGCCCTGCCATGTACTTTGGACTCATGGGTGATGGTCAGCCAATTGGACGCTATGACGATATGTGGGCAGGCTGGTGCACTAAGGTGCATTGGAGTTAATTATTTGTATCACAATTTTTCTTTATGTTTATAATTCTCTTCAATCAGAACAAGAGATGACAGAAAATTTATTGACTAATCTCCATGACCCGCTTGATGATGTTTAGGTGATATGCGACCATTTGGGGTTGGGAGTCAAAACAGGTCTACCCTACATCTATCACAGCAAAGCAAGCAACCCATTTGTGAACTTAAGGAAGGAGTACAAGGGCATCTTTTGGCAGGAAGAGATCATCCCATTCTTCCAACAAGCTGTCCTCCCAAAAGACTGCACCACTGTTCAAAAATGTTACATTGAACTGGCTAAGCAGGTCAAGGAAAAGCTTAGCAAAGTTGATCCCTACTTTGACAAGCTGGCTGAAGCCATGGTCACATGGATTGAAGCCTGGGATGAGCTCAACCCAACTGGAGCTTCTCTGCGAAATGGCAAAGCAGCTTAGAAAATTTTCAACACGTGCAGATGCCACAGTCACATACATTGAAAGCTTGGAATGTTCTTAACACAGCTGGAGCTCCTATGCCGAATGTCAAAGCAACATAGAAAAATCCATTAGCCACGGACGCAATTATTTCCGTACAGTTAATGAATTTATAGTTTTTCTTTATTGTATCTTTGTTTATTTGTTTTCTTCCTCACTAGTTTGGTGAAGTGCTTCAATTCGCAGATTTTGGTGGGATGTAATGTAATTTTATAAACATTATGTTATGAAGTTACCACAATAAAATGCATTAGTTGGTTGGTTTATCATTGCTTCCATTTTATAATAAAATTTATTCCAATATAGGAATTTTGAATGGAAAAAAAAAGAGCCAAAATTAAGCTGAAGTTTTGCCTAATTGTCCTTATGGGAAATCTCTTCATATAAAATCCTTTTCTATCTTCAAAAAATTGTGCAAGTTGTGGTCCTCCTGTCAATGCATGTTTTTCTGATTAGAATCAGCTGTCATTGCTGCTTGATATTGACTTTTGCTAAGCTTTGAAAGGATGACAAACAAGTCATGGATCTTGTGCAGATGGACGGATATAAGCAAAGCCTAAATGTTGGTATTATCGATTAATCAGTGCAATTCCTCACTAGTATGTTAGAGGTGAAAACATAATTGCTTGCTAAGCTAGAATGAGTAGAGCTAAGTGAAAGGGAGAACAAGCTAGAATCTTATGCAGAAGTTACATGTCTTTCTTGGAAAACCATTGTCCTGATCATTCAATTCTTCTTAAATGGCTTGACAACATAAATTTATGTTCTAGTAGCTTGATTTGAAATGGAATTCAATGTTCAGGAATATATGCCCATACAAAGAAAATAGCTATTCCAAAAATTTTACAAAAATTTTGTGAGATTTTGTAGGTCTTTCAACCAATCCCGCATTACATTGCCTAAAAAAAGTCTAGTTTTATATGAGACTGTGCACTAGATTCTACCCCAAAAAAAAAAATTGTACTTACCAGGTTATAGCCAATAAACAAATAACAAAGGCACACCACGACACCATTAAAGCAAAGTGCTTCCAAATGCACAAAATATCAACAATTTTTAAGATTTCCCAGGCCATACAACAATGTCCATGCATGCATACTCAAAAAAATCAAGTGGAAAACAACATTCAAGAACCATGACATGATTAAACCAAACCCATAAATTACTAGTTATATGTTTAATGCCTCCTATGAACACTTACATTGTAGAAGTCTTCTTGTGAGCGTGTTAAGAGTTCCTTCTCAGAACCTAACTCACATTCCACATATCACCAATTAAAGATACTTTTCATTTGTTTATAAATTCCTAATCTACTCTTAAACCTTCTATCTAATTATATACTTAACTGAATAGAATATTATGAATTTAAGTTTTCTTGAATTTGTAATTTTCAAATACCAATTCCAATAATATATCAACTAATTCAAAGGATAGTCGATACTAAAAATCCATTTTATTGTTACTTCAACTACTTGCATTTTATTATTGGGATTAAGGTCCAATTTGCCACTATACCACGGGTCAATGTTAAACTTTGTCATATTAATGGACTTTGCCCCTGCAGTTTCAATTTTGTCGATTTTTAACCAAAAAAAAGGGCAAGTAATAGATAGAAACAAACGTGAAGAAGCAGATAGAAATAGATAAAATAGAAGGAACGGCATAGTTTGAGAGTAGGCTTTGGGCTATTTCATGGACCCAAGATGAATATCACATCAGGCCCAAGCTAGGAGGTTAACCCAAATGATATCTGCAAATGATTTTTTTTTTGAAAAAAATTCATTTTACTCTTCTTTTAACGAATAATATTACAGAATAATATTTATTCCGTAAAAAAAAAATTTTTTTTAGGAAGCTACTGTTAGTCTATTAGTGAACTTATCCCATTTGTAGATCCAATTTTTCACAAGGCTAAGTGTAGCCTAAATTTTACTTTGGTTGTTCTTCAAAAAAAAAAAAAAACTTTGGTAGGGGAATAAGAATTTACCCTTTCCATTTTGGCTTAAAAAGCAAAATTATCAGCTACAGTTGAAGTTTGATTTTAATTTAATTGATTTATATAATCATTTTAAAAATTTTCTATATTTGTAACCCTTATTATTTTTTAAATTGTGATTTCTTTATACTAAAATAATTATCAACTAATCCGTGAGGTTTAATTTTTCCTTAATATTAATTTTTTAATAATTAGATCCATATCTAGAATCTTGACATTCCATAATGTATATCTCTTCAAGTTTTTTTTTTACAATTAGGAGATAAACACCCAATGGAAAGTTTAGCATGTTAAATATGGAAAAACCCTTGACTAATCTCTTCAAATAATCACCATACATATGGAAGCTTCCTAGAAGATTTTCAAGAAATATCATACTCTAACCCTAGATTTGAACTACTTAAAGGAAACATAATCAAGACAATGAACAAACAATGTATCATATGCCTAACTTAAATTTAATTGCCTACCCACATTGTCTAATTTGAAAGAAAGAAGACCCAATTCTAAAGCTCCTTTAAAAATAAAAGTTTCACATCTTTTTTGACCACTATGAAATCAACCATTTCTCACTGCTTGATCTTAGAACTTTACCAATATGATCTTGAATGTTAGTACATTGACCACAATCTCTTTTGAAACCCTTTTCTTTTTTTTGAATATAATATTAATGAATACTTTCAACATTGTCACACATCAATACCTATATATAGGCATTCTTGATTAAAAAATTGGCTTCGTCCCAATATGCTAAATATATACGGTGTAAAAGGACAGATATAGTATGGATGAGTCATCAAAAGTCGTCCCCTTATTATATATTCAAATACTCCATTACCCTAAATGGCATCCTAGAACCTTCTTTAGCAATAAACAATCTCTAAAGCTTGCAATTATGAATCGCTTATGACTACAAGTGTTCGACAAGGATTGAATCATAAGCCATTTTCAGGGAAACGTCATCAACGCACTAGCTTTTCTCCTGTTCTAGTGATTATTATGCTTTTCATAAAATCTTATTCCGAAATGTTAAATATTTTGAATACGAGATAAAAAAAAAAAAAATTTCATATTTGATATATCAACATGATTTATTATATAATAATTTTTATATTTTAAACGTATTTAATATAAAATAAATACAACGTAAATTTATCTTATTATGACGACAAAACAATGTAGTCGGAGTATGTGTTAAGAAATCACGATGATCGGAGTATTGGCAATGGCAACATGTGAAACGTACAATGACATAGTAGTAGAGTAACCAACACTTGTTGACTTCTAATTGGTTGAAAGAGATTGAGCTGGTAAGCACCTAGACATTTAACACTTGTGCAAAAGTGAAAGGCCACAGGAAGGATCATAAAAGAAGGAATAGCTCAACTAAAAGTTTGATTCAGAGATATCGTCTCAGTGGTAATGAGATCATCATGGTACTAAAAAAAACATGGACTTGACATGTTCGAGCAGGTATAAAAGAGGGTAAGGCTAAGAAGAAATTTGTACCATACAACTTGGAGACAACATTTTTATGAAGTAAAACTAGTAGTCAAAATGATAGGAATGATGGGTTGGGAAGCCCCAAAACAAGAATGGAGGAAAGGTCCATGGACTCCTCAAGAAGATAAGCTGCTAACTGAATATGTTAACTTGAATGGAGAAGGAAGATGGAGTTCAGTAGCTAGGTCTGCAGGTATAATTAAATATTACTTTCTTTTTGCATCATTCACCAGCTAAATTATATTAAGAATATTAAGTGAATTATAGGGTCTTTTCATTGTTTATTTTTGTATCATATCAGGTTTGAATAGGAGTGGCAAGAGTTGCAGGCTTAGGTGGGTGAATTATCTAAGGCCTGGTCTTAAAAGAGGTCATTTAACACCTCAGGAGGAAGGGATCATTATTGAATTGCATGCCCATTGGGGTAACAAGTAATGCTTCTTTTCTGATCTTGCTTTCACTTCTAATTCAAAATATTATATGTTTTTTTATTGTTGATTTGTTGTTTATTATATATGTGAAAACAGATGGTCAACAATCGCTAGATACTTGCCAGGGAGAACGGATAATGAAATAAAGAACTATTGGAGAACACATTTCAAGAAGAAAGAAAGGTCCTCTCAGAAGCAAGAAAAAAGAAAAGCTCAAATTCTAAAGCTAAAACAACAGCAACAGCAGGAGGAGGAGAAGCTGCCACAACCAGATAAAGATCAGACAGAAGCAGGTGGAGATGGCAAAGTAATTAGTCAAGTGGCTGACCTGGCACAAGGGAAGCAGGAGATGGTTTTCATGTACCCAACTATAAGGGATCAATGCTTGCCTGTCATGTCTCAAGAGGCAGCTGCTTCTTGGCTAGATCAGTTTTTGGTAGATGAAGGTTTATGGGCTGGTGGGTTGTGGAACCTGGATGATCAGCAGCCTGGTTATTGCAACAAGGTTGCCATGCAAAATCAAGCAACAACTTATAATTCTTTTGGAGGGGATGCAATCAATTTATACAATGGGGGAGGGTACATTTTCTAAGCATAAATTTGGAACTTTTTACTTTTGAGTGTGTATTTTCCAATTCAAGATCATGAATATCGGCACTTCTAGTGCATTTCCAATTAAGGTTGAATTAATTACTTGTTTTATGAATTATGATCTGTCTAACATTGTTTGCATAAGCAGTTAATAATATGATTATGAAGTTTTTTTTAAGAAAAAATTGCCTTCTTTTTCCTCTCTATACATATAATTGTATAGGCTGGTTTTGTCCCTAAATCAACTCTGTAATAAGTTGATGTCTCCCTTAATTTTGCTTAATATGCTGAAATTTTCTAACAAAATTCTTGAGGAAGACAAATTTAGATAAATTAAGGCAATATCCAATCTAAAATTTATTGATAATAGTAACCAAAAAAAAAAAAAGCATAGGACCATGTAAAGTTAAGCAAACTTAAAATATTAATTAATGCTATGGGATTCCCTAACAAGAAGCATCTAATTAAGAAAAAAGGATAATTAGTAGGGCGCATTGCTTTTAATTAACAAACCTGTTTTGAATTGACAATGAAAAAAATTAGCATATATTAAGCTTGATACAGATTTTCTAGGCAGTACCATTCCTTTTGTAGTCACTGACTAATTATGAGCTGCAATCCCACTTTGGGAAAAAATTGATTATTAAATTTTTTTTATAAATTAATAATTAATTAAGTGGTTTAAGTTAAGTATGTTTTAGTTTTAAATTATAATTAAATGTGGAAGTGGTTCTAATATTTTTAATAGAAGTGTTCAAAGATTGAATTGAGTTGAGCTTAAAACTATTATCTTGAGTTTGTAAGTTTTATCGACAGCTTAATTTATGTGTATATATATATCATCTATTATCTACCAAAGCAATAAAATGAATATTAATATAAAATGAGGTTTCATTCAATTGAAAGGGATAAATCTTGTTTATGTAACCAACAAATCTTACTATGCTAAGTGCCACTTCTAAAATTTTACTAAAAAATTTAATTTTATTAGGTGGTAAAATGCAATTTTTGGTAAAATGATAACATTATTGTGGTTGAGATTTTGATCTCTAATTTTTGGGTGAAAACGAAATTTAGGCTCTATTGGGTCTATCATGATCAATATAGAAAGCCCAAAAAAATTGGCAAAATTTATAATGTTTGGCCCATGCAGGTCTCGAACCTGCGACCTTCGCGTTATTAGCACGACGCTCTAACCAACTGAGCTAATAGGCCATTGATGAAAAATTCATAGCTTATTTAGTATTCTATAATATAACAAGAGACCACAGTTTTTCCGTTATCTCAATGTTCATGTTAATGTGCTAACAGAAGCAGAGCAAAGTCACAAGACAGTATGGAAAACATAACAGCAAGTTGCGGGCTTCGAGGTTGGCACTTTGCTACTATGTGCTACAATTGCTGCGCCAAAAATTGATGCCTTCATTTCTGCTTCACAAAGAAGGTGAAGTTCTAAACCATTTTTTGTTCCGTTCCAAGTTTAAACCTTTTTAGTTTGCAAGTGAAACCCAGATTGTAAAAAGTCTTTAAACGTTGAAAGTTTAACATTTTTGTTGGTGTTTTGAAAGCAATTCTAAGTAAGAAAATGGCACCAGTGTGGAGGTGTTGACCAGTATCTTATTTTCATGTTATACTGGTGGAAAAGTGGCCCTGAAGTACTAGAATAAATCCTTTTTAGGAAGCCTCAACTTGGCTTTCCTCTCCTTGGTGTAGGTATCTTGCTACAGTACTTAGTGCTTCACTTTTGTTAGGAAATGCTTGGATGCCTAGACTGGAATTAGCGTAAAAGTTGCATAATAGCAAGTAAGATGCTCTACGTTTCTGATTTTTCTGAGAATAAACTTAAGCTAGGGATGCTTCAGGGGGAAAAGGTATAAAGATATAGAATCAGTACTGTCCAAAGGCTGGTGCAAGTTTCTAAATTTTAGTGATCAATCTTCTCTTCATTGTCCAAATTTCTTGTATTCGTGACTTGAGTTTTGAGGGAAACTTAATCTGTTGGTTTGCGCTACTTTGAATATTATTAAAATAAAAAATTCAAAATGATTGAGAATTATAATAAATTAAATAGACAACATAATTATATAAATTGAACATTTATTTATTGTATTAACGTAGGTAGTTTGTCTTATATCACGAGCTTTCCAACTATAATTCAACTTATCTAGAAAAAGACAATTGCCAGGATATGTTTCACCTTAACTGCCTTAATCTATATGGTTAGGATCATTTTGACTACTATGTACATGCTGATGTGCAAACTCTTAAAACGTTGCAGTTCCTTGATCTTGTGCAAGAGATGCGGTGATCTAAGGATGATAGCTTGCTCAAGATGCAGAGGAACTGGATTAATCAAAGCAAATGGACCATTCTGTTTTCACCTTATTGATGGTATATACCAGTCCTTAGCGAGTGCTGAATTGAAGGTAAAATCTATTGGATGTACAAAATGTCAAGCTAGAGGTTACTTCAGCTGTCCCCATTGCTCTAACATACCCAAAGTTTGATTCTCAATCATGCCATGGAAGACATTTCTTCTCTTATGCTCGTGCTTAGCATATAATCATGAGCTGTCTTCCTTTAGCCATTGTACTTAAAACTTTTTGTCTTAATACACTTGATATTGTAAACCCACTTGTAGATGGAGATTTGTGACGGTGGCGCCTATTTATACCACTTTCATTTATCAATCTCAATGTTATAATGGATGTTTTGTGAATCATATATCTTCCCACCATTGTACTTAAAGCCTTTTTGTCTGAATGCACTGGATTTCATAATCCCATTTGCAGATATAGATTTTGCGAGAGAGGCTTCTATTTATTCATGTTTCATTATCAATCCCAAAGTTATAGTGGATGTCCTATGAATCCTGGTTGTTTTTGTGTAGAACAAGGAAAGCATGAATAATGGTATTCAAGTCCTCTATAGGAAGCTGGGTAATTATTCCATTTTTCCTAATGCCCGCCCACTCCATTCTGCAGCCACTAGACATTTTAGACCATTTTCTGCATATCTCCACGACTGAGTACTATTTTCATCCCTCACAACCTTTCAAAACAAATGTTCACCATTTTCAAGCAGGCCATGAATAGGTCAACATCACAACATATGGAAAGTTGAAATTCTTAGTGGAGTTAAATAGTAATGTTATGTCATCCATTCTGCTTACAACTAGTACTCTATTGAAACTTTTTTGGGTAGATATGGATGCATTGATCCTTGTGTTGTATAATAGGGGCAAGCTATCTCCAATCCCATAAATCCCATCCCAGGATTCAAAATGGGTTTTCTTTGCTTATCCAGGTGCATATGTGAGCTCAACTGCAACTTTTGTAACATATGCTTTAGTTGCACTGTTATTTTAGCCAAAAATTTCTGTCTGATGGTACCATCAACAAAAATTGTTATAGTCATTACTAGCCCATATCTCTAACAGCTGAGAAACTACCCCTCTAGGAACCTCCAGATATATGATTATGACATGATTATTATCCACTTTAATTTCCAGCAGGCTTTTCCATCACAAATTTATAGCCTCTCTTAGGTTGAATTAGATTCTGATCTTATCCTTAATGTAATGAGACACTGTTGAAGAAGTAACAGAGCACCATCTACCTCATTGATCTGTATTTTAGAAGCTTTCAAGTGATGCTATGGCCATCTTTGACTGAATTCTCTCAAGGTGATGATCATGTCGTGGTTGAGTGGGTATATATGCGTATCAGCCACTAAGGTATGGCCACTACTTTCATTAACACGCATCTGGTGTTGACCTACAACTATACAAGAAAACTTTTATATTCTTGTCAAATTTTCATCATTTTCCCTTTTACTTCTTGTTATTGTATGCTAATAGTCAAACAAAAAAGCATGCTTAATTCTTTATTCATCGGTTGTTTGAATGTATGATGACTTTACAGATCTTGTTGAGTGCTACAAACCTCATCAATTTTTCCCATCTTGAAGATGCTGATTTCGATCTTCAACAGCTTTAGTTTATAGCATTTGCAAATCCCATTCTCAAATAGAAATCAGATTCTGCATAAGTTAGATGAACTAAAAGGGTAACAAGTGGAAGTGACAATACTAAATTTAGCATTGTGTAATTGGGATATCTTTCTCCAGTTTCATCTATGGATCTTTTCCTTGATGATATTCTCTCATTGTGTGACCATAGCTTCAACATGAAGATTGATATTTCCTGTCTTTTATATGCTTTTCTAAGCTGTAAATACTTTGCTTTGGGTTGGAAAAGTCTCAAATAAATATGATTCTAACTTTAGAGACCAAGTATTACTAAAAAAGTTGCAATTCAAATTTCCATTTACCATATATTTTCATGATCAATCACTTTCTATTTGTGTAGAGTTTGGTGAAATTGAGTGCTATGTTGAATGTCAGAACATCGCTATTTCAATATATCTATCTAATTAATTATACAATAGCATTTTAAGCAATAGTCGGATGGTCTGTTGGTAACATTTGGGGTTTTTTTGTATTATCCACGAATTTTTTTTCCGTAGAAAATTTGAGTTATGAAAAGGGAAATTACCATCACATTCCATAAATCCATCTGTTATTTCAGGACTCAACCTATGGTAATGAAACATATCAATTCACTTGTGTCATGAGCAAGACCACAATCATGAAGTGAATCATCAGATGATGGCAATGCCACCTAACAAAAACCAAGCATGGCCATGTATTATCGTAATCTTATATATCAATTGGGAAAGAAAATATGACATTTTTGGTTTCCAAACAAAAAAAAAAAAGGAAAAGTCTTCGTTGCTTTTCTTTTAGTTGCTTTTCTTTTATGGAGTATATGGCCATCAACATCACATGCATATGCTGATTAAATTGACAAATGAGTTTATATATGTGCTTTTTTCAATTTCAACTTCATGAGCAAAAGAAATTTTTTTTTTAATTTTTGATAAGTTGATTTTCCAATGCCAAATGTTTAGCAATCAAACCATTTTTAGGCCACTCATATATAATTATGCGGTATGCATATTTATTAATTAGGTATTGAAAGATCAACATACCTTATTAAATCTTCAAGAAAATATATCTTCTGGCTTGATTGAATGCATAAGCTTGATGCCAATGAAGTTTTGGCTTAGTGGTGAGGAGAAAGTCCTAGAATCTTAAGATTTTAGGTTCAATTCCAATTATATGTGAGTTTGATTATTTAATTGAATTATAGTTTATAAATTGATTATTCAATAATATAATAATTGATTAATCAATTGATTATATGAATATAATATTTGATTATAAGTATAACTTTAAAAAAAAATGCATAAAGTTTATAAACTCTATAAGTGGAAGCCATGATAAATTCTTAGATTAACGTTATTTATTTATTATGTTGGCTCCCTTTAAGAAGCTTTCAATAGATAGAATTCAATAATTCAAAAGTGAAAAGGACACTTTAGCATTTTTATATATTTAAATAAAACCCTAATAAAGTCGCATTAAAAGTTTAAAACTTTTATTGATTAACCAATTCTTTGATTAATTTCATTACAATTCAATTGATGCTTAGCTAAGGATGTCTTGACACATCACTAAATTTGATAATTCGTATATCATATCAACAAAATAAAGATTGAAACATAATTATATTAAATTTATATGTAACTTATTTTATTTCATTTTTATATTGTGTTAACTTTTAATACCTAAAATTATAAGATCTAACTTCAACCTAAATCATTATTAATTAAGGACGGATGACATCCAATTATATAATTATGACTTGTCCAAATCTGATGACAGGTTTGTCCCAATGGAAAGGGATCGTTTCCCTTAATTACCCGGTTATGATAGTGACTTTGAAATCACTTTAAACTTAACATAAAACAAGGTGAAGTAACTTCCTTCATCTCTTGGCTCAATCATTGTACCAACAAGTGGTTGGCTTGAATTATCAACAAAGTTCAAATTTTATCAATGATTTCCTTTTATTAATACATATAATTTTTTTTTTGTTTCTTATAATCATTTCTCTTGTTTTTTTTTTTTTTTCCTACTGCATATTTATGAGATTGCTAAGTTTATTTATGGTAAATCATCCTTTGTTTTAAAACAAAAGCATTTACGAGCTTTTAGTTTGTCATTAATGGCCATACTTGGCAAGAGAACATACTATAATATTAATAACCCCTTTTTTTTTTTATTGCTTTCTTTTAAGAGAAAGAAAGATAAAAAAATAAAAACAAATTAACCATTTTATTTTTTAGTTTCATATATCAATTCTATACATGAAAATATATCATGACGTTAATGCATGCAGCCAAACAAATACTATAATGTTACCTTAAAAAAAAAAAAGTCCTATAATGTTGGAACATTTTAGAATTTTAGACTTAATAATTTTTTCGTATTTTTTAAAAGAAAAGATTGATAAATTTTACAAAATTTAAATTTAATTGCCAATAATAATGGCTGCAAAATCTTTTTATTTTTTTGGTATGGAAAAATATTGAATTTAAAATGATAAATTTTTTTATTATTCATTTTTAACGTTTTATTGACTCGTTAAATTTTTTAAATGATTTGTTAATTCGTTAATTACGTATTGTTTATTGAAATTTTTTTTATAATTAAATATCAATATCTTATTGATAACTCAATATCATTGCATTCACGTCTTTTTATTTGCATACTTTATTTTGGCAAATCTGCCATTGAAGACAAAATTAGAAAATGAAAGACCTTTTTGAAATTTAGTCACCCTAGTAGGAAAAAAAAAGTAAAATCATTAGTAAGGTAAAGAGTTTTAACAAATATAGAGATTTCAACCCAATGAAAAACCGACACGCGTTGATGCAATTTAAGGTTGGTGACAACCGACTGATATTTCTGAAGATAACTTGGACTGATAGAAAATGCTCGATTAGAACAAATGGAGCCTTTTAACCACGCTCTGATTTGTAGCGTGATGTCACCTCTCAAGATTTTACACAAAATAATTTTAAAAGGATTAAAGTAATAAAATTTGAAATTTAAATAAAAAAATATAAATTTGATAAAAAAATATATTTTATATTTAATATATCAACATTAATTATGACATAAAAAATTTATTTTTATGCATATTTATACAAAATAAATATAAATATATAAATTATTATATCTAATATTTTAAGCATATTTTGTCCGTACACTGACACGTGTTGAATTTTTGGATGGTATTTACGCGCTGAAACTGAAAGTAGAGAAAATTTTTACTCAGAGAAACAGTAAAATTTTGCAAAGATTACATGAAACCAGAAAGAAAGAACAATGAACAACCCTAAAGTCTAAAACATAAACCAAAAAGATTTCTTTTTTTATTGAAAACCTTTGAAGGAAGAAAGCTGAAAGTAGAAAAGATCCAAAGTTACAAGGAACCAAATTTCCAAGGAATTTCCTTTCTCTCTCTCTCTCTCTCTCTTATTATTAATGTTTTCTCTTTGTTTTTCACAAATTTGGTTACATTTAGGGACCTGAGTCCCTCGCTTAGCAAAAGAAAGATCATCCTTCAACCAGCAGCAGTTTCCAAGAACAAAGAAGAAGAAACAATTATAGTGATAATCAATACTTGTGGAGGTGTAGTTAGGTTAAATATAGTAAGCAAGGAAATAAAGGAAAAAAAAAGGGTTTAAATTTTTTGGGTTAAGGGGGTAAATAATGGGGAGAGGAAGAGTAGAGTTGAAGAGGATAGAGAACAAGATAAACAGGCAAGTTACATTTGCAAAGAGAAGAAATGGTTTGCTCAAAAAAGCTTATGAATTATCTGTTCTATGTGATGCTGAGGTTGCTCTTATCGTTTTCTCTAACCGTGGCAAGCTTTATGAGTTCTGTAGTACTTCTAGGTATCAATCCTTTGCTCTTTTGTCCATTCTTTTCTTTTTGGCTGTTTTTACATGTGAGATCTGATCTTTTGTTTTGCTTAATTTGTTATTGATTTTGAACTTGGGTTTTTTTATTTTCTTTTTATTTGATCCATGTCTTCTTCGAGTACTTTTTTTTATGAGGACTTGGGAGCTTCATTAGGTTATAATTTTCCTGCTTTTTGCTTGTTTTTATTGTTCTTTTCTGGGTTATGAACATCTGAAACACTCTTTCATCTGATCTTACTTTACTTTTTTTTTAAGCTTATGGTCTATTTTTTTTCTGAATTATATTTATGGTTTTCTTTTGTTTGTTTAATTACCTTTAACTATTTTATTTGTGTTAATCATGATAATTTCAATTAATTATCTAGTTTTTGCTCATTATTTTTTGAGCTTTTTTTCCTGGTGATTAAGCTACAAATTTTCAGCTTAACCAACATAATGAGGATCTGTATCCAATCAATTTTTATAAAAAGAAAAGATGACTCTATTTTCTAGGTTTTCTTCTGAAGTCCTGTTCTAGAAACTGTTTACAAGTTCAGAAGATTGATTTTTTTTTTTTAGCTCAAATGGCTTTAATCCATTTGCCATTCTCTCCCCCTCTTGACTAAGAGTACGATACTTTAGTAATGAACTAAATTTATCTAAAAATCTGCCATTGCAATACATGAATAGAGCTTGGTAAAACAGCTGGTTCTTCATTCCTACTGTTGTTTCTTTGTGAAAAATCTCCTCTGGGCACTTTTTTCAATGAATCAAGTTCCATTTGTCAAAAAAATTGATCGCTAATAAATTGATTGATTCTTCCAGGGATTTGGTATTATATAATTTTCTTTTTATAATGCACCATTTCATTACTCAGAGTTTGTTTGGGTGAAGATTTTGAAGTTTTACTCCCAGTATTTTCTTGTTTTTTCTTCTTAATAGAGGTTTTTTCAGGTTTTGTGAATTAATATTTGTATTAAGAATTAAATGTCTATAACTTTACATCATTAAGCATATATGTGTTTGATTACTATTGCATCTTCATTTCTCTTAAGAAAAAAAAAAAGAAACTATAATATATGCATTGTTTAAGAAATTTTATGTACAAAAGTCATGTATAATATTGTAACATCTTGGTAGTTATTCATCAATTACTTCTTCGTAAGAAGAGTTAAACTCTTTCATTATTATTATATAATTGATCAGTTCTTTTATAACTTGAGTTACTTGTTCTACTACAAGTAGTTTCCAAAGAAGATTTGAACAATGGTGGATTCAAATGTCATGTCCTCAGTAGGGTTACCCTACCCCTGGTCAATAGGATGTAATGTCTTGAAATGTCCTTACGACAATTTTTCAATGGATATTCGTAAGAGAATCGATAGCCTAGTTGATCAGTTTTTTTCTTTTCCTTTTTTTTTTTAATCCTTAGATATACCATAAATCTGTTGGTTCAAGTTTGAATGTAGCATTGGATGCATGACTGTATATGATGTAAAGTTGATATTGTGATAAAGATAATATGCCGCATTACATTATGTATTTCATCAATATAAAAAAGGGATCAAATTTTATATATAATTATCAATACAAAATGATTAACAAAGTGTCAACAGAAACTTCTCTCTTAGGACAACAAAATATATTCTCATACCTTTTTTTGCAAGTTGAAGAAAATTTTATTGAGACAGCTGCAGTCAAAATTACACCCAAGCTATAAGGTCAGAGTTTCTAAATACACACGACTTAGTTAAAGCGTCTGCAAAGCTATTTGCTTCCCTAAGAACATGAAGGAAAGAGATTTTCTTGAAAGAAGTAACCATATTTGTAATTTTGTTGAAAGTGTCATTGAATTTCCATGGCCTTTGCTCTGTGTTATATTCTCATACCTTGATTGTAAGAAGAAACATCAAGTTGTCTAGGGATCTTAAGTCATGAAGAAAGTTTGGTGTTATTGGTACTTGGTAAGAGATAAGAGATGCTAGAAGAAAAGGGTTAATTTTAAAGGGGAGAGAAAATGCATACTACTTTTAACTTGAAAAGGTAGTGCAAGATTTCATGATCGAGTTTTATCAAGTACTTTTATTGTTGTCCCCGACTTGCTTGACTTCAATCTTTCATGCATATTTCTTTTTTTTTTTTTGGTACATAAGATGGACGCAGTCAGATGATAAATGATTCACTTATTTTACAAATAAACATGAAACCTAGTAGTTAGCTAAGAAGTCAGGAGGTAATAGTATGTTCTCTGTGTTTGATACATTCCCATCCCATATATGATTCCTATTTAGGGTTTTAGATTTTAATGAATTGAAAAGTTAGTATACTTTGTTATGATCATTCTGTTTATAATGAAAAACTAAACTCTGAGTAACATTCACTTTCTTTTTAATTTCTAACTAATTATATATGTATATACGCATGTGTGTATGCACGCACACTTATGCACGTATGTTTGTCTACACACGTGCATCTAAATATTCATAACACAAAAAAATCACACATACAATAGAAATGTTGTAAATTTCTTTTCACTTTGGCCTTCCTCCCAGCATGCTCAAGACACTTGATAGATATCAGAAATGCAGTTATGGTGCAGTGGAAGTTAACAAGCCAGCAAAGGAGCTTGAGGTGAGATGGCAATAATTTTAGCATAGCTAAATATTTGCAGTAATTGAATTTGATAGCTTGGTATGTTCATAAACTGTTTGCTAAACCGTGACTTAAAAAATGTAACAACTATAGTTTCTGATAGTCTGTCTGTCCCCTTAGATAATGACTTAGTCTATAGTTTCTCATATTCTTAAACTTTGTTGTAGCAGAGCAGCTATCGGGAGTATCTGAAACTCAAAACTAGATATGAGGCCCTACAACGAACTCAGAGGTAATTACCCTTACAACCATACCTAGCTTTGCATATTTATCTGTGTTTTGAACTATTTTTTCAAGTGAGTTTGAGTAGATGTATGCCTTTTGGAAGAATTGGGCAGGTCTAAATTTTTATGTGCAATTATGTTTGAACCTTGATTCAACAGAAATCTTCTCGGTGAAGACTTGGGCCCCTTGGACTCGAAGGAGCTTGAACAGCTTGAGCGTCAACTAGAGTCATCCTTGAAACATGTCCGCTCCATCAAGGTAACTTGATTTACATGTATCTAACTTTACATCATCCAATTGCCAGTTTGTCAACAATAGCTCCCCCTTCTTTTTCTCTCTTTTGCAATGTCAAGAGGTATGTAATATTCAGAATTTATAAGATAGCTAGGAGTAATTTTATGAAAAAAATTACATTATGTAGTAATTTTAAGTTTCACTTTTCATATTCTAACACTAATTTTATTTCAATTCCCCTTGCAGACTCAATATATGCTTGACCAGCTTTCAGATCTTCAGAATAAGGTATTTGAGTTTTGGAAAAAGCATACTGCTAAAAGCTGCTTGTGCAATTGTAGATTGTACTAACAGGCTACCTGGCTTTAAAATACAGGAACAAATGTTGATGGAAGCTAACAGAGTTTTGTCAATAAAGGTAAAATCATATCTTAAATTACAAAAAGTAACTTGATGTAATGTAAGGTATTAGCTTGTTGTTCATGAACTTTTCACTATCCGATATGCTAGCTTGAATGAACATAACTCAAGGTTTTATAGTCTGTCATAGCTTATAAGATAAAATGACGATAGGGCTTTAAACAAACTTGAACTGAAGTTCCAGAGTTCAAAGTTGGGCCGAATTTTTTTGTAAGATTCACTTGATGTAAGAATACATATACTTTATGAATGTATTTGTCATCTATAGAAAGGACAACCAACACATAACAACTATATGTAAGCAGAATGAGAAGTTACATGATGGAATAGCTTTTGTGGTGAGTATATCCATCATCATTTAATTTGAAAGAGTTTGACAAATTTAAATCTGCCCTAGCTGAAATTCCGTAATATAAATATATAATATACAACTGACACTAGGGCCTAGGCAAGCATTTAGAAGTATCAGTCAAAAGCTGACATCAAGCAGCTTGGATTATTTTGATTACTAATTGCCTCCCTATGGGACTAACAAACCTCCAAATCTCTCTTCCACGGGCAAGTTTCTAGTTTATGTACGGAAAATGTAGCATTTTATTCAAGGTTTGATACCTAATTTTCCCCATATGACCCAAAAGAAAGTGAAGTTATAGATACTATGAAATGTTGAGTCTGACACTTTCTTCAGATCTCAAGTTCTGCTGGCTTTTTGCCCTTCCCATAAGCTTTCTAACATGTTTGACATTGTTGCATACTTTTCTTGTGTTTGGAAGCTTGATGAAATTAGTACAAGAAACCAGTTTCAAGCATCATGGGAAGGTGGTGAGCAAAGTGTAACATTCAGTAACCAGCAGGCTGATCAATCTCAAGGGTTATTTCAGCCATTGGAATGCAATCCAACTTTGCAGATAGGGTAGGAATATTTCAACTCCTTAATTATTTTCACCCTTCTAGTTAATAGGTTACTACCTTGTCTATCCCAATTCTTGAATCTCTTAAACCTATTTCCTGCTGCAGTTATAATCCTGTTGCTTCAGACCAGATGGCTGCTACAACTCATGCTCAGCAAGTCAATGGGTTTATCCCTGGATGGATGCTTTAAATTTTTGCATGAACCAATGTGGTTGATGGTCATAACCTAGTAGCTTACCTACTAGGTAAATGCTTCATGATGTTGGAAATATGTAAATGGTTTCAAAAGCATGCATAATCCTGCATTGACATATATAAAAAACAGCAGTGGCTGAATTTGGTAAGACTATTATATTGAAACCTTGAGCCACAGGCAAGAGACATGTGATCTATTTATGTATGATATTCAAGACTTGACAAAGACGTTATTTATGTTCCTTAATTCCTTGCTTTGATCTTTTCCCATATAAACATACCTGGATTGTGGGATGTGACATCAGACTACAACCCATCAGTTTTGGGCTGAAAAAGGAGTATATCTATAGAATCTAGGCTTGTCAACAGACAATTTGGTCCAAAGGGCTAATGCATGAAACTTTTTCAGTCCAATAGATAGCCCAAAATTTTGACTCAATGACATGTCTTATTTGCTCAAAGTGCTGCATTTGAATATCTTTTCAAAATTTATTTTAAAAAAATTTAAAATAAAACTCTACCCCTAATCCAAGCCTGGCCAAATCTGCATTCTTCCATAGAGCATGCAGCAGCTAGCTCTGTCTCCTAAAGTAAAATCCCACATGCCTTCATGCGAGAAAAGATGTCAGCTTTTCCTTTGATAATTGGACTAATTTTTTTTTTTTATATATAATTGGTGATACCAAATTATTGCTTTAGCTACCAAAAAAAACCTCACCACTTGAGTATGGGCATCATTTGAACAAGTGCTTTTGGGACCCTTTGAATTATTTTGCCCTAAGAATGATTGTTCCTTTCCAACAATTAATACAAATTCAGATACCTTAAGAAACATTTATAAAATAAATCAATCTATCCTATGTTCAGTTAATTATCTTTTAATCTTTAGTATGTTCAAATTGTACTACAATTTTTCACCTAAATTTTCTTTTAAACATATTACTTTTCTATATCTCAAATTGAGTTTTAACCTGACAAATCGAATTATAAAATTATCAAATGTTCATTATATGTCAACTTTTAATGAATATATATGTCAATTTTGTAAATCCGTTTGTAGAACTTAAAAACTTTATCGGTATGCAAGATAATTTTTTTTTTTTAATTTCCAAGTCATATCATTGCCCTTCAATAATTAGGTGCAATTTGGGTTAGGAATATGTCCTTTATGTTAAATAACATTTGGTATATGGTACAAAAAGTTGCTCTTTGAAAAATGACATCCACATAATTGGGACCTTTTTAAAGTTCTAATCTTTATTACTAAGTATATATTTATTTAATATATTGAGGGGGAAGGAATATTTACTCCCCAAGGCCAAATCTTACTCTTAATTTAAATTTTCCTGGTTAATCCGATGGCCCCAAATCTCAATTTATTTTTATAGTCATTTACAAATAAATTAAAAATGCTAAAATCTTTTTATTAAAAATCGTAACTTAAAATTTTAAAAAATACAAATGTTGCGATTTAAATTTAATAAAAAAACACTAACCTTTTAATCAACTCAATCCAAATCAATAAAAAGAAAAGCCTAAAATTTTTTCATGTTACTACTTCAAATTTGAGAACATAATTAATTTGGTTAATGTTTTTGGAATATTGATCAATGATCATGTACTAATAATTAATATCGGGTTGTGAATATTAAGATTGTTAGGGTATTAATTAGAAAAAATAAAGTCAAATAAGTTCATCCACTTTCTTGAAATTTTGAATATAATCTACAATTTGCCTTTTTATATAATTTTACGGTTAGATGATTTCTCAATAGTAACTCCACTCAAAATGGATTCCTAACGATACTCTTTAAAGCAAAAGAAAATTTATTTACTAGCACTGGAAAAAGGGTTCATTATTCTTGTATCAAGTTGTGAGAGAGTGCAAGTATAAGAGATTCAACAACAAATAAAAACATGGATTTGTTCTTAAAGTTGGACATGATGCAGTTATAAAATTAATCAAATGCATAAAATTTATTTGATTCCAACATTGGAAGATCAATCATCCTTTCAACATTCTTTAATTTGCTTGATCCTTTTTTTCCACCCACAATCATGAAAATTTTTCTAGTACCACATCTAAAAGAAACAAGAAGAATCAATCAAAATCACACATTAATTTTCCCATCATATATATGGCCTTAAAATTTTCATGAGGTTGTAAGAGCAATGATCCTTTGAGATTGCAAAATCATGTGAGGAAAGGGAAGGGAAAGGGCAAGTATTTCATCCTTTTTTTTTATCCCTAATTAAGATATCTTGGGATTGTATTTTTTGAATTACTACATGTTTCTTGTGAAATTTGCTTCATGGCATAAGCTTTATAGGATATGTGTTGTCTTTTCTTAAGCAACATTAACGAAAAAATCGCCCTAATCTACTAACAGAGTGGGGTGATATCTAAAGTTTGAACGCGTATTATGTTTTCAAGAAGCATGTCTATTATAAAATTAATAATATTCTCGTGTACGTTGTTCTCGAAAAAACCTAAAGACTTTTTAAAATAGATATAACTAGCTTACCTCTTCGAGGCAAATAATTTTTTTTAAATAAAATTTTGGAAATTCATTAAAAAAAAATGGTCCCCATCTTTAAAGAAGATAAGGATTTGTACTAAATAAATTATAAATTGGTATTTGGGTGGAATGGAGCATATGGTTGTGGTAATATGGTCCCCAAAAGATCTTATGTTATAAGTTATAAAATAGTACAATTCTACAAAAAAATTGAAAGTAATTTAAATTTGGGTTTTGGGACCACTTCCATGAGAACATTAATCAAATTAAATACTAATATAGTACTGTACTAATCTCTCATTAACCAAAAATAATTCATACGTTAATTTCATTCCTGAACCAAGGTTGGACCACAAGAATATATTATGCTTTATATTTTATATATATTCATTTAAATTTGATATCAATTTTTCATGAACTAAGCAAATTGATTTGATACCAGATAAATATAGTATACTCTTTGTTTGAAAAATCAAAATACTATTTATATGTATTATTGAAAGCTCATTTTTTTACATAATAATTTAAGGAATTAATTAATTAATTAATTGATAACAATAACAATTTGGATCAAAAAGTAAATACATAATAATTAAAAAATAACATTTAATAAATATTTGTCCTATGTGTTGGAAGATTGCTAAGCCTAAATATCTATATATTAACTATTTATTATGTAATTCTTATTGGCTGTTGGATTGGGAAAAACTCAGAAAAATAATATAATGCTTCATTAATTATTCATTACATTTGGGAAAATTTTAAAATTTATAAAATGAAGTTAGCATAAGATAATAAAGTTTTTTTTTATATAAAAAAAGTTGTAATTTAAAATAAAAAATTATAAATATTGCAATTTAAATCACAAACTTATTAAATACAATATTTTTTAAAAATAAATACTTGAATCAATTAAATTAAAATTTGAGTTTGTAATTAAAAAAATTTTAATAGCATCAAAGTGCCCATTGGCACTCAATAATTAAGGGACATTACAAAAGAGTTTCCATTTTCATTTTTTCCAGCCATTGTTTTGAGAGTTCTCAGCCAAAAGAAAAAGCCATTGTTTTGAGGCCATCAAGAAATTTATAAAGCAAGACTGCAAGACCTAGCTGCTGCAATTTTCATGAGTCAAGGCATGTTGAGACAATATTAAATCAACTAGGGGGCAAAAAAAAAAAAAAAAGCAGCTTTTTTTTTATTGACAAATAAATATTTATTTATTAATCATTTTTTACATAGGTGTCAGTGTTTACATAATTACATTCTACTAATATTTAGTCTTCCCCTCATTATACAACTAAATAAATATTTACTTATTTTTATTTTCCAATTAAAATAATGCAAAACAAAAAGGATTTTGATATTTTAAAATTATAAAATTTTAAATGAATTGACTGATTTAAAAAAAAAAACCAATTGAAATAAACTTATCCCCTTATCTTAACAAAACAAAATGCATATTAATCTTGATGCATATACTTTGGATATTAATAGAGGAGATGAATTTCTCTTTGTATATTAGGATGTTATTTTTGGGAAAATAAGATTAAAATATAACTTTTATTTTTTAAAATTATGATTGGATTTAAATTGAATTTGTGGTAAAATTAAAGTTTATTGGAATTGGTATCAATTTATCTCTTTCTCTTTTTTTTCTCTACATTTTTTTTTTGTGGTTGTTAGATAAAATATCCATGAAAAATTAATTAGGATCATCAAAGTCAATGGTCAACTAGCCTAACTTATTAAAATCCCTAGCAACTGACAGGCTTAGTTTTCATTTTCCAAGGTATGGAAATTCAACAAGGATCAATCATAGACTTGAAAATATTATTTTTCACCAAATTACAATAAGGTTATTTATAATATTTTAATTTTTTTTAAAAAAAAGAGAATTTGGTTGTGATCAATTGGATGTTTTAAGGCTAAGATTTGAAAGGCCAGGAGAATTATAATTTTTTCTTATAGAAAAGGAACTATTAAAAGGTTTAAATTTAATTTTTTGAATGAAAAATATATGCATTTATCATTAATTAAATATTTGAATTTTTTTATTATGATTTTTAGTCAATAGATTAAACCAAATAAATTTTTATGTGTTCAACTTTATTGTGCTATTTTTTTTTCTCTACCACAACAAAATTATAGGTTTCATATCCTAAAAATCTACACAATAACTCCAAATCTTAACCATCTTGTTATCAATTTTTATTTTAACTAATATAAGAAACCATTATCATTTACTTCCTTTATCTCCTTTTTTTTGTTTCTATTTTTTGGATGTTTCAAAATTATATCTTATTTTATTTTTTAAACATCTAAAACTCTTACTTTTTTATATTTTAAAATTATTTTTTATGATTTTTTTTACTTTTTAATATTAAAAATCATGAAAATTTAGTTTTATAAAAAAATTAAAATTTAATATTAAATATATTAAAATCAAAATATTTTTTTAAATTCCGTGAAAATCAATACATAATAAATATTTTGAGATGGAAAGAATAATTTTTACCAACAAGTTTAATTTTACCTTATGTATTTTCTAATTAGAAATGCATGCAAAATATAATTGATGCAATAGGATTTTTTTTAAAATAAAAAATAGAAATGATAACAATTAGAAATTAATGGGAAACAATCACTCTCTAACTATTTCTTGAACAATTAAAAATTAAAAAAAAATGATTATAAAGATAAGGTAAATTATGAGCATATGTGTATCAACTAAATAGAACCATTTCATATGAGGGAAAAAGAAAGTAAAGATAAATGATTGAAACTTTGAAAGGTAAATGGAAAAATATTGGTGGATTTACATCTTTTTACATTCTTAAAATACAATAATGACAAGAAAATCATTCATGAGCCTGTAAATTAAAATTAATTTTTTTACTTTCAAAATTTAATCTCAACAGACTTATTTTATATATTCTTCTTCCCTTATAATTAACGTGTGAAATCACATGCAATATATATGACACAAAATTTAATATTAATAAATTTATTATTTAATACTAATTTTAAAGTTAAGATTGACAATATAATATATTAATTTAACATGTAATTTATTTACTTATTTAACATCAACTAATAATATAATTAGGGGTAACAAAATAAAAGATATTATTAGATAGTCTTATATTCTCTTAATCAGATATAATTTTAACATACGGATAAATTTATCATTCTTAAAAATTTATCAAGTAAAATAACTTTTTACAAAATTATTTTTATGAAAAATTTAACATTTACTGAATTATTTCAGATAACGTTTTTATCCTCTGTATTATCGCAACTGTATACACAAAGTTAATCCAAGTAATCATATGTAATTTCCATTAAAAACTAAAGTTTTCATAAATGTTAGACTAAAATAATACATAAAAATGAATTTCTAGACAAATGAAGTCAAATATAAGTTAAGATGAAAACATTAAGAAGATATAAAGGATCGGATTAAATTAGACACAAGAAAAAAACCATTTGGTCCCGTCTTTGTTGCCCATCTTATAATCCTAATCCCCTCCAATGTTTATGATCATCATTGGCCTTTGACCTAACATAGTCACATATAAAAACCTAAAAGATGATGAACATATGTAGCTAAGTATGAAGCAACTACGTGGAAGGGAAAGCAAATGCAGATGAATGTCAAACCAAAGAGCAGTAGCAACTGTGGCAAGTGAAAGAGGCGGTGGGGAAGCTGAGAGCTCGAGCTAGCCAGCGCCGTCACCAAAAGCCTTTTTTGGTCCCACACGATATTGCTGACAAAAATCATTGTACGGAACTGATGCTCTTCCCATAACCTGTGGCTCAAAATTAGACACTAACGACTGATCAGCCTTTTTACCAATCATCTTCCGACAACACATGTTAACCTCAAAATCTAGTACTTTCCTGATGAATTCCCCTTATGTTTTCTCTTTTCTCTTTCAATAAAAATGAAATATTTGCCTAAAAATAAATAATTCTAATGGTATTTTCCCTATATATATGGAAACCAAAGCCTTTTGCTTCATAGTACGACAGCAGAAAAATAGAAGCATTTGAACACAAAAATAGAAATACCCATACTTTATACTTTTCCATTTTTATATGAGTTTCATGTTTTCTTTTCCCTTTTGTAAGAACAAAGCAGAACAAAATAATATAAGAACTCGTATCTTTAGGGTTTTCTTGTTTGCTTAGTGAGAAAAAAGTTTGTTTTTTCTAATTTACTTTTTTTTTTTTTTTGAAGAGTGGGAAAAATGGGGAGAGGTAGGGTTCAGCTAAGGCGGATCGAGAACAAGATTAGCAGACAAGTAACTTTTTCAAAGAGAAGAACTGGTTTGCTAAAGAAAGCTCATGAGATCTCAGTGTTATGTGATGCTGATGTAGCTTTGATTGTTTTCTCTAACAAAGGGAAGCTATTTGAGTACTCAAGTGATTCCAGGTTTTCTACAAATATTAATCTTTCAACTACTTTAATTTACTTTTTTTTTTTTTAAATCTCTCAAGTTATTGCATTTTTTTTGCTTTGTTTTCTTATAATATTTCTTTTTCACCTTTTTTTTTTCATTTTTGATTGTTTTTAAGTTCTGGGTCTTTGTTATTTTCCTGCTTGTTGTTCATGGCTGCACTGTTCATGGCTTGCATTATATCAAAATCTTCAGCTTTCTGATATCTTTGATTTGTCCCTCTCATATATACACTCCAAAAGAGCTAAGGCCAACAAAAAGAACAAGAGTAAAAATAGGATTTTTTCTCATGTGTCATTTTAGATGTCTTTTTCTTCTCCCTGACACATTTTCCTTAATTTTAGTATATATGTCTATTCAGTCCTTTGGCAAAGAACTTTGCTTTTCATTTTTGTTTTGTTTGTTTGTTTGTTTTGTTTGTTGAGATTTTATGACAAAAAGTTTTCAGCATTGATCTGTCAGAGAAGTGAAAAATGTTATATGTTGATTTTACCTGTCTAGCTAATAATCTGTGTTTATCTTAATTTTATTAAAATTATTAAGTTGCAGATTATAGCATGGTTTTGCTTAAATTAATGCAAATAACAGTACCCTTTAATTTTGGTTATGAAAAAATTGGTTAAACCATATTAATTCAATTTTGAAAAGTCCAGTTTAGTACAATGTCTCTTTCTTTAGTTAAAGAACTTTGCTTTACATGTTGTTTTTGCTTGTTTGTTTAGATTTTATGAAATGAAAAGTTTTTCAGCATTGATTTGTCAAATCAGATGTGAAAAATGTTGTATGTTTGTTTAACCTGTAGATCTAATCATCTGTGTTTAGGATCTTAATTTTATTTTCTGTACTTGATATATACTTGTATGTTCATAAAAGTTTAACAGAAAATAATTAAGTAGCGGATTATTATGGAATGATTTTCGCTTAAGTTAATGCAAATGACAGTTCCCTTTAATTTTGGTAATGCAAAAATTGGTTAAATCAAATTAATTCAACTTGGAAGAGTCAAGTTTAGCAAAATGCCCTAGAGCTTTGTGTCATAGGGCTTGGTGTTATTGCATTTCTCTGTTTTTTTTTTTTTTAATGTCTTTTGCATTTAAATTTTAACCTAGGATATTGGAATTTGTCTTTGATTCACCTAGGAGATTGCCTCCTAATGATATTAGCTATGTTCATAGGGCATTGTATGTAGGGAAAGTGTGGAAAGCAATGTTTTGGCAATTTCCATAATGATCTTTCAACTTAGCAGTACTAGCTAGCCACTATCTAGTTTAATTTTTTTTTCAAATAAAAATACAGCTATTTCATGTTTTGACATGTATATTTATTCAATGAAAATTATTTTGTTGCACCTAATTTATATTTTCATTAGCAGAAATTTTAATTTTATTATTGCAACATCTTTTTTATAACAATAAATGAAAATTTGTGATGAAAGAAGTTTTTCTAGCAATTTATGCACATTCTTATTGCAAAGTTCAGTTTGTAATAATTTACAATTGCAACAAAGGTCAATATATGCAATATTGTAAAAGTTGCTGAAAAAAAAATTGTTATTAAATATCAATCTCCTTGTCTTTCTTCTGTTTTCTTTTTTTTTTTTCCTGCAATTTGCATCTTGTTATTGCTAAATGTGGTTTAGGTATCTGATGTTCATGGCATTTGGAAAATATATATAGTTGTCCCTTTTTAAGAGGGTTTTATTTTTCTTTTTCATCTTAAGTAGTGCATGTTGATCTAGTTCTGATGCTAACATTTGGAAGAAACTGCCAATTTCCCTTTTTGCTATAAGTTTTAATGGTGCATACTGATCTAATCCTTTTAGTTTTTTTTTTTCTCTTTTTCTTTTTCATTTTTGTCCAATGATTAGACCACACGATGAGAAGTAGCCATCTTTCATCTTTTAAACCTCTCAGTATTCGATTATGGGGTTCAATCTCAATTTTTTTTTTTATCTTTTAAGTTACGATTAATGTTTGAACTCAAAACTTTTAGTTTACGAGTTGATTTTGCACTAATTCAATTTCAGAGTTGAACACAACCATCAAATGTCTTTACTGGCTAAACTAATTGGGACAACCTAACTTACAAGCATTAACATGCTTAAGGGGATAGTTTCTCTAATTAGGTGCCATTATTACTAAACCCTTTAACTTAGTTAGATTTTAGACTTTTGAGAACTCCATGAATTTAGTAAGACACATTGTTGTGATGGATTTCTGCAAAAGTAGAACATCATGTTTTTCTTCTATAAAATCAATGTACAGAAATCCTTATAAAGGCATTCATATCACTTCAATGACATTCATGCACTGAAAGTATGGGTTTTCCTGTTGAATTTGTATAGTGTTCATGTATAGAGTCATTTCCTTGATCAACTTTTGTTCTTATTACAGCATGGAGAGGATCATAGAACGATACGAACAACATTCATATGCAGAGAGACAGCTTGTCCCAACTGATTCTGAATCACAGGTATGTCTTGCAGCAAACTATGAAATTTATCCAAAATGTGTATTGTCACAGTAAATCGTATATTTTGTTGCAAATAATTGTCAAGCTAAAGTGTGCATACAGTGATTTTATTATATATAATAGAATCTTTATCACCCTCCAAGCTAAGGGATGTTTATCTCTATAATCTTCATTTTTTTACCAATTTATTGTTAAGGTCATAGAGCCTCGCTCATTCACCTACTCAAACATGAAAATAATGATCAGACACTAGCAAGAATGCTGTCAAGCAGGGAGATCAAAATAGTTGAGAAACGAAGATGTTGAAAAGGTTAGAGAACAAGGAAAAGAGACGAAAAGAACAGATGTTCAAGCAAAAAAAGTGATGTATTCTTTGCAGCTATTTCTTTGTACCGTCTTCTAACATTTGTCCATAGCAAGTTCTACCCAAATTAAAAATCATGAAGGATCCTTAAAATTCACAAAAATGTTGGAAAACCCTAGTGTAATCTTACCTTTTTCCATACTTACCTCTATGAAAAAGTTCACACTGTAACTTTATGTTCCTTCAGCAAAAGAGTCAACATCTTTCTGCTTGGTTTAGCTTTCAGATTCTAAACCTCATTTCATGGTTGACTGTGCTTTCAGTTCTTCACATTCATGGATAAATCTCTCTGATTGTACCGTATATGTTTTCTATTGAAGTAATCACTATAGCAAAGAACAGACTGAAACCATGCATGTTTCTTGTTCTCCTTGTTCTATCACTGTATCTGGTGCAACCCTGTAACCCTTATTACAAGTTGTTGAAATTTCCTTTGATAGTCAGAATCTTTTAGGTGGAGACTTGTATTTGGATTATTAATGCTTGTTGATTAAAAGGAAAATGGAATCAGTAATTCTTGAATCCTTTTTTCTGAATGCTACACAGGCAAACTGGTCTTTGGAATGTCCCAAACTCTGGTCAACTATTGAAGCTTTACAAAGGAACTTGAGGTACAAATGGAACATCTTGTGAATGAACAGTAGATTAAGGCTTTGCTTGGTAAGAAGGAAGAAATGCAATCGTTAAGTTACAAATATAAAAAGTGATTATAAAATCTATCCATTAAATTAAAAGTTTTTCCATCCTTATCACTTTTTATCTTTCCAACATAGCAAAGTCTAAAAGTTGCTTGCAAATCATGGAGAGTTGTCTACTTCTGTACAATTTTTTGCCTGTTGAAGGAAAAGTGCTAACTATTTTTTGCCAGTCCCATGCCCCAATCAAAGGAAGCAAAAAATGGTCACATATCAAGAATCACAAGTTAAACTCGGATCGTTACCAAGAATGGCTGCTAAAACTTGTTGAAGCACATTGATGGGGCGAAGTAGATCAGTTAGTGATGCCTAGCAGCAGCTTTGTCCTGTTACAGTAGATAAATATGCGATATGGAATATGGGCTTACATGCTTCTAGGGTTGGATTGGATTTGCTGGCAACTTAATCAACTCAATGAAATGGCATATTTTACATTTATCATGCAGGAACTTCATGGGAGAAGAGCTTGATCCCTTGAGTCTGAGGGACCTGCAACTTTTGGAACAACAAATTGATAATTCTCTTAGACGCATACGAACTAGAAAGGTAAATTAAGCATGTTCAATAAGTTCTACGAAAATTTCTATTACATATTTTATATGATTGCTTTATTTTACTCGATCATGATTTGTTCTGACATGCAGAATAAACTCATGCTTGAATCCATTTCAGAGCTGCAGAAGAAAGTAAGATACTTCGGCATATGATGAAACATTTATCATGACTTAGATTGTATAATAACATCTTAATTAAATTTTCATGAAAGAATGCTGCCCCAGTATTTTACATTAACACAGCCAGACATTACATTTCATGTTAAAGGACAACCATGAGTAACTCCATAGAAAAATCTCAGTAGTCTGGTATTTGCAATTTTGACTATGAAGCTTATGACAGGAAAAGACACTGCAAGACCAGAACAAAATGCTAGCAGAAAAGGTAAGAACTGCAGCTTCTACACACAAACCACCAAAGCATGAATTGTGTTCTTCCAATATGAAGTTTATAGTTTCATCTTTGACTTCATTAGAACTTCTGTCATGGATACAGCTCAAAGTCAGTGAGAAGATGCAGACTGAGCATGAGCAACGTGAGCTGCAAAACCTTGCCCAAAATTCATCATCATTCATGCAACCACCACCATCACCACCAGCAACAATACTGTTTCCTTCTTTGACTATAGGGTACCCTCTCTCTTTATCTTATAATCTTTCATGCTAGCTGAGAAAACCATTGCATATATAAGTTATGTACATATCTGGTCGCCTGAATATACTCCTAGTATGTTATGCCTTTAACTGTTTGATTGATCTAGGATTTTCTTTATTTCTTCCTTGTTGCTTGCCCCTCTTTGCAGTGATATTTCTCTTAAAGAAATTTATCAATGGAGGCAAAGCTTGCCTTGGGTCTATTTGCTATTAAGAAAATTTTCCAGCTGATGACATGGATGGTTATAGCATAGTTAGAACTTAGAACATCTCTCGGATACAAAGACATCCTCTCTATAATTTGCTTTAGGTCTGGCAAAAAAAAGTTTGGAAATCTAATCTCCATTATTACTTGATTAGTTGACTTTATTTATTTTAGTTAAATATCTTGTTTTTAGAATAAGAAGTGATTAGGTAATTACACCAAATCCTTTAGATATTTTTCAATTATGTGTAAAGAGTACATTTTTCCTTTTTAATGCATGAAAATCTTGGATTTTAAGGTTGAAAATATTCAATCTTAAGTCTATATATTTTCATGCAATTCTAGTATTGTAATAAGAAAAATATAGAAGAATAAAATAATTTTATTCTAGAGATTTTTTTATGATATCAGAGTACGATCTAAACCTTTAAAAACTTTCATTCGAAGTCCAGCATGGCCAGTGAAAAGGAGAGCCCCATGTTGGAGGTTACTTTTAACCCGAGAGCTAGCATTATTGGAATAGGTTTTTTAGCACAAAAAGATAATTTTATAAGTGCCTTGAGTGTAAAATTAAATAAATCAAATTCATGGATTGCGGATTCAGGAGCTTTAGACCATATGACTGGGGATGCATATTTATTCAATAAATATAACCCATGTCATGAAAACTTTACAGTTCGAATTACTGATAGGTCACTTTCAAAAGTAAGCAGTACATGTTTTATTATTATTTCTAATGAGATAACACTTGATTCTATTATATTTGTCCTAAATCTAAGTCGCAATTTATAGTCTATAAGCAAACTTATAAGAGATCTTAAGTGTGTTATTAAATTTCTTCCAAATATGTGTGAATTTCAGGATTTGGATTCGGGGAAGATGATTGATAATGCTAAGATATGTGCTGGACTCTATATCCTGAGAGCTAATGATTCTAAAAAATAATATCAGAAAATCTCTTGTGTAGTTTTATCCTCAATAATAAAGATAGTACTATCATGTTGTGGCACTATCGGTTAGGTCATCTAAACTTTTTGTATCTTTAAAGGTTGTTTCCCTCATTATTTAATAAAAATCCTAACAATTTCCAGTGTAAAGTCTGCCAACTATCCAAACATACCTATATTATATATTCTAATTAGCCTTACAAATAATTCCATCCTTTTTCAATGATATATAGTGACATTTGGGATCCTTCCAAAGTAAATAATATTACTGGTTCTAGATGGTTTGTCACTTTTACTGATGATCACACTAGGGTTACTTAGATATTCCTTATGAAAGAAAAATCAGAAGTGGGCCAGTTATTTCAAAACTTCAACAATATGATCCAAATTCAATTCAAAACCAAAATCAAAGTATTAAGAACCGACAATGGGAAAGAATACTGCAATTCAATTATTAGATACATATCTAATGAAACATGGTATAATTCATCAAAGCTCATGTGTTGATACTTTTCAACAGAATGGCATTGTTGAAAGAAAGAATCGACACTTGTCAGAAGTTGTAAGATCCATCATGATGGCTACCCATGTACCTAAATATTTTTGGGTGAGACTGTTCTTATTGCTACATATCTTATAAACAAAATGCCTTATCGAGTTCTGAAATTTCAGAGGCCTTGCAAATCCCTTCTCGGTTCCTACCTTCACTTTCGAATCATTTTGTCTATTTCCCTTAAGGTATTTGGATGCACTGCATTTGTTCTTACCAGCCAACAAAGCCAAAGCAAATTAGATCCTAAATTCATCAAATGCATATTTTTCAAATATTCACCAAATAAAAAAGGATACAAGTGTTACTCACAAGTAACAAAGAAATTCTACCATTCCATGATTGTTACTTTTTTTTAAAATCAATCTTACTTTTCCAAAACTACCATTCAAAGGGAGAATTCAATTACATGGGAATATCAACTTTGGGAAAATCTTATTATCGAACCACCACACTTTTCCATCTCCCTTTCAAGTCTAAAACATCCAACTAGATCCTCCAAATATGAAGTCCACACAAAGCAAAACAAACAAAGAATTGACTGTCTATTTAATAAGACATAAAACTCAGAAAGATTTAAAAAAATGTACACCTTCAAAACAAAGCCAAGAATTTGAACCGATTCCAAAAATACTTGAAATCAACACAAGTAACACTCTTACTGAATCTGATTCAATTGAATCTTTTGATGATCTTGATCAACCAATTACTCTAAGGAAATGTTTGAGACCATGTACTCAACACTTGATCTGTAATGTGATTTCTTATGAAGGTTTATCACCCAATTATCGAGATTTTGTTACCACACTAAATAATATGCAGATTCTCAATAATATTCATGAAACACTTATGCAACCAAAATAAAATATGACTACCCTAAAAAAGAACAAACATGGGAGATTTCAAAATTACCCAAAGAAAAAATTTAGTTGTGTGCAAATGGATTTTTACTTTCAAGCACAATGCAGATGAAAAAATTAATAGATTCAAAGCTTGCCTTGTTGCAAAAAGATTTACTCAATCTTATGGTGTTGACTATAAGGAGACATTTATTTCAGTTGCTAAACTTAATTCAATTCGAGTGTTATTATCATTGACAGCAAATCTAGATTAACCACTACACCAACTAAATGTCAAAAATGTATTTTTTAATGGTGACCTAGAAGAAGAAGTTTACATGAAAATCCTTCCAGGATTCAAAAATCAGGACAATTCTAGCAAAGTATGTAAACTTCAAAAGTTTTTATATGGTTTCAAACAATCCTTAACCAAAGAATTTGAAATAAAAAATTTAAAACACCTCAAATATTTTCTTAGCATGGAGGTAGCTTACTCAAGAAATGGCATCTCTGTTTCATAGCGTAAGTATGTCCTAGATTTACTAAAGAAAACTAGAATGCTTAGATGTAAACCTATTGACACCCCTATAGACACAATGAATAATATAGGAATGGAAGAAGGAAGTCCACCAATAAATAAGGGCAAATATCAAAGACTTGTTGAGAAACTCATCTACTTCTCTCATACAAAATCAGATATCAATTTTTTGGCTACTAAAGTAAGCAGATTCATGAACAACCCAATCAAAGAATACTTAAGGGCTGTGAATCAAATCTTATAGTACATGAAAAAAAGTCCTGGAAAAGGATTATTTTTTAAGAAGACATTATGCCAAAATGTTAAAATTTACACTGATATTGATTAGGTTGGATCTATTACTAATCAAAGATCAGCTATTGGTTATTGTATCTATGTGTGGGGAAATTTGGTTACTTGGCGAAGCAAGAAGCAATCTGTAGGGGCTAGAAGTAACACGAAAGCCGAGTTTAGAGCTATGTCTCATGACATATGTGAGAGAATTTGACTAAAAATATTGTTAGGGGAGTTAAAAGGTCTCTGGAAAAGAATCCATGAAGATATTTACGACAATAAAGCTACCATAAGTATAGTAAAGAATCTTATTCATTATAATATGACTAAACATGTAGAGATTGATCAACACTTCATCAATGAAAAGATAGATGAAAGAATTGTTAGATCAGTTTATACTCCCACATGCTTTCAAACTGCAAACTTACTCACTAAAACTCTCTCTTGAAACAACTTCAAGAATTTGAAGTTCAAGTTGGGCATGATTGACATCTATCACCTAGCTTGAGGGAGAGTGTGAAAATTTAATCTTCATTATTACTTGATTAGTTGATTTTATCTATTTTAGTTAAATCTCTTTATTTTAGAATAAGAAATGATTTAAGTAATTACATCAAATCCATTATATATTTTCTTATTATGTGTGGAGAGTAAATTTCTCCTTTAATTAGCTATTTTAATGCATTTTCTCCTTTAATTAACTATTTTAATGCATGAAAATCTTGAGTTTTAAGGTTGAGAATATTTAGTAACCTATATTTTTTTGTGAAATTCTAGTATTGTAATAAAAAATATATAGAAAAATAAAATAATTTTACTCCTTTTTTTTTTTTACCTAAACAAGCAATTTGTCCTGTCTTAATTTGGCTAAGGCTAACTGCCACCAATGCTGCGTAAGATTTAGCAATGACTAAAAGTTTATTTTCTTAATCAATTCCATGTTGTAGTCACAATAGATTCTGTTTACATAACCCTAGTCATATCTAGCTGATAGGCATTATATATACAAGCTATTTTTTTTCCTGTAATGTGCTATGGAAATCAGTACTAAAAAACTGCTTAAGCAAAATGCGGAAACTGCAGTGTTTTCTCCATTAATATGCATGCAATTAAACTAATTTCCAGTTTTGATGTGAATCATGCAGAGGGAATTACCAGGCCAAAGAACGTACCAACAAGGAGGTTGAGGCTCAATCCCGGCCTAGTACCAATACTGTGATACCACCCTGGATGCTACACCATGTAAACAGATAGAAAGCTGAAACTAACACGAGCTGTTCACATCGAACATTTCAAACTATGTTATATATAGTGCCAATGACTGGCATACCATCGCAAAAAATTCCTATGTTGTTTATTTGAAAACTCAAAAACTGTTTTGAGACTGCAGCATCCTGTTGCAGTAGAAATATTAAAGAGGCAAAGAACATTGCTTGACAAACCGATGTGCTATTGCATGAACGAAGGATGGAATGCCTTCTTAGTTCTTTCCTATCTTGTAGGGCCAACCATTGGCCAAACAACCATCAGGGGACACGAAACTGGCGTCTCTTTGAGTATTAAGGAATGCCACTAATATATTTTTGCAGGCACACAAGTCAAATGCACGGTTTAGAGTTAATGAGGTGATAATACTGTTATATTGTTTCTTCCTTTGATGAGTATGAAGAATAATTGACAATGTCATTTCTCTTTGTTTGACATGAAAGCCTCCATCTGATAGAGTAACAAAGAACCCGAGGAAAGAATGGCTGATGAAAATAACCTTATATGGGAGCTGAATCCTCTTAAACTCTTAGATCTTTCTCATGTCCTACATCAATTTTAACCAGGCACATAAACACAAACGATTCCAAAGTAATAATGAAAGAAATTTTGGGATACATCATAGCTTCCTCAAATCCACACTTCTTCCCATTGATAAAGAAACCATTCGCAAAATAACTTTAGTCAGATTTCCTACAATCATGCATGATTTCTTTTTCTCCCACTCAAAGGGTTACAAAGAGAATGTAACTGTACAATCTTTATACAAAAACATTTTTCAAATTTACCGTATGTGACAAAAACACTTTATCCTGCAGTAGTTTTCACAAAGGACTTTGGATGTCTTTTTGGGTTCTCTGTCTTCTGTTGTTGCCGGTTTAATTTCATCCACAACGAAACCTATCAAGCAAGATTAAGTTGTTTCATCGAACACCATAACCTAGAATAGCAAAAAAAAAGACAAATGCCAAGTTAAGATGAGAAAGATTTAGGTAACAATAGAGTATAAAAAACTATTTTCATTTTCTAATATGTTATACTCGATATAAAGCTTTGCAAGCTAGGTCAAATGTCTAAGCAACTAGGCTAACAACTGGTAAATTCCAAAAATTGAAAAGAAAAGTCAGCATAAAAATTCAGGGAATAAAATGACAGCTGGAGTATCCCAAAATGAGAGATGGAACGTAAAGACATCCCCTATCAATCCTTTTATTATTATTATTATTATTTGGAACTAAAATTATTTGATAACTTGAGGAAAGAACTAGGAAGTCAGAAGGAGATATTATCAGGTTTGACAGCAACTTTGCTGTCTGGCCTTAACATGCAAGCTGACCCTCAATTGACCTAATTCAAAGTTCAATAACCTCTGCAATACCTTGTATATCTATATAATCAACTTCTAGTTAATAACAATTCTTCCCATTCATTTTTTGTCAACATTTCTGCTGCTAGTAAACACATCAAAGAATATCATCTAAACCATGAGGCTAACCAAGCAATACCATTTTTTGAGCCTAAAATGCATATACCTGTTAGAAGAGTTAGTTTATTGCAGAAAATGGAAGATATCTAGATTGACAAAGAAAAAGAAACAGAAGATAGGAAACCAAGAAGAGTGCGCAGATAACTAGAACCAATGATGAAATAATTGTTTGATCTGAAAATTACCATGCACCAGTTTTTGGATAGGCACTCTATAGATATTGTTGGTAGTTTGAAGAAGATGGAAAGGAAAAACTCATTTACTATTAATAATTCATTAGTAATCTTCTTATTCTCACTTTCATTTATCAATGTCTACTTGTTTCGCTACTAGTTTATGCATAAACCAATTTTCTGAGTTTTGAACAGCGAGGATGAGAGGAAAAACACCTCAAGGATAAGTCAGATTATCACTTGTAAAATAAACAGAAAGCAAAACATAAAGAAAAGCTTTTTCCTCATGTTTTTCCTAAGAGGAACTTCATTTTCTATATTTTCTTTACAGTTAACTTTACCGATTAGCTTTTCTTTCCATCACTTTTGGTTATAACCAAACAAAGAGTCAATATTTCATCTAAGAAAAGAAGAAATGATATTGTTATTAAACATCTAAACGTATCAAATCCATTAAAAGAGAACTCATTGAAAAGCTACATATACTTAAATACAACCATTAATGTGCATGAGTGTTGATAAACAAACTAATAAAAAACATATGCACTTTTACAACATTGGTTATAAAGAAATTAATAAAAGGAGAAAGTAAGATAAACTTTCAAAAGATATCGAAGCTAATGCTTGTAAAACTTGAACATCCTAGTAAACTGGAAGTCTAGAAAGAAAAGAAATAGCTGATCAAGCAGGATAAAATGTAAACAAAAGACTGTTGATGGATTATTTACTATCATGGAGATGAAAACGCTAGCTAGTGCAAAATGGTTACCTTTCCACAGACTGGACAATTTTCACTTCTCTCCATCCATTCATAAATGCAACCAAGATGGAAATGGTGGGAACATTTTGTTACTATCTTGGGATTCTCTGGGGTATATTCTGCACATAAATGATATTGATGAGTTTAAAAGGAAGATGGCATATCTATTAAAAGCCCAGCCTATTATGGTTTGTAATAATATCAATTTTTGATAGCAGTGATTGTTTCTAATGTATACATGACATAGCATAAAACTATGGATTGATTGTAAGTTCCCCGACTAAACCAAGGTTGTTTAATCGTAAACCACTGTTATATGGGCTCAATTAACAGCAAAAGCCTCCAGATTAGAGAAGCAATATATAGCAGAAATTTAGCATTTCTCACCCCCCCTTCCTAAGTTCCAGCAAAGCCTGGCCTATTCAGCAACTCATTGAGGAAACCTTGTTTGGGAGGGAGGAATAGACAAGTAAATTATGGCATGCATTTAACTTTGATCACTTGAAATGTGAGAGATTCTAATTAATATTTTTGAATACTAGAAACTTCCAAAGGCAGAGGAACATAGTCCTACCGTTCTTTACAACTATTAAGGCAACAAGCATCCACTTTTTTTTTAAAAAAAAAATAAAGAACCCACTGTTCTTAAATAATCTTGAGGTGAGATAACTTTTTACTTTAGGTTCAAGCAAGTGTGAAAACAAAGAATGCACAAAACCAAATAGAAGCATACAAATGAAAGATGTTGGAGTCTGGACTAACTGGCTTGATGATTACATCACTTCCTTGCCAGGTTCATAATCAAGAAATAGACAAGTTGTTAAGAGTCCAAAGTAGTATTGGTGAATGCCAGGAAATGTGATTTGACCACCATTGCAGCACCATAGCAAATTAGCAAAAACCTCTAACAACATTTCACAGCATAATATAGTGGTTACAATACCATTAAAAGTAGAAACATTACCTTCAAGACATGTTGGACAGATATCCTCCTCCTCTGCTGGTAAATAGATGTACCCAATTCCAACTGGTGCTTTAGCTGATGAGAGTTTTTTTGAGGAAATGCTGCTCTTTTGAGCACTGTTCACAAGCATTCCATTTGTCTTCTGTACCCAAAGATTCTGAATCTGCATCATCTTCACCTCTTAAAGGATCAGATTCCTCTTGTGAATGACTTGAACCCTTCTCATGTCTTGAAACAAGACCATCACGTTGTAAGCGGAAATATCTGGTGTCAACATCATAAGGCAAGGGCCTCGGAGGAGAACGATACATGTCAGACAGCGAGTTGTCAAGAGAGGCAGAAGAGTTCATAGATGCCGTCCCCTGAATGGATGAAGGGACAGAATGCAATTCCCCTCTGCAGAATAATGTGGTATACTACAATTATAGGGACAAAAGAAAAAAAAAAAAGGATCAAAAAGCTGAACTCCATAAATGAAATAATTGAAGAAAAACTTTCTCAGATCAATGCTAAGACATTTAACCATATGATTTAACTGTTGATCACTATTGGTAAGTCAGGAAAAATTTCCTTTATAGGGTTATATGATGTGCTTGGGGCTGTGGTAAGCTACTTACATGTTTATGCAATAAGCTGGAATAAGGTAATTCACACGTCAGTGTCCAAAAGCAGTTTTGTTTAAAGAATCCTCTTAATGGGTCTTGTAGCAAATGAAAACTTCTATAGCATCCACACCTGATCTGAGTTCTCAATCTATGAAATTCCATTAGCATCTACCTATATTGGATTTTAGGTGAACAGATATCTACTGAAGTCAATTATGGACTATTAAGTACTAACCTAGTTTATAAACTTGTCAGTCGATTGTTCGCATATTGAAGCATGTGTCAAATTAATAGCACGGGTGAGGAAGTTAACCTGAAGGAGGTTTGGTGTGGATGCTACAGAAGTTTTCACTTGCTACAAGACCCATTAAGAGGATTCTTTAACCAAAACTGCTTTTAGACACTGATGTGTGAATTACCTTATTCCAGCTTATTGCATAAACATGTAAGTAACTTACCACAACCCCAAACACACCATATAACCCCATAACGGAAATTTTTCCTTACTTACCAATATTGATCAACAGTTAAATCATATGGTTATATAAAATATAAATATATATAAGAGAACTGCAACTTATATTTCATTCTTTCAGCAGTCTTTCAGTCACCAAACCTCATCCCTTCATAACACTCTGTCAAGTCTTCCACAAATATATAAGCATGGGACTGAGTAGAAAAGTTCACAAAGGACCTTGCTTGGAATAATAGTAGAGATGATCTTTAGTAAATTATTACAATGATCTAGACAGCATTATTGTGAAATTTGCTAATGCCACCCACATTTGCCACAGAAAGTAAAGGTAATAAGAGAGTTAGCATTTCCAATGACAGGCATAATTTTTGACAACATAAAAGTGTCACAAAAGAAATAGTCAATAGAACCAACATTTTTATAACCTCAAGTGAGACACGAAAATATTGTGATTTGAAGAAATAACACCACAGTCCAAGACAATGCTTATTAACAAGAATCATAAAACATACCACGTGTAGAAAATTCTGAACAAAGCAACGGAGGCATGCACAGTTTCTATATACATTACTGTTTGGATTCATATGGTCCTCAAAGTCCTCGGCGTTCAAGCAGCAACAAACAGAACCCATAATGTTAACTTTTAAGCTTTCCCTTTCAGTTAAAACTTTCCATGCAACCTCATCAATAAAGCTCAACCCTTCTAATTATGCATATGCATCAAGAACAAAGCTCTCCAAGCTGAAAAAGGCAATGACAGAGGACGTTAAGCTCGCAGAAGTCCTACCACCGCTACGAACCAGTACCCCCTCTCTCTTCTATTTACAAAATGTAATATGCCCTTGTATAATTTTGCTAAATAGCTCTTTCTTCAGCTGCTAAATAAAAAAAAAAGAAATGTAAGTCAATTTTGTGGATACATAAACCAAATTGAGCCAACAAGAATCCTCATAGCAAGTTCATAATGCCACTAGTAAAAAGCCAATTAGCTATCTTTTTTGAGGTAAAAGGAAAAAAGAATAAATCTTTTTAAAGAATTGCGTGTCCAATTTTCCTTGTTTTCTTTTCCTACGAAAGTTTCAATCTTTTTAGTCTTTGTTCATAATTAGTAAACAAAACAATCAAGAATCAATCTGGGAATTAAAGATTACAGCTAAAATTAAGTTCCCTATGAATTCAACAGAAAGAAAAACATATAACTAAACCATTCAAAGATTCAAGTTTTCATCAAAACCAGCACCAAAAAGTCCACAAAAACCAAAAGATCAACCCAGAAACAAGCCTGGATCAATCAAATAAAGGAAACCCATTTTAGATTATCCCAAAAGAAATTAAAAAAGTTTAAGCACAGAATTTGGTCCAAAACAGGCATGGACTGAAAAAATGAAAAATACCCAATTTAGATAATCCCAAAAGGAAACAACTAAAACATCTTAAACTGATGAAAAAGAAAAGAAAAAGTTACCTTGATGGAAATTGAGCTGAGAGAAGTGATAAGAGGCAGATATTTAGTTGGCTTTTTTTTTAGGGGAGGAAGTGAAGGAGAGTGAAAGGAAGCCTATGAGAGCTCATAATTTTGAGAAATATAAACTAAAATAAAAAAGATAATATAGTTTCATGTTGGAAGTTTTACCTGGCGAGAAAAGCTATGAAAGACAGATTCTTTTGTCTGCTTTGTTTTGTTGGAGTTTGTGAAGGATGGTGGGTGATGGAATGTTACTGAAGTTTTATTTTTTATTATGATTTATTTTGAATATATCTATTATTAATAGGATTGTTAATGAAGTTGGAAATTACGATACTGCCATTCCACCAGCTTACTCACTCTTCCAGTCTTCCTCTTCCCTTTTGCCTTTCTGATTCTCACATCTATCCAAAACCGTCCCTTTTTAGCTCATTTTGGGTTTGAAATAGAAATCCTGGATGTCAATTTAGTCCAAAATTTCCATTTTTTCTTTGTTTGTGTTGGGATTGAATCTAAAATGCAGAGCTCAAATGTGCTGTCAGAAGCTATGTTATAGCTGCAAAAGGAAATGGGTTACCGCCCTTTAGGACAGTACAATTCTTCTCCCAACAAATCGAATTTATCCTTAATCGATTCGCTTCGCAAGATTTGTGGAGGAAATATTTTACCCATTTGGCCTTTCTTGTTAACCCGCTTTAATTCCGAGAAAATCGTCCAAAATATCCGGAAGAACAGCACCGTTTACGGTGTCACCACCACCGGCCGCGGAGGAGGAGGGGGAATATTGAGAGTGGTGGAAATTCAGGGAAAAAAAGGGGAGAAGTAAAGGAGGAGGGAGGAGGAAAGACAAGTTGGTTGGCGGTGGGCTGGTGGTGGTGGTGGTGGAGGGGAGGGTCCAGGTGCGGCGGAGATTAGAGAAGTTGCGAGCGGGAGCAAGAAGGGGCAGCGAAGGAAGCAGAAAGGTTGAGGAATATGCGAAGAATTTGTACGAAATTTTTAAATGAAATTAGTGAAATTTTTTATTAAAAATAATATAAAAAAAATTTAAATAGGATAGAATTCAATAAAAAAATTAATAATATATAAATAAAATATTAAAAATATAATTTATAATTAAATTTGATAGGTGTTTATTTAATAATAAAAATTTTGTTAAAATTTTTATTAAAATTATTTATTTAAAAAAATTTATTAAATTTTATTAAGACTTAATTTGTCAATTTTAATTTTTAATTTTATTTAATTTATTTTAATAAAAAATTTCATAAATTTCATTTTATAAACTTTACGAAAATTTTTTCCTAAAAATATTGTGTGGAGACAAAGAAAAGATTTGAGGTCAAAGAGTTGGAGGTTTCTATAGAGAAAGCCCAAGCAGGAGAGTGCTTGATGAAAAGTCCAATCACAGTTTCTTTTTTCTTTTTTGTCCTTAATTTTTAAGGATTTTGTTACTATATATTTAGGATTAAAAAATGCCAACTTTAACATATTGTTATAAAGTTAAAAGTGTCCACCAATGAATTGGTTGATTGACCATTGAGACCGTAAGTTTCATTATGTTTTAGGATTTGTGGAATTTTAATGTTATGGAAGAAGAAAAAGAAGAAGAAGATCAAACTAAGCCTTTTCCCATTACATTAGGTTGGTTATATGCATAGTTTTGTGTTATTGTGCTTTATTTAAGAGCCTATCTTCAATAAGCTCAGTAAAATTGTGCTTCTTTATTTAGTTTCCAAGCATTTTAATTTTATCAGAGTGTGTTTGACGAATAGAATGATGGTTCATCCGATTGTGTCAAGTAGGCTTAGTTTCGACTGACTCTGGGGATGAATCATAGGCTGTTTATTACTCAAAGAAGTTTGATTTGTTTGCTTGCTTGAGGATGATTTGGATGATCTTGAAGTCCATTTGAAGGTTTGTCTCTTTCTTTCAAATAGAATTGTTGTCAACCTAATGACATGTACTGTGTGGTTAGGTTTGGAGGGCTCTGATGCTGGTTTGGCATCAGTTTCAGAATCTCTGGACTCTGGAGTTCTGTTTGAAGCTTGGTGGTTCTGAGGCTAGTGTCTTGGAGGAATTGGTAAAGGCAATAAATTTGGTCCATATTCAGCAGGATCTTGTTGAAAGCGGTCAAGCACCATTGAACCATGCTTAGCTGCTTACCATGCTCAACAAGAATATGCAAGTTAATGAATTACTGTTTCTGTCTTCTCGGAATTTGTGTCCATCTAAAAGTCATCTGTTTTTTTTTCCCCTCTCTTCTTCATTTGTATAAACAGATAGTGCTCCATTTGAAAAAGCTTACTATCCATTTGGCTGGTACTTTTGTTCATGCTTTTTGCTATTCTCTTTTTTAGGTATCATATGGTTGTTGCTTTTATAGCTGTGCCTTTTGCTTTTCAAGGCAAAAAACAAAAGTGCGTTTGGATACAAAAACAATTTAGGACGGAATATATATAGAAAAATATGTATTTTTGTATTAGATAGACTGATCTTAAAGGATTTGGTTATTTTGTTATGTGCTTTCTTGCCATATGATACAGGGAAACAAATTATTGTTTGAATATGACTGTTGAGCAAGAGAAAATTGTCACAAAAAATTGGCTACCTAAACTTAAAACTGCAATTCTGAATGATCAGAAGTGCTTGGAGGATTGCAAATATACGAGGGGCTTGGTAAGTAATTGCCCTTATTATTTTGCTGGTTATGTCCATATCTCTCTTGCTATGCATTCTATTTTTCGTCAATTTTATATGCAATTTATCTTAACATTATCCATAAAAAATGAAATGGTTGATTTGTTAAGAGTGTCAATTGAAATTGTGGGTGGGGACGTCAGGTAGGACACTACGATAGATTGATAATTTGATTGCAGAGTATGTTTCTTTCTACAACTATGCCTTTTTGTTCATTTATATTTAATTATTTATTTAGAGAGGAATAGAAAATAGAGAGAAGTTGTATTTATCTTTTAATTTTCCTTTAATATAACCTTCGGATTGAACATTCTACCCCAGCTTGAAGAGTGGTGGGAGCAACCTGCATCAACCGTTGTGAATTGGGTTGCAGTTGATGGACAAAATATTGTTGCTAGATACTCATAAAGCAACTTCTTGCATTTTATGATAATCAGGTTTTGCGAACTGAATCTTTGAATTAATGATATTATGAAATCTGTCTAAAATTCTTTTTCTTTGTGTGGAAACACTCATTTCACACAAAAGACTTATATGTAGTATAGTTTGAAGTCAATGAATTTCTTGAAAGAAAATTTTGTAAAAAATTTAGTAAACATTTTTTTCGTTGTAAAGTGATTTTTGTCAATACGTGAAATGATCATTGACCTAGAGTGGAATCTATAGATAGTGTTGATTTCGATTCATTGTCTTATTTTTTTTATTATATTAATTTATCAAATTTTTAATATATTTTAATGGAATATTTGATAATTTTCTAACTTTGTAGATAGAGTTTAAAAACCCATTAAAATACAATTATTGTCCCCATGAATTTTTTTTGCGCATATACGTATTTTTTTTATTTATGATAATTAAACTTGTTATATCAATAAATAATTATCTTTTTTGGTAAAAAAAATTGCTAATTTGAATATTCAACTTCAAGATTTCAAAGCACCTAATCAAACTTGAGGGGATACTTTTGTACTTCATTTTTGAAACAATGATTGGGAAATCATGGCAGATTATTGTATTCTGCTCAAATGGCTTATCCTTGAATAATGCAAAGTGATAGAATGGAACCTGCAACAAATGGTTATGTGCTGATTGCTTTCCCTGGGAATAGGGAGGGTAATGTACGGGTCGCTTGCAAAAAGCAGGTTGAAATGTGAAGAACATAAACACAGCAAAAACAAATTCATTTCCATGACTCAAGTGTTTTTTCATGGCCTTGGCACATGATATCTGTGGCTGCTGTAACTGGCTCGTGAACCTGCAGGAATTAATCCAACCGTCTCACATTGTTGAATTTATGCCATCAAACGAAACGAACTCAATAAATGTAACCATGATTTGCAACCATCAAAGTTTATTACCTTGAAACCTTCATTTCCAAAGTGTACATATTCCTTTTGAGCTGTTTGGAGGTGGGAGAAATTAAACCTGAATTCACTGCTACCAGTTTGCAGTTGACTGGTTTTTGCATGACTGACATAAAGAAGGTTGATGGGTGAGACTATAAAGGTTGATCAGCTTATTGTTTCTGCCGTGTTCAAAATTCAGTGTAAGATTAAAATCAGAATCAACAAAGAGGTTCTTGGTTCTTGGAGAGATGAGAGGAATGGAAATTTCTTGGTTTCCTTTGATATTGTTGCTTGGGTCAACAGTCAATAATCTCTCAGAGGCTAGCCATGATCATAAGCTTCATTCTGCTGTTGTTGTTGGAACTGTGTACTGTGATACTTGTTTCCAAGAGGATTTCTCTAAGCCCACCCACTTTATTTCAGGTTAGCTGTTTGAGTTTCAATTCCCTAGCCTTCTGTTTTAATCTATTCAGGCTCAAATTAATACGTTTTCAAGGATTTTGTTTCTGCAGGTGCATCTGTTGCAGTGGAATGTAAAGATGGGAGTTCGAGGCCAAGTTTTCGACAAGAAGTGAAAACCAATGAACGTGGAGAATTCAAAGTTCATTTGCCTTTCTCAGTTAGCAAACATGTCAAGAAAATCAAGAGATGTTCAGTGGAACTTATCAATAGCAGTGAGCCATATTGTGCTGTGGCCTCAACAGCAACTTCATCATCACTGTATCTCAAGTCAAGAAAGCAAGGAACTCACATTTTCTCAGCTGGGTTTTTCACTTTCAAGCCATTGAAACAACCAAATCTATGCAACCAAAAACCGAGTGTTCAAGATTCTAGGCAAATCAACACCCAAAACACCTTGAGGTTTGCCCAACCAAACTATCCAACATTTCCACCTCCACTTCAAGACCCAGCAACGCCACAACCAAGTCCCCTGCTTCCCAATCTCCCACCATTACCTCAACTCCCTCAACTCCCACCTCTGCCATCCCTTCCAGGGCTCCCTTTTCCACCAATTCCGGGAAGGAATTAGAAAACTTTGTAAAACCAACCAATATCGGTTCTTTACGTTCTGTTGGCCAGTTAATTATCAATTGGTAAAGTCACTTATCATGTAGAGCAGCTGCTCAATTGTCAATCCTCTATTTCCATTCCATTATCTACCTTTTGAAAGTTCATGTGGTTTAGCATTCAATGGAGAATCTACATCTGCATAATATAATGGGAGTTTTATATTTCAGAATTGCATTAAAACCAAGCAACTGCTTGGTTGAGACTGAGGAAAAACATACACATGTACACAAGACCAACACCAAGGATACAAAGTAATGAAACCAAAACTGCAACATAGCATGAATATGATATAACGGACTATTGGATTTGGGATTATGAAAATCATATGCTTTCAAAGAGATTTTAGGCCAATCTATTCATAGAATTACTAGTTGAGGCTCTTCGTTACTCCGAAAAGAAGAAAAGATTCATAACAAAAGACTCAATTATTAAAGCGTAATAAGATATCCTTCAAGATTTTTTGTTGAGTGATCCTTCTGGGTTCGAGTCGTTTTCATCATATTCTTCTGATGACAAAGGATCATCCCTCCGACAATGAATTCGATATTTCTGAGAGCAAAGATATGGGTAAGAGCATCAATTTTTTTATTTTTTATTCGAACTTAATTCTTTGAGTAAGGAAAACATAGATATTAGGGTTGGCAATCAACCTGAAGATGGCTCTTCACTTGGTCATTAGTGAGTCCCTCAACTTGCATAACCTTTCTGATTTGCTTTGGAGTTGCCACTGCCAAAAAAAACATATACTACTTCAATGAAATAAAAATGCATAAAAATTATATAACAATAGTCTCATTTTTTTTTTCTCAATGACGCATGAAAGTTTAAAAAAAAGTATAATGATATCAGGTTCTACCTTCAATTCCTCCAAGGAGATTCAAAGCCTCCAGAAACCTTGCATGAAGCTCTGGTGACCAAGTTCTCCTGTTATTCTTCCAAATTGGTTGAGTTAGTGGCCTTGGGTGATAATTCAGAGTTGGATTATCAGCCTTCAGATTCAAGCCACACTGGCCATTATTTGTTCCAATACTTGCAAATCTGCTGCAGGATTCTCTTATATTAATCTCCCTGCTGCTGCATTCCTTTTCAGCTAGAGATAATCTGAAACTACTATCCTTGAAAGGAATGGGATTCTGATTTGGAACCTGGTGTCAAAGAAAAAAACAATGTAAACAGTTTTAATAAAGGGTTTGCAGCTATGTATGGGGTAATTACCTGAATAAAGTCTATGAATGTTTTCTGCCTCTTGTTTTCATAATTAGAGTTCCAAAGCTGGTGAGGAGATCTCATCAAACTCTTTCCTTTGTAGTCATACTTCTGATCTGCAGCTGATATATCTGTTTGTTTTTCTTCATAATGTTTCCTCTTGATTGCCAGAAACTCCATTAACGGCCTTCCAGTAGTTTCAGATTCCATTCCATTCTTGATGTTCATAAATTCATCTTTTAGTGTTCCAAGTGCTACATCCCATATCAAACCAAAAGCTTAAACGACAACATTTTCAGAAAGGGGTGAAAAACAAAAACATAAATAAATCAAACTTAATGTAATTGGCTCACCCTCCATTAGAAGCAGCATACATTGAGGAAGTTGGCGTCTGAAAGCCACAATGCTGTTCAATTCTTCTTCATATTGATTGATATAATCATTCAAAACTGCTAATTTATCTGATGCATTGCCCACATTTGACAAATCTGTCAGCAGGTTAGCTATGGTTTTAGGCACATAGGATGGTTTAAGGCTCAAGTTTAGCTCCAGAGGAGTACTTGATGAACCCATGTTTTTCTTTTCTTTCCTTTCCTCTCTATAGCAAAAACTGATCTTTCTTTTTCCTGCTCAACAGGTAAAATAGAAGAAATTAAAACCAGAATCCAGTATAATCCTAAAAGACAAATTTGATTACATATGAAAGAGGGATTCCCACATATGCATTAATTTCTTTTCACTTTGAAAGGGAAAAAAAGAAGAGAATACTATAACTTCAATGGCCTGACATCAGATTCTCAGTAATTAATGCTTTGAGTGTATTTGTTGATCACTATCATCTTTGACAACTCAACTTCTGATTTATCATGGAATCTACCTCTTTAACTGCTTGTTCTCTCTTCATGCCATTCAATTCGAGTTTTAGCTGATCTAATTGTCTCTTCAAGTAATCTTGCTGCCTTCTCTAGACATTGATATATTGCTTTTGTGCTTCAACTCAGTCTGATTGAAGAAAAAATGACTTGTTGAAAGCTATGATTTTCATTTTCTAGTTATGTTTGACTCATCATCTGAAAACATGATGAACCAGAAAGAAAAGAAAATGCTAAACAAAGGAAAGTAAATTCCCAGATTGCCTGTCTTTTGACGTGAATTAAGCACAAACAAACACCCCCAGAATTCTGACAGGAACATTCAGACACGTTAAGCATTGAACTCAGACTAAAGAGCCTAAGACCAAACCTCGTCTTTGTCATTATTTGCCCTCATATGTTTCATCTCTATCCCTTGCAAATCAGATTCTTCTTAAGTATCTTTTCCTAAAGGAAAGAAGAAATTAAGGAGTGTTAAATGCAGACTTTGTTTTCTCAGTAATTGAAGGTTCTTTGACACTCTAAGGCAGGATCCCTCAAAAGAAAGACACTTGGATTATGCATTGAACATACATGGTCTGACCAGGATCCAATTTTTTTTTTTCATTTTTTTAATGCACAAGAAGAAAATCACCCTAGGCATATTTAATTAGTTGGGGTTTTTTTTCTTCTTAAATTTGTAAATAACAATAAAATACTAATAAATTTAATGTATACGGATAATATACACATTGATATTAATAATTAAAAAAAAATCGAATAGAAAATCAATGTTTGAGAAAAAGAGAATTGATAAAAAACGAAAATAAAGTGGATAAAACTAAGAAGAGATTCATAAAATAGATGGTAAAATGGATAAAAATAAATTTTTTTATTGCAATAAAAATACTTGTAAATGGTTAATAAATCAATATATATATATATATGATTTTTTAAGGTTAAGCTTAACTTGATTAGATAAATTTAAAGTGCTTAACAATTTTAGCCATTTTTTTATATTAATACTTACATTTTTCATTTTTTTTCTTTTTTTTTAATTAAAAGTTGAAATCAATTCTAAGAGTGTTAATAATACAGTATAAACAAATTTTGTTATATTTGTGATTTATTTAATTAATTAATAAATATTAAAATATTTTTATAATTTTTTGTTAAATTTAATAAACAAATCTAAATTAAACTTATTTAGGAACTAATTATTAGACCTTTATTTATTTACACAAATAAATCAAATATAAACAAATTCTATAATTTCATGATCTGTAATTTAATTTATGAATAATAAAATATTATTAATTATTAATTATTAATTATTAAATTTAATAAATAAATATAAATAAAAAATTAAATATATTCACCAACTATTTACCAAATATTCTATTCGGTTTATATCCTAAATTTTATGCTTTAATAACTTTTCAAAATCTCAAAAAGCGAAAGAAATATAAAGCAAAGTCTACTTTTTTCCTTCTGGCCAAAGCAAAGTCGACATTCACTTTATTACTTTCACTTCCTGATAAGCCAAGAACCAAAACAAGAGTCGGTGAAGTTTCTCTCCACCGCCTTATAGTTTCTATTTCTCTCAATGAAACCCTTCTAAATCTCCCAATTCTTTACTTTTTCTTTCCCTCCTCTCCCTGGTTCCCGATCTTGAAAAACCACACACACTGTCTATTTTCTCACAAAATGGCAGATCACTTAACGCGACTCTGCCAATTCCTCGCCGAAGAGAAGCTGTCATCGTCCTCCTCATCGCTCGATCTTCTCCAGAAGTTTCGTTCCGATGAGTCGATCAAGTTAGCGCTCCAAGACTTTTACTTGATTCTTCAAACCGGCCTGGACCCGATCGAACCGGGTTCCGAACCCCGGTTTAAGTCTTGGTCCGATTCGCTGATTCTCTCCCTCGCTTCTTTAGGATCCGATATTGCCTTTGTCTTCCGATCCCTCTCAGGTTTGTTTCTTTTTATCTTTACTACTCTTGAAAGTGTATATTTTTAATTTTTGAATAAATATGTAAATTCCTCTGTTTCGATTATTTTCTCTTTTTTTTTTTGTTTGTATTTGTTCCTGATTTTCTATTTCAAGAATGGGGTTTCCTTTGTTGTTGATTGTTTTTTATGAAGGGCATTTACTTATGTTGTTTCTGGAGAGAAGAAATGTTGTGTTTCTTTTTGTTTTTTAAATGATGAAGGATTAGATTCATTTACAATTTTTTTTTTGTTTGAGCAGTGGAACAATTGGAACCGATAATTGTTGCGGTGGGAAGGAAGTTGGTGGAATTTACTGTTTGTTTTTTGGAGAAATCAGACTTCAGTGGTGATGATTGGAGTTTACAGGTTTGAGAAAGAAACTTTGTCATTACATAATTAATGAATATGTTTTTTTTTTTTTTGGTATAATTATGAAAGATTTTGTGCATGTTGAATTATGTAAAAAGTTGCGTGTTTTACTTTTCCTTCCAGTTCTTCCTTTTATAAAAACAAAAGAAGGAAAAAGAAAAAAAATCTGATTCTTTGCTCATTTTCCCTAAATATATAGTGCTTAATTTAATTTGCAACAAGTCCTTTATTTGCCTTTGAGTTGTAGTTAACTTATCACATCTTCTAGAGTAATGGGTTGTTTATGAAACTTGAAGTGCTTTGTGTTTAAAGTATCTTTAGTTATCTTGAGTGCTCTCATGTTATGAGAACTGGCTTGTCTGCTGATTATATTTTACACTATTAGCTTGCTTACTCAAGAAGTTTTAGTGTGCAGGGTCTGTTTAACATTCATAAAACTTGACTCGTTGAACCTTGTTTTTCAATTCGTTCTTGGCAGTTCAATTTTTTAATTAGTAAAATCATGTAAAATATTACTATTTGAGGCACTGGAATTTATACGATGAGAGCTTTTCAAGGCATTGAAGATTTGGAACATATGTACTGTACATGCTTGTTAGAGGTAAAAAATAAACAAAAACTCTTGACAGTTCTAGAGAGTGTTAACATATTATCAACATGCTTGCTGGTGTTGGCATTGCCATGGATAGGTTTGAAGTATTCTACCTAGTAGCTACGGTGGACTTAAGTTTGAAAAAGTTAGAGAGGGCTTAGGGTTTATAGTTGTGGAGAATAGGGTTTAGGGTTAGTACATAGCTTATGTTTTAAGTGGTTAACTTTTGATTATAACAATATGGCTTCAATTCTAGCTCTAGCTGGCTGGTTTTGTGTAGCTGTTGCTAGGGTTTAAGGGTTGTTACCTTAGGGAAAGCTGGTGTTAATTGGGATTGCTCTAGGGAGGGCAAGGAAGGGAGGGAGAAAAAGAGAACAAAATGTCCCAGGCAAGTAATTACTTTTTATTTCATTTTTCAAAGCCTACCGGAACATAAATTAAATAACAAGTGTTTAGGGAGTCTGGACAATTCTTTAGTCCATTACGTTTTCGATTCAACCAGAAATCTAACTGATAAATGCATTAAGGCATACTTAAAACTTAAGGGAACTCAAAATTACATAGTGCTCTTTCACAAGGAAATTTTGTAACTAAAATTACATAGAAAAAAACAAGAGAAGTTAATCATCCATGGCTACTTCAGGCATAGTGTTCGATGACCTTACTTTCTTGAACTTATGTTCTATATGACTTTTTGAGCATCCAACGTAAAGTTAAATGGGAATAGTTAAAGAGACTCAACTTGAAAAGGTTACTACGAATCCCAAATGGAAGGTTTTAAGGTAACACCACTTTGCACTCCCTCATATGTTCCAATAGACAACTGTGATAAATAATTCTATCATATGGGCTAGGAAAACAGGATAACATGCACACATAAACAGAAAATGTGACCACAAACAATCAGCATTTGATAATTGGGGAATGTTAGGTTTGAGGTAGTAGATAAAGAGAGTTTCAAATAGGAACTAACTTTTTCTAAAGACAAGTTTGCTTGAAATTTCTGGTAGCAGCTAAGTTGTTTTAGTCTGTGTGAATATGTTAAATGGTAGAAGGCTATGAACTATTGGCTTCCCTCTGTCAGGCAAAAACAATATAAATGTCTATAACTTTGTCATTGAACTATTGGTGGGAGAATAAGAATACTTCATTTGAAATCCCAGATGGTTGAAATGGCAACTTCTTTACAACAAAAGTTTTGGAAGTTTGATTATTGATGCTTACCCATCTGTGATTTGCTAAAGGAAATTTTTTCATGTTAAAAAGTGATAGAAAACATCATTTTATGTAATAAAGAGCAGTCATCCAATTGTTGTTGTTGTTGTTGTGTGTGTGTGTGTGTTTTTTTTTTTTTTTTAATTTCAAAAGATGGATTTTTTGGTTGATCTAATTAACATCTGACATGATTGTAGGTGGTGTAGAATAGTGTCCTGTTTGTTGGGTTTATTATGTCTAAGATTGATTATCATTTAGTGTTGAGTTGAAGACCAAAGAGGGCATGGCTAGGAACTTTAAACTCTAGAAAGGACCTTGCTTTTTATTGATGTAACTCACTTTATGGTCCTATGCATAGCAGAAAGGCATAAAGTGATCTTTGTAGCTGACCCACTTAGTAGGAAAAGGCTTGGTTTTCTGTTTGTTGTATAGTCTGGGTCTCATTGTAGTTTCTGCGAATTTAAATACGACACTATTTCGTCTCTCTTATCTTCTTATGGTTGCTGTTTGATTCATTTGTTTTTTTGATCTTATGCTTTCTACTTTGTGTAAAGTCAAATATATTATATATATGCTGCTGTATTCATTTTCCTCTCCATGCTAATTATCAATTATATATATTTGGCATAATTTCTCTTTGTATTTCCAGAGTAATATGATACAACTTTTGGAGATTATATTGGGTGATGGAACAGACAAAGTAGTTGATTCATTGCAGCCTGCCTCTGTAAATAGCCTTGTAGACTTGTTGCCAATAGTTTCTCGCAACTCTGGTGGTATTGAGCTGGATGACCACATAAAATGTGGTCTTCAAGGTATCTCCTATTCTTGCATATTCTTGTTTACTTATTTTAGTGGCCTGCATTTATTACTGATTCTATTTGCACTCCAAACATCTCGAGAAGGGATCAAGTGCTCCAGAGCAGAGAAGCAAGTGGATCGACTTCTCCTGGCATTAGCTTCTGAGTGTGTGCAATCTGAAAGACAAGTTTCAGGGTTTGATGCTTCCACTTTCCACGAAGATTTGAATGGTCTAATTTTCCTGTCCCAGCATTGGGCTGTTGCCCATGCACAATGCATTCCATGTTTAATTTTGCTCTGCAAAGAGCTTGTTGAACTTCCTGATATTGATGAAAGGATAGCAGGTACAAATTTCCGCAAGAGACTTTCCTTCAGTTTGAGGATTTTGAAGTTACTTGGTTGTCTTATAAAGGATGTGCCGTATGTAGAATATGATTCTGCATTGTTAGAAGCAGTTGCTTCATGTGCTGATGTATTGCCGAATTTGATTAGATCTAGCTTTGAATTTGTAAATAACATGGCTGCTATGGAGGGTAATTTTGAGAGTCTTGTACTGTTGCAAGTGGAAGAGTTTATTCATCTTGTTCAAGTTATTTTCTGCAAAAGTGTCGTTTTTCAGAATGTCCAAGCATGTATTGTAGCGTCTATTTTGGGACATCTTGATCCTTCCATTTGGAGGTACAACAAGGCTGCTTCGAACATAAAGCCCCTTTTAGCCTACTTCCCTCAAACTGTTGTTTATCTCTTGAAGCTCATTCAGGATCTCAGAATCCAAACAAATGAGATTGTTGATTTGAAGGAGCTTGACTCAGAACTTGTTGGCAGTTGTGCTGATTTGTCAAATGATTCCCCTTCATGCCATGTACATCTTCAAAAGGTTCCCTTGCTAAAGAAGTTCACTCTGGAGGATCTATTAAAAATGATATTTCCTTCATCAAGTAACTGGGTGGACAATCTGATGCATCTTACTTCTTTTCTTTATTCTGAAGGAGTAAAATTAAGGCCAAAAATGGAGAAGTCGACCAGTTTTGCAAAATCTAATTGCTCTACAGAAGTGGAAAATGCTGTTTGTCATGATGATGAAGCCCTTTTTGGGAATCTTTTCTCTGAGGGTAGCCGGATGTTAGGATCTGCAGATGTATGTGATCAAACAGCGGTTGTAAGTTCTACCTCCAGCAATTGCAACATGCCAATGCAAGCTGCTAAGGAACTGTTGAGCTTTCTGAAAGGATGTATCTTCTCTTATGAATGGCATCCTTCTATTTACGAGGATGGTTGCAGAATGCTTGGTGCAGACCACATTGATATTTTACTTTCCATACTCAACTGTCAGGGATGCCATTTTGAAGATAACTTTGGAGCTTCTCATGAAGATAGGAAGAGTGGGCATATCCATGAACTTTCTTTTCAACTTCTGCACAATCTTCTTACCTACCATGCATTGTCTGATTCACTTGAGGATTACCTAGTTGAGCAAATTTTGAGTGTTAAAAATGGTATATTTGTTTATAATGATCAGACCTTAAGTTTGCTGGCTCATGCACTTCTCTCTAAGGTGGGCTTAGGTGGAAGCCACTTGAGAACCAAAATATACAGAGGATTTGTTTCTTTTATTGTTGAGAAGGCAGAAGCTATTTGCTCAGATTGTCCTAACATGGAGGAACTTCTGGTCACCCTTCCATCTGTTTTTCACATTGAGATTCTTCTTATGGCATTCCATTTATCACCTGAAGGAGAAAAGGTGACTCTGTCAAACTTTATATTTTCTACCCTTAGAACAATTCATGTTCCATCTGCAGGTTCTTCTGTTACTCAGCTCTCATGTTGGGCTTTGGTAGTTTCAAGGTTGATATTACTCCTTCGTCACATGGTATTACATCCATGTACTTGTCCACCATTATTGCTGCTAGATTTGCGATCAAAGTTGAGGGACACCCAATGTTTTGTTTCTCATGTGCCTACAAATTCTTTTGATAGTGTTTCTTCTTTTGTATCGATTGCAACAAAGAATATGACAGGTGCTTTGGTTGAGGAGGATTCAATCTGCAGTAGCCTGATTCAGCAATTACTTGATGTTGCATACCTTCCTTCTCCACTTTGCAGAGAAAATATGGCTATAGGATCATTATGTTTGACTTGTGATGATCTGTGTGCAACTTTCTCATGTATTCTGGGGCTTTGGAATGGTAAAAAAGCAGCAGCTATGGAAGACCTTATTGTTGAAAGGTATATTTTCTTGCTTTGTTGGGATATTCCAACTATGAAGTCTCCGTTGGATCATCAGCTGTCATTGTGGAGTAACCTGCAGACTCTGGACATATCTAGCATAGAACATTTCTTTAACTTCAGCCATTCACTTTTGGGCCAGTGTAATGTTATTAGCAAGAGTGTTAACTTTCAAAATCTTGTGGTTGGGTTGCTAAGGCACTTGCATTCTGCACATGTGCAGGATAATATTGAGAATCTAGGGTGGGATTTCTTGAGAAATGGGATGTGGATGTCTTTGGTACTATCTTTGTTTAATATTGGCATTGGAAGATATTGTGCAAAGAACAAAATCCCTGGAGTTGGTACATTCTGGACAGAGAACAGATCTAGTGATGATGAGTATGCTAATTCTGCAGAAGGCTTCATTTCCTGCTTGATTGCAGATGGTCAAACTTCAGAGCTGTTGAGGATATTCTCATCCTTCTTAAACAGATATTTGCAGGCTTATGAAAAGGCTTTTCTTGCTATACTTGGTGATAGCCAGCATGATGACAATATGTTATCTTCTATGCTGCTTCTGAAGCAGTCTACATTTGACAAAGTCCTCTGGGATGAACTCCTTAAGAAGTGTGGTGTGAATTCTTTTCAGTTGGAATCTGTTCTTGACATCTTATTGAAGTCAGACGGAGGTGTTGAGAAGAGAGCTTCTGGCATTGTAGCTAAGGTATTTTGGGAATGTATATTACACGGTTTTCCTTCTCATCTTCGAAGTTCTAGTGGAATCCTTCTTTCTTGTATTCTTAACATAAGGGGGATTATTTTCACTTTGGATGGTTTACTGAAACTACACAATTTGAAAGGAAATATTTTGCTGGAGAATGATGTTCTATGTCAAATTCTTGATTCATTGATGATTGTGAAATTAGATCGCATCTTTGAAAGTCTTCATGGAAAATGTGAAAATGTTTGTCTCAACTTGAATGCTGGAAGTAAACTGTCTGATTACACTGAACTGTTTCTACTGAAGCGCATGGAGGGGTTTCTAAGAGATATTACTTCCAGAGAACTGGGTGACACCAGTATCCTTGAATGGGTAATTACCAATGCTATTGATACCATGGATGCCTTCAGGAAAGATCCTTCGAAGTCTACAATTTTCAAACTTTATCTTGGAGCTGAAGATATGTCTATACAGCTCAAAGAGCTGCATGGTTCACAGCGTGGTGATATATTGGTTCTTATTGACTCGGTGGCCAACTGTTACACTGAATCAGTTAACATTAAGGTGCTTAACTTCTTTGTTGATATTATATCTGGAGAGCTATGTCCTAATCTTAAACTGAAGATACAGAGTAAATTCCTCAGCATGGATTTGCTGTTATTGTCCAAGTGGTTGGAGAAGAGGCTATTAGGCTGCACAGCTGAAGCTTTGGAAGGGGTAAAGAGTGCCAAAGCAAATTCTGTTTCTCTGAGAGAATCAACTATGAGTTTTATTTTGTGCCTTGTATCATCACATTCAGAGCTACGCAATCATTTGTTTGAAGCTTTATTGGTCTCACTTGAGACTGCATTTTTGCAATTTGATATTCACACTGCTAAGTCATATTTCCATTTTGTTGTTCAACTTGCAAGAGGGGAGACCTCAATGAAGTTGCTTTTAAAGAGGACAGTAATGCTGATGCAGAAATTGGCAGGTGAAGAGCATTTGCTGCCAGGATTAAAGTTTCTCTTTGGCTTTCTTGGATGTTTCTTGAGTGATTGTGGGTCCTCCGGGAATACAACAGAAAAATGTTCTGGGAAGTCTCCATCTATTAGTAGTCCTGTGGTGGGCCCTGTGGCTTCTAGACAAGTGGAATCCAGGAAAAATTCTGATACTTTGGTTCTTTCAGCAAATCGAGATGGGGAATCTGCTTCTTTTGACTGTGATGCAACTTCTGTAGATGAAGATGAGGATGATGGAACATCTGATGGTGAGGTAGCTAGCATAGATAAAGATGAGGAAGAAGATACTAACAGTGAAAGGGCTCTCGCTTCTAAAGTTTGTACATTCACTTCTAGTGGCAACAATTTCATGGAACAACATTGGTATTTTTGTTATACCTGTGATCTGACTGGATCAAAAGGCTGCTGCTCTGTTTGTGCTAAAGTCTGTCACCGTGGTCATCGTGTTGTTTATTCACGCTCCAGTCGGTTTTTCTGTGACTGTGGAGCAGGAGGTAATAGGGGTAGTAGTTGCCAATGCTTGAAGCCTCGAAAATTCACTGGTTGTGATAGTGCTCTTAATTGCAGTGCCACCAATTTTCAGTCCTTTATACCTGTCACAGAGGATGCAGATCAGCTGCCAGAAAGTGATTCAGATGTGGATGAGGATGTCGGGGCAGATATCGAAAACTCGCTCAGGTTGTCTGTTCCAAAAGAGCTTCAAGATAGTATCCCTATGTTGCTTGAAGAACTTGATGTTGAGAGTCGGGTGCTTGAACTTTGCTTTACATTGTTGCCTTCTATAACAAGCAAGAGGGGATCCGACCTTTCAAAAGATAAGAAAATTATTCTGGGCAAAGACAAAGTTCTTTCTTATGGTGTAGATCTCTTGCAATTGAAGAAGGCATACAAAAGTGGGTCCTTGGATCTGAAGATAAAGGCTGATTATTCGAATGCCAAAGAACTTAAATCACATTTAACTAGTGGTTCTCTTGTCAAATCATTGCTCAGTGTCAGTAATCGAGGTAGACTTGCTGTTGGAGAAGGTGACAAAGTTACTATATTTGATGTTGGGCAGTTAATACCAGCCACTATTGCACCTGTAACAGCAGACAAGGCCAATCTTAAGGCTTTATCCAAGAACCTTGTTTGGTTTGAAATTGTTCACCTTTCATTTAATCCTGTGGTAGAGAATTACCTTGCTGTGGCAGGGTATGAAGATTGCCAGGTTCTTACTTTGAATCCTCGTGGAGAAGTGACCGATCGTCTGGCCGTTGAACTTGCCCTGCAAGGTGCATATATCAGACGGATAGAGTGGGTACCTGGTTCTCAGGTTCAGTTAATGGTGGTTGCTAACAGGTTTGTCAAAATATATGATCTATCTCAAGACAACATCAGTCCTATGCATTACTTTACGTTGCCAGATGACACAATAGTCGATGCAACACTTTTTGTGCCCTCTCAGGGAAGGATGTTTCTTATTGTCTTTTCAGAACAAGGGAGTTTATTTAGGCTGCAACTATCTTTTGAGTGTCACATGGGGCCTACACCTTTGAAGGAAATAATTCGTATTCAGGACAGAGAAATTCATGCAAACGGCTCATCTTTGTACTTTGCTTCTACTTATAAGTTACTTTTCTTGTCCTATCAGGATGGCACTACTTTGATAGGCCGGTTAAGTCCCAATGCCTCATCATTGACTGAGATATCTTGTGTTTATGAGGAGGAGCAAGATGGTAAGCTTCGACCAGCTGGATTGAATCAATGGAAAGAGTTACTGGTTGGTAGTGGGTTATTCTGTGGCTTCTCAAGTGTGAAATCAAATTCTGCACTTGCAGTATCCATGGGTGCTCATGAGTTTTTTGCACAGAATTTGAGGCATGCTATGAGCTCTTCCTCACCTTTAGTTGGGATAACTGCATATAAGCCCTTATCTAAAGACAAGGTCCACTGTCTTGTTTTACATGATGATGGGAGCCTTCAGATATATTCTCATGTTCCTGTAGGAGTGGATGCCAGTACTAGTGCCACTGCTGAGAAAGTGAAAACATTGGGTTCTAGTGTCCTTAATAATAAAGCTTATGCTGACACAAAGCTAGAATTCCCCCTTGACTTCTTTGAGAAAACAGTTTGCATTACAGTAGATGTGAAACTGGGTGGTGATGCTATCAAGAATGGTGATTCTGAAGGAGCTAAACAGAGCTTGGCGTCAGAGGATGGTTTTCTAGAAAGTCCAAGTCCTACAGGATTTAAGGTGTTTCTTTATATTCCTTTTTCTTTTTATCTGTAGTTTTTATAGCCATTGGTTAAATGTTTGGCTTCGGTGAGTGTTTGCTATACTATTTACTTATGTACTCTTGAGTTTGTCTTTACTAGCTGCTAGTGGGATTTGCCATGATCATTGTGATGATGTAAAATTGCCTTTTAATGAGTTAGGCTTCCTTACAACAAGATTTCTACCGTTTATACAGCACTTAAAACTCCATCTGGCAGTATGAGCATGAGGCTGACATTTTGCTTGTGTTAAACTAGTGGTCACCCAACATTACTTCTAAAAACATTCGAAAAGTGTCAATCATGCACTTAGAGTTGTGAGTGCTTGTTCAGCCTGTTACATATAGTTGCATTTTCTATGTTTTGTTAAGGTCTTAAATATTCATCCCTTTGAATATTATAATTGATTTTTTTTTTCAGATATCTGTTTCCAATTCAAACCCTGATATTGTCATGGTCGGTTTTCGTATATATGTGGGTAATCAATCAGCAAACCATATACCTTCTGAGATTACCATTTTCCAGAGGGTGATAAAGCTTGATGAGGGCATGCGGTCCTGGTATGACATCCCATTCACTATAGCTGAATCACTACTTGCTGATGAGGAATTCATCATCTCTGTTGGTCCAACCTTCAGTGGTTCGGCTCTACCTAGAATAGATTCACTTGAAGTTTATGGTCGAGCTAAAGATGAATTTGGTTGGAAGGAAAAAATGGATGCAGTATTAGATATGGAAGCTCGTGTTCTTGGTTCCAATTCCTTGCTTGCAGGTTCAGGTAAAAAGAGCCGGTCAATGCAGTCTGCTCCTATTCAGGAACAGGTGGTGGCTGATGGTCTTAAGCTTCTCTCGCGGATTTACCCTCTATGCAGATCACAAGAAGAGCATCTAAAAGCTGATCTGAGCAAGCTAAAGAGCAAGCAGTTGTTGGAAGCAATATTTGAGAGTGATAGGGAACACTTGATGCAGGGTGCTGCTTTCCGTGTTCTGCAGGCTGTGTTTCCTAAAAAAGATATATACTACCAGGTACTGGCCAAAATGGAATGTTTATAACCTAATACTATGTTGCCTGAGCTGGTTTATGTAAGTGTCTCATTAGTCTCTAATAATGAGAAATTCTCTGCTTTAGGCGAAGGACACCATGCGTCTTCTTGGGGTGGTCAAGTCTACATCTGTTCTTTCTTCAAGGCTTGGAATTGGTGGTGCTACAGGAGGGTGGCTTATTGAGGAGTTCACTGCTCAAATGCGGGCTGTGTCTAAAATTGCTCTGCACCGTCACTCTAATTTAGCCATTTTCTTGGAGATGAATGGTATAAGCTTTATGCATAGGTTCCCTTTATATTAAATCTGGCATATTAATGTGTATTTACCAAGTAATATCGACACTTGCTCAAGCGTTCCCATTTAGCTCGGACACTTTATGCATCTTGAATGCCTTCTCTGCATGTAACTGGAAAAAAACCATTTCCTGAAGCTTGACATGTTTGTTGATTGGCTGTTGTTTTCATGTCTCTTGGTATTCTCATATTTGCTTCTGTCAATATTTAGGTCTTTTTTAACCTCGAACTGTTAATAGAGGGTTAAGTTTGTTTCCCCCTTAAAAATATCCAAAGAAAGTCCATATAGAGCAAATGGGTTTGCAACTTTTGAATCTTATGAGAATGATGTTTCAGTTTGTTTTGCATTTAGGAAATATTTGCTTTTCTTTCTTTTTTGATGGGGGTGGAGGTGGGGGAGCTGATTTATATTTCTAAAATAATTTTTTATTATGTAGGTTCCGAAGTTGTGGATGGGCTTATGCAGGTTTTGTGGGGAATTTTAGACTTTGAACTGCCTGACACACAAACTATGAATAATATTGTGATATCTGCCGTGGAGCTAATTTACAGTTATGCTGAATGTTTGGCTTTGCATGGAAAGGACACAGGGAGGTGCTCTGTGGCACCTGCTCTTTTATTATTCAAAAAACTTCTCTTCTTCCCAAACAAGGCAGTTCAAACTTCTAGCAGGTACTTGTTTTAATAATTGCTGCTGCGTATGGGTCTATTGTAGCATTTTGGGTGCTTACTTATGCTTCTTTTTCAGTTTGGCCATATCATCAAGACTGCTCCAGGTACCATTTCCAAAACAAACTATGTTAGGAAATGATGATGCAGTAGAAAGTGCAGTAATAGCCTCTGTGCCTGCTGATACTTCTGGCGGAAATACGCAAGTCGTGATTGAAGAAGATTCTATAACCTCATCTGTTCAATACAGTTGTGATGGCTGTTCTACTGTTCCCATACTAAGGCGGAGATGGCATTGCACTGTGTGTCCTGATTTTGACTTATGTGAGGCATGCTATGGAGTTCTAGATGCTGATAGGCTTCCCTCACCCCATTCTAGAGATCATCCTATGACTGCAATTCCAATACAAGTGGAATCTGTTGGAGGAGATGGCAGTGAAATTCGCTTCTCCACAGATGATTTGAGTGATTCAAACTTGGTGACATCTGTAACAGATGTCAGCGTGCAGACTTCTGTGCCTTCAATTCATGTCTTAGAACCGAGTGAATCCATGGAGTTCTCTTCTTCAATGACTGACCCTGTTTCAATTTCTGCTTCAAAACAAGTTGTGAATTCCGTGCTTCTGTCTGAGCTTCTTGAACAGTTGAAAAGGTGGATGGAGACCACTTCTGGGGTTCGAGCTATCCCTGTTATGCAACTTTTCTACAGATTATCATCTGCTGTGGGTGGGCCTTTTATTGACAGTTCAAAGTCTGAAACCTTAGATTTGGAAAAATTAGTTAAATGGTTTTTGGATGAAATTAACCTCAATAAACCTTTTGTAGCTAGAACACGGTCTTCTTTTGGAGAAGTGGCGATCCTTGTCTTCATGTTTTTCACCTTGATGCTCCGAAACTGGCACCAGCCTGGTAGTGATGTTGCTGCTTCCAAAGCATCTGGGAATGTGGACACACCTGATAAAAGTGCTACTCAAGTCTCTTGTTCGCTTGCCTCTCAGTCTTCCTTAGTGGATCATGACAATATGGACTTTGCATCCCAACTTCTTCGAGCTTGCAATTGTCTTAGGGACCAAGCTTTTGTTAATTATCTAATGGATATCCTGCACCAGCTAGTGCATGTTTTTAAGTCACCGACTGCTGGTCCTGAAAGTGCTCATGGTTCAAATGTTGCTTCTGGATGTGGGGCTTTATTGGCAGTCCGAAGAGATTTACCTGCTGGTAATTTTTCTCCCTTCTTTTCAGATTCATATGCCAAAGCTCATCAAGCAGATATTTTTATGGACTACCACAGGCTACTGTTAGAGAATGCATTTCGATTGGTGTACACTTTAGTAAGACCAGAAAAACAAGATAAGAGTGGGGAGAAAGAAAAGGTTTGTAAGACATCCTCTGGTAAGGATTTGAAGCTTGATGGGTATCAGGAAGTCCTCTGCAGTTATATCAATAATCCTCATACAACATTTGTGAGAAGATATGCAAGGAGGCTGTTTCTGCATCTCTGCGGAAGCAAAACTCAATACTATAGTGTTCGGGACTCTTGGCAATTCTCAACTGAAGTGAAGAAACTATACAAACATGTAAATAAATCTGGTGGATTTCAAAATCCTGTCCCATATGAAAGAAGTGTTAAGATAGTTAAGTGCCTTTCTACAATGGCTGAAGTGGCTGCTGCCCGACCTCGGAACTGGCAGAAGTACTGCTTGAGACATGATGATGTTTTGCCCTTCCTAATAAATGGGATATTCTATTTTGGTGAGGAGTCCGTCATTCAGACTCTTAAATTATTAAATTTGGCATTCTATTTAGGGAAGGATATGAATCACTCTTTGCAAAAAGCAGAATCTGGGGATTCAGGAACTAGTTCAAACAAATCAGCCACACAATCTCTGGATTCAAAGAAGAAGAAGAAGAGTGATGATGGAATTGAATCTGGTTCAGAGAAATCTTTTGTGGATATGCAGGTGGTGGTTGAAATCTTTACTGATAAGGGGGGTGATGTCTTGAGGCAATTTATTGATTACTTTTTAATGGAATGGAACTCAAGCTCTGTACGTTCAGAGGCCAAGTGCGTTCTGTATGGTGTGTGGCATCATGGGAAGCATTCATTCAAAGAAACTGTGTTGGCAGCTCTCTTGCAAAAGGTCAAATGCTTGCCAATGTATGGTCAGAATATTGTAGAGTATACTGAACTTGTCACTTGGTTACTGGGTAAGTTCCCTGATAACAGTTCAAAACAACAGGCAGAACTTGTGGACCACTGCTTGACCCCTGATGTTGTTAGGAGTATATTTGAGACACTTCATTCACAAAATGAACTCTTAGCTAATCATCCAAATTCTCGCATATATAACGCATTGAGCAGTCTGGTAGAATTTGATGGTTACTATCTTGAGAGTGAGCCATGTGTTGCCTGCAGCTCTCCTGAGGTTCCATATGGCAGAATGAAGCTAGAAAGTTTGAAATCTGAAACCAAGTTTACTGACAACCGCATCATTGTGAAATGTACAGGAAGTTATACAATCCAGACTGTGACTATGAATGTTCATGATGCCCATAAGTCCAAGTCAGTAAAAGTCTTGAACCTGTATTATAACAATCGACCTGTGGCTGACTTGTCAGAGTTGAAAAATAATTGGTCATTATGGAAGCGCGCAAAGAGTTGTCATCTTGCTTTCAACCAGATTGAGCTGAAAGTGGAGTTCCCCATTCCAATTACTGCTTGTAACTTCATGTTTGAGCTTGATTCTTTCTATGAAAATCTTCAAGCCTTATCCCTTGAACCATTGCAATGTCCACGATGCAGCCGACCTGTCACTGATAAGCATGGAATTTGCAGTAGCTGCCATGAAAATGCATATCAATGCAGGCAGTGCCGCAATATCAATTATGAGAATCTGGATTCTTTTCTGTGCAATGAGTGTGGATACAGCAAGTATGGTCGGTTTGAGTTTAACTTCATGGCTAAGCCAAGTTTTACATTTGATTACATGGAGAATGATGAAGACATGAAGAGAGGGTTGGCAGCTATAGAAGCTGAATCAGAAAATGCTCATAGGAGATATCAGCAACTTCTGGGCTTTAAAAAGCCCCTTCTGAAGATTGTGTCAAGCATTGGTGAAAATGATATGGATTCATTACAGAAAGACTCTGTCCAGCAAATGATGGTCTCCTTGCCTGGCCCTTCATGTAAGATAAACCGCAAAATTGCTCTTCTAGGTGTTCTTTATGGTGAGAAGTGCAAAGCTGCTTTTGATTCTGTTAGTAAAAGTGTTCAGACACTGCAGGGTCTTCGTTGGGTATTAATGAATTACTTGCACCAGAAACATTCGGATAATTCAGGGGCTGGGTTGAGGTTTGTAATTTCCAGATCCCCAAATAACTGCTATGGCTGTGCGACGACATTTGTCACACAGTGTCTTGAGATCCTACAGGTGCTGTCAAAACATCTAAATTCTAAGAAACAACTTGTTGCAGCTGGCATCTTGCCTGAGTTGTTTGAAAATAATATTCACCAAGGACCTAAAACTGCTCGTGTCCAAGCTAGGGCAGCCCTTTGTGCTTTCTCCGAAGGTGATATTAATGCAGTAGCTGAGTTGAACAGTTTGATACAGAAGAAAGTCATGTACTGCCTTGAACATCATCGCTCCATGGACATTGCTGTTGCCTCTCGTGAGGAATTGTTATTGCTTTCAGATGTGTGTTCCCTGGCTGATGAATTCTGGGAATCAAGATTGCGTGTGGTTTTCCATCTGTTATTTTCTTCCATAAAATTGGGTGCGAAGCATCCTGCCATATCGGAGCACATAATTCTTCCTTGTTTAAGGATTATATCTTTGGCTTGTACACCTCCAAAACCTGATAATGCAGGAAAGGATCAAGGTTTTGGCAAATCTACTCCAGTTACGCAGCTGAAGGATGAAAAGAACTCAACTATATTTGGTACTCGTGGTGATGCTAACAGTTCTAATAAATTGATGCCAGAACCTCTGGAAAAAAATTGGGATGCTTCTCATAAGACTCAAGATATTCAATTGCTCAGTTATTCTGAGTGGGAGAAGGGGGCATCATATCTTGATTTTGTCAGAAGGCAATATAAAGTGTCTCAAGCTGTCAAAGGTGTGGGCCAGAGGTCTCGGCTGCATAGAACTGACTTCCTGGCCCTCAAATATGGACTAAGGTGGAAGCGCTCTGCTTGTAAATCAACCAAAGGTGACTTGCCAGTGTTTGAGCTGGGATCATGGGTTACAGCACTTGTTCTGAGTGCTTGCTCTCAATCTATTCGGTCCGAGATGTGTACGCTAATTAGTTTACTTTGTGCTCAAAGTTCATCAAGAAGATTTCGGTTGCTGAACCTTTTGATGGGTTTGTTACCAGAAACTCTTGCTGCTGGTGAAAGTGCTGCAGAATATTTTGAGTTACTATTCCAGATGATTGATTCAGAAGATGCTCGTCTTTTCTTGACAGTAAGCGGATGCCTAGGTACAATTTGTAAGTTGATTACCCTGGAAGTGGGCAATATTGAATCACTTGAGAGGAGCCTGCATATCAACATTTCGCAAGGATTCATTCTCCATAAGCTCATAGAGCTCCTTGGCAAATTTCTGGAGGTTCCAAATATCAGATCCAGGTATTAAAACTTCTTGTTATTTTCATTAATAATGAAATTACCCCCTCATCTTCTAATTGATTTTGTTTTGCAACAGATTCATGCGAGACAATTTGTTGTCTGAAGTCCTCGAGGCTCTGATTGTAATTCGTGGATTGATAGTGCAGAAGACTAAGTTGATTAGTGATTGCAATCAACTTCTAAAAGATCTTCTAGATAGTCTTCTTCTTGAAAGTAGTGAGAACAAACGACAATTCATCCGTGCTTGTATCTGTGGTCTGCAGATTCATGGCGAGGAGAAGAAAGGAAGAACTTGTTTGGTATGGAATAAATAAATTATCCTGGTTTTTTGTTTTTTCCTGAAATAGTTGTCTTGTTAATGTCAACAACGTTTAAAAACAGTACCCAAACTTTTGATACCATCAAAGTACTGATGGTGTCACTGTGAATTATGTTTATCCAGCAGCCCTAATTAGAATTGGTCTATACGATTAGTAACGGGTTTCATATGTGTCAGAGGTTATCTTCAGGTCTCTTTTTCTTGCTTAACTGCTCTGTCGATGAGAAACTAAACTGTCTTTGGTTGAGATTTTGCACAAATGTATACATTTGTATGGTTAAAACTTTTCCTTATGTTCCTTCAAAGAGTGATTAAGAATGGGTTACAATAATGCAACTTCTGATTTGCGACTAATTTAAATTATATGAATTTATGGCAGTTTATTTTAGAGCAACTTTGCAACTTGATCTGCCCATCAAAACCAGAGGCTGTGTATCTGTTGGTTCTGAACAAGGCTCACACACAAGAAGAGTTTATTAGGGGATCAATGACTAAGAATCCATATTCAAGTGCTGAGATTGGTCCGCTAATGCGTGATGTTAAAAATAAAATTTGCCATCAATTGGATCTGATAGGTCTTCTTGAAGATGACTATGGCATGGAGCTGTTAGTAGCTGGGAATATAATTTCTCTTGATTTGAGCATTGCTCAAGTTTATGACCAAGTATGGAAGAAGTCAAACAGTCAATCTTCGAGCGCCATAGCTAATTCTTCACTGTTATCATCTGGTCCTATTACATCAGCCAGAGATTGCTCACCCATGATAGTGACTTACCGGCTTCAGGTTTGTTACTGGTCTTTCTAGTCAATGCCTTGTTCTTTTTGTCTTGAAATTATTCAGAAAGGACTTAGAGTCATCTATGGAGTGAATAAATTTCTGGAATAAAACTCTTATTTTCTTGATTACAATGCTAGAATTGCATGAGAACATATAGGCTAAAGACTGAATATTCCCAGCCCTTAAACCCGAGATTTCTATGCATAAAAAAAAGAAACAACAGCTAACTAAGGAGAGAGTTACTCTCTACATGTAATAGTAAAATAACTAATGGATTTGGTGAAATTACCCAAATCACTTCTTATTCTAAAAATAAGAAACTTAACTAAAATAGACAAAGTCAACTAATCGAGCAATAATAACCAGATTTCCACATGAATGAATGCCTTTCACCACTTGTGTAATTGCCTTACAAATGCATTTTGCATATGGGAATCCTTATATTGGAATAGTGTTCATTGAACTTAACATCATGCTTATCCTCTATGTTTTCTGCATTCTGCTTTTCCAACTTAAAATCCATTTTGAGCAGAGCTTATGAAATTCAATATTAAAAAATGGCTTTGATTTGCGAGTTTGAGACCAAAAGGATCTGGCATTTATTTATTTATTTATTCTGTTCAATTGACAGGGTTTAGATGGTGAAGCTACTGAGCCTATGATAAAAGAATTGGAGGAAGACAGAGAGGAATCACAAGATCCAGAGGTTGAGTTTGCAATAGCTGGTGCAGTCCGTGATTATGATGGGCTGGAAATCTTGTTGCGCATGATTCAGGTGTGTGGGTTTACTTAATAACTCTGCAAACTAACCATAATAATTTTTATTTATATCATGCATAGAATTTTGATAATGGGACAACTGCTTTTAAAATGAAATAAAATTTATCCTTTGAATGTACAGCATTTGCGAGATGACTTCAAGTCCAACCAAGAGCAGTTGGTTGCTGTTCTCAATCTCCTCATGCATTGCTGCAAGATTAGAGAGAACAGAAGGGCCTTATTAGGGCTTGGAGCTTTAGGTCTACTTCTTGAAACAGCAAGGTGTGCCTTCTCTGTGGATGCCATGGAGCCAGCTGAAGGCATTCTTCTGATTGTAGAGAGTCTGACAATGGAAGCAAACGAGAGTGACAATATTAGTATTTCACAGAGTGTACTTACGACCAATGAGGAAACTGGGACTGGAGAGCAAGCAAAGAAAATAATTCTTATGTTCCTGGATAGGCTGTGTCATCCTTCAGGGCTTAAGAAATCAAACAAACAACAGAGGAACACTGAGATGGTCGCAAGAATCTTGCCCTACTTGACTTATGGTGAACCTGCTGCCATGGAAGCACTTATCCAGCATTTTAACCCATACTTGCTGGACTGGGGTGAATTTGACCGGTTGCAGAAACAGCAGCAAGACAATCCTAAAGATGAAAGCATTGCTCAGCAAGCAACCAAGCAGCGGTTCGCAGTGGAAAATTTTGTTAGGGTTTCAGAATCGCTGAAAACAAGTTCCTGTGGGGAGAGATTGAAGGATATTATCCTAGAGAAGGGCATTGCAGGTGTAGCTGTTAGACATTTGAGTGAGAGTTTTGCAGTTGCAGGGAAGGCTGGCTTTAGATCTAGTGCAGAATGGTCGTCAGCTTTGAAACTGCCATCTGTCCCATATGTATTATCAATGCTCAGGGGCTTATCAATAGGGCACTTTGCCACTCAAAGTTGTATTGATGAGGGTGGGATCTTACCCTTACTCCATGCGATGGAAAGTGTGTCTGGTGAGAATGAGATTGGGGCAAAGGCAGAAAATTTGTTAGACACTCTATCTAACAAGGAGGGTAAAGGAGATGGATTCTTGGAGGAAAAGGTGCATAGGTTGCGGCATGCAACTAGAGATGATAGGAGACGGCGAGCTCAAAGGAAGAGAGAAGAGTTGCTTCAGGTATTTTTAATTGAGTTTAAGTACCTCTGCTCGTATATGTGGTTGCATACCTGTTGCAGGATAGAGGAATTTTCCAATAAGTAATAATTTCTAGCTTATTATTATCTTTTTGTGTATCCATATGCACATAGCCTTCTACTTTCATTTCTTTTGTCATGAAAATTATAATTGTGAATGTTTTCAATTGTATGGTTGTATTTCTTTAATATGGGTCTTATAGCCTATAGTATTCTATTGTTGTTGTAAGCGTGTATTTTAAAGGATGAGGCCTGTAGAAACAGATTAGACATTTATACACCAGTTTTTCTTCTCTTTTCTTTTATTTATTTGTTTATTTTGGCAAGAAAAGCTGAATCAATTATTTTTATTCTTTTGGCAACTGTACAGGGACTTGGAATGCGACAAGAACTGGCTTCAGACGGTGGTAAGCGAATAGTTGTTGCGCAGCCTCTTCTGGAAGGTTTGGAAGATGTGGAAGAGGAGGAAGATGGGCTGGCATGCATGGTATGTCGAGAAGGCTACAGTTTGAGACCTACTGATTTGCTGGGTGTTTACTCTTACAGCAAGCGAGTAAACCTAGGCGTTGGCACTTCAGGGACTGCACGTGGAGAATGTGTTTATACTACTGTTAGTTCCTTTAATTGTATTCATTTCCAGTGCCATCAGGAGGCCAAAAGAGCAGATGCTGCTTTGAAGAATCCAAAGAAAGAGTGGGAGGGTGCTACTCTCAGAAACAATGAATCACTGTGCAATTCTTTATTTCCTGTGAGAGGTCCATCAGTTCCACTAGCTCGGTATGTTCGCTATGTTGATCAATACTGGGATAACCTCAATGCTCTTGGTCGTGCTGATGGAAGTCGGTTCCGGCTGTTGACTTATGATATTGTTCTGGTATGCTCTTCCATCTAGCTTGCTATTAACCTTACTGTAAGTTTCATTCTAGAGTGTGCCTTCCATATCTAATATTTTCTGCAAATCTTCTGCACAGATGCTAGCTCGATTTGCAACAGGGGCATCCTTCAGTGCAGAGAGTAGGGGCGGTGGAAGCGAAAGCAACTCCCGCTTTTTACCTTTCATGATTCAAATGGCTCGTCACCTTCTTGAACAGGGAGGCCCCTCTCAGAGACATAACATAGCCAAGGCGGTGGCAACATATATAGCATCCTCAACATCAGATACCAAATCCATCACTGGTGGAACTCAACCTTTGGGAAATGAAGAAACTGTTCAGTTCATGATGGTAAATTCACTACTTTCAGAGTCCTACGAATCATGGTTGCAACATAGACGCGACTTTTTGCAACGTGGAATATGCCATGCCTATATGCAGCATACTCATGGCCGGTCAACAGCTAAGATAGAATCAGCAAGTAGCAGCAAAAGTCCCACCTCAGAATCTGGTGCTAATGAGCTACTGTCTATTGTTCGACCAATGCTGGTGTACACCGGCTTGATCGAGCAGTTGCAGCAAATTTTCAAGGTTAAGAAACCGTCAGGTTTGGCATCTAACAAAGCTGAAGGAACATGTACAAGATCTGAAGATGAAGGCTTGGAAGGTTGGGAGGTGGTGATGAAAGAGCGGTTGTTGAATGTGAAGGAAATGCTAGGGTTCGCCAAGGAGTTGCTCTCATGGCTCGATGAAATGAGTGCTGCTAGTGATTTGCAGGAGGCATTTGACATCATTGGCGCATTGGGTGATGTCTTATCTGGTGGATTTTCAAGGTGTGAGGATTTTGTGGAAGCCGCTATTGCTGCAGGAAAAATGTGAGGCTTAGATCAAAAGCTGGGGCATGTGAATTTTTGTTATCAATAGCTGCTTTTTACCTTTTTTTTTTTGTAATTTCCATTACATGAACAAGGGGGTTTAAATCCTCCTATAAGATGTGATAGAAAAATATGTTGAACACGTATTTCTTTTCCTAGTTAATAAAATCATTTTTCCTGTAAAAACATGGGCTCTGTGCTGCTGCCATCATCTCTGTTGTGTTTCATCAGTCAAAGCCACATTGATAAGTGTGAGATACCCCCATTGAATAGAATGAATATTAAAGGTGACAGCTATACCTGAGTACGAATCCATGAGATTTCCCCATCCAACAGTAAATGCTGAAAGAAAAAAAAAAAAAAAAACACCCTAGACAAAAGGAAGGATCGCAGTATATTTGTTGCCATTATTTTGCCGCTCAATGTTTGTACATTTGTCGCTTCTTCAGCCTTTTTATCAATGGATTTAACTCTATCATGCATTCTTTTCCTTTTTTTCTTGTATAAAATGGAAATTTTAGTTTTTTATAGGTTTCAAGACTCATCACTCCTAGGCAAATAATCAGGGGTAGGGTTGATTTTAGTTTTATTTATACAATGCCATTTCCATAAATGCCTAAACAGTAATACTATTATATTATTATAAAATAACAAAACATTGTATTCCTCAATGGAAGATAAAAAAAAAAAAAATCCAAATCTAGGACTATATTAATTAACTAATTAATTAAACTATATACATATGGTGATCTGATATCCAAATTAACGCTGTCTTTTCCATAGAAAGTTGGAAACACTGTTACTCATTTCTACTATGATATCTTAAGATACTGTGATTAAATAATAGTAGCAATAATAAAGCAGCTTCTCATATATGAATGGAAGCCTCGGTCTCAAACAAGTACAAATAAAAGAATATATAACAACTTCCCCCTAGGAGAATCGATGCAACCTGGCAAACCAAGAAGCATAGACATTTACATTTGGTCTAAGATATAACAATCTGTGGACCTTGGCATGGTAAAAATGAGCACCCCAATCGGATGAAAAAGGAACTGAATGAAGAAAATGGGACAAAGAATCGTATACTAGCTTTTTCCTGTTCTGCGCCTCTTATAAGCCTGATCAGACTCCTCAGTGTAGCTATGAACTCCAGTTTGTGCCATCACTTGATTGCTTGTATATTGGATTTCCCTTTCCTATATGAAGGGTGAAACAAAAAAAAAAAAGGTAAGACAAATAAGGCAAAGAGTTACATGTCTCATGTCAGGTTTCTAAGCTTGAACCTTGCTAAAAAGGGTTATGGATAGTTGAAGACAGAGGAACAGGAAAACAATTATCTTAGTTTATACTTATTTCAGAAGAGGGTTTCTTAAGAACTGGAAAGGATTATAACTAAACCTTATAACTGGACGCCATCGAAGTCACTCCAGTAGCTACTCGTTTACCAACATCAATTTGCACAGAGATGCTTGCCAGTGACATATCCACACCTGAAGATTCCAGAGCTTGGGTCAGAGAGTTCAATACCCTGTTCAACAAAAAAAAAAACTCTTTAATAGCATGTATAAAAACCTATGCTGAAAGGACGTCATAGAAATTCTATGATTAAACAGATAATGTCATTAACCCCAAAATTTGAGAAAGAAATTGTTAGAATGCCAACTCATTTTCTTCATGTCAGGTCAAAATCCAAGGAATTACAAGTCAAAACTTTATCGAAAAAGATTTCTTAAAACAATAAACAAAGATTAGTAACCATAATTTACAGATTCTGACTAAATGTGGGCAATAAGTAAACCTCTGAAACACCAGCCCATCAGCTCAGAGGAGACATGAGTTTCTAAGATCAACGGTGTGTAAACATAAATAGAAGGTATTCTAAGGAAAGCCTACATCCTAAATGATTCATTGTCCTGCATATTCATCAATACTATAAAACTATATAGATGTAAATTTTTAATGAGTTTAGAGCTGGCAATCTTCAATTGCCACTGTTTCCACATGTGATATAATAGGTCAAACAAAGCTATGATAGCAAGAAAAGTAATACACACTGTTACCAATGCAAAATTCTGACATTTAGAGCAACCAAATTGTATGAAGTACATGGCAGACACTCACCCTTGAGAGTAGGCGCTTGACAAGACTTCTGATTCACCTCTGATTGTCAAGTCCTCCCCTTCATTTGCTGAGTTCTTTTGAACATTAGACTCGGTTAAACACTCACTACTTTGCCATGATTGGAATTGAGGTTGATACACCATGTTCTCAGAATCAGAAGTGGACTCATGAAAAGAGTGTGTCGGGATGCTAACTCTTCTATGAGTAGCAAATGTGTTTGATTGTGTCTGCATGTTAACCATAGAAGTAGCTGATCCAGGGGGATGATCCAGTGCTTTAAAAACTGCAGCATTACCCAAGTCAGACTCAATTGAGTTCTGTGCATTTGCAAGCATTGACTGAATGACAACATCATTCTCACAACTAGATCCATTCTTTATAACTTGAGAATGGTCAATAAAACTTTCTGCAAGCCCGTGATGATTTCTCTGTATGAAAAACAAGAACAAAACTTAGTAAGCTTGCTCTTGAATTATTATTTATAGAACATTCCAGTTGTAACTCACGAACAGACCAAGTTTAAAACACAGAGAAAAAATCTCCATCCTATTTCTGTATATTTCCTCTTGCCTAAACATAGGGTGCATTCATCTATTATCTATAGAAAACAACTAGATGTATGCTTGGAAGCAGTTGTCTCCAAAAATTCAATAGTATGCCCTAGAACTTCGACACCATGCTTTTAGCATTTTAAATCTCCAATAATACAGCATCATGGACATTAATGTCAACCATTAACATATATCAACACATCAAGGTAAAAGCAATACATATTCATGCAAAATGACCACATCGGCATGTCTACAGAGGCCCAAACACCAAGCATAAAAAAGATTACCCATGGAATCAGTTTTGTTGGCTCCTGGCTCCACCCTTGGCATGATCCCTCATACATTTGCAACTTTTCCTGTAAAAACTGAATGTACTCTATGACCTACGCATAAAGTAGATGATATTAAAGAATTCATTAATGAGGAACACATAATAAATATAAATGATTGCATTTAAGCATGTATAAACATATGTAACATTTACATATACTACAGAAAAGAACGTCATTGAGCGGTGACCTCTAACAGAAAAGAAGCCTTGTCTCTCTTTTGATCATTTTGAGGTATAAGATCTCTCAAAGCCTGAAATCTGCCACATAAAAATAATTAATTTCAAATGTGAGAGCAATTCAGCTTCAAGTTGAAACAAAAAGAGGAATAGTAACATGTAGCAAAAGCAATTATTAAAGGATTTTTGTGATAACATAGGTTAACAATGCAATTACCAAAAGGTTTCATATATATTAAGCAATCCAACCTAAAATCAATGGCCTATAAGCAAATCGGCCGCGGCCCAACCTGAATATAAAGCCACATAAAAATCTAAACTTGACCTAATATGAGATAACACTACTTAAAACTACTCTTTGCCGTTTCATTTCATTAACAATACTATTACAATCAATCCCTTTAATATAAATATTTCTAAGAATTTCTCGCATTAATAACTAATTCATCCGAACATTTTCATTTCTGGCATTCAATTTAAACTTATATACAAAATTAAACCCAAAAGACGGGAAAAAAAAAACAACACAATTAGTTTTAAGAAATGAAAAATTTGAAGTTTATACCTTCCATTAATCTTGCTTCTTCTACGCTGCTCAGTCTCGGAATGCTTAGTCCGATTCATATTCGTCTTTTGATCACATCCTTTCCCTTCTACTTTCACTGATTCCCCTATTTTTACCAAAAGAAATCACATTTTAATTAAAAAATGAAAAATAATAACAATAATAGCAACACTTATTAAAAAAAAAAAAAACCTTTATCTTCGTAATCAACTTCGTCTTCTTCTTCTTGATGAAGCTGAGGCGTTGCCACAGACTTCACCATTTTTCTTCTTGATTTTTTTCTTAAATCTCTATAAAAATTCTAGGAAAAAAGAAAAGCCGAAGCGGCGGGGCGGGAAATGGAGCTCCGAGTGACAGAGGTTCGAAGGAGTCAGGTCGGCGGGTCAGCTTTTGCAGAGAAAAGATATGATAGGGTTTTTTATTACTTTTATTATTATTTGTCCCAAAAAAAGAGGAAGGAATTAAAATTTTCGGATTGATTGATTGATTGATTTTTATTTGAAAATTATTTGATTTTCTATTTTTTATCTAAATTTATGCTGGCAGTGGTGAATGCTATTGTACGCCGTGTTTGGTGACGTTTAAGAAGAGGGGCACTCTGGGTTTTTCATAATGGAACTTTTTTTATAAATATTATAAAAAAACAAATGTTCAGACACCAAAGCAATCATTTTTTTCTTTTCGACAAAAAACATCGCCAAATTCCAGAGATGGGAATGTCAAAGCGCTCTAACCTGTGACCGAGAGCCTTTGTTGCGGTATTTATTATTAGAATATTACGTAATATAATACGAATATAATAAATTTTAATTTTAATAATAATTATATATAAATTAAAAAAATAAATTATATATTTATATATTAATATAAATTATAATACATAATTTTTGCATAAAATATAACATGAATATAAAAATTATAATATTTTAAATTATATAAATACACATTTTCAAATCTACTTATTTGCTGCAGCCGTGAGCCATATTTGAGTTGTGATGAATGCTAGAGAAACTACCCAAAGTGTACTTTATGTCGAAAATGTTTAGCTGCAGAAGCTATTGCAGACTCAGGTCCACTTGGTTCTGCAGTTTTTGTGATGTCAAATTTAGCAGTTTTTGAGAATAAATGACGGCATAAAGACAGCAACAACCTTAAAAATGGTGCGCACGAGCTCCCCTCCTTGTCTTTGCTCATCTTGGTTTAAGCCTGTTTGACCACTCTTTAGCAAAATAAAGGAAAAACCGACAAAGAAATTCAATGGACAGAGAAGATTTAAGTGGTGTTTTGCTTGGTCGATTGATACTATGTGGTTTTCTTCCATGCCATGTCGGGGTTTATAAAGCAAAAATGTTTTTGGAGACTATGCTAATTTCGTATGGACTGTAGGTTGAAATTGCTTGGAAAAACCATCATGCTTGGCTACCAAGATTTCTGAAACGGTCAACTGTTTCAGATAATAAGCCTGCCAATCTGAATTTTAGCATGTGCATGAAGTTGCGTGAAACTTTTTGTTTGAACTACCGAGAAAGTAAGTCCAAGGAAACTTCATTTAAGACAGCAACTTATAATAAAATTGATGTTTTAAATTTTTTTTTTTATTTCAGATACAAAAATATCTGGTCTATAATACCTGGAAAATCCGTAGGGACATTGGATCAGTTTATAAAGCACTGTCCAATAGTATCTGATGGTAATAATGTGCAGGAAAAAAATTCATATCAATGATCAATCATTAACAGCTTAATCTACATCAGAATTTATCATAATATAGCACCAACAATACAGTAGAACCTATTTCATTCTGTTCTTAATCATGTTACATAAATTTCAAGCATGAAAAATGCCAAGAAAACTTTGAAATTTTCCTGAAATGGATAAACAAAATTTTTGTTTTTCTATTAAGAACAAGCTAAGACTAGTCAAAATTGGTTGCAGGCTTACATGAAGAAATGCACTGTAGCTTTTCCCTGTGATGCTCGAATTATATGATCCATCACCATGCCAAAGAGCCTAATATCACATCTGATGGATCTGATTATAGGCCTGAGTCAATGGAGCTTGAGAACTGGTGGAAGGAACCCTACTTCTCCAGCTTGAATCAGAATTCAAGAAATTCTTGCTTACTTCAAATTAGCAGAAGAAACTATATATATGTACGCATTACAATTGTGATGCTGCATTTTAAGAACTTGAACAAAATATATAAGCTCCCATTGTCAATCACCACCATCTTCTTCTTGATCCTCGAATTGAGATTCTTCTTTGAGGTTTGCATCTTCACCTCCAACATCATGACTTCCAGGATGCTGAAAAAACAACCCAGATGAAGATGGATCATTTTCATCGACATCCTCTTCATTTTCCTTTTCTCTTGAGCTTGAACTTTTTTCACCGTCCATCCAAGCAGGGCATCCATGTATGACTCCAAGAGCAGCCTGAACTTGCCAGTGCACCGAAGGACTTGAAGCATTAGATGATGTTTCACCAGAATCAGGCCTCAAGCAAGAACATTCAGGGACAGGATGTGAAAGAAAAGATGAAGACTTTGACTTATTTGATGCTTCAATCAGCCCATCAATTAAAGAGCTTCGCAAATTCCTGCGTATTGATGTTAACCAGGTATGGTTTGCATGATATATGTGGCTACGGATTTCTTCCAAAAGCCTGACGACTTCTAACCTATGTTGGAAGAGCATACAATCAGAACATGTTGAGAGCATAAAGAAAGGCCAAAAAGGAGAGAACACCTTTCAGTTGGCAACTGACAAGTCTTCGAAACATATGGGAAAATGAGATATATTTGGGAAGCAAGTCTATTATCATTACAGAATATGTAAGTGTCATTTATGCTACAGCATACAGTCACAAATTAGTCCAAACTCTGAACTCCAAACAAAGTGAGGAAACCAGAAACTAATAATATGGTATGCAGACAGATATGATTTTGTGGCATTCAGTAATTGATTATACGACTGGCAGAACATGTAACCTTCCATGACTTATCTCAGGGACTCATCAGTGCATCCAACAGATTGTGGTAGAAAAAAAGAAAAGCAAATTCGACCCAGCACCATCATTATCTTTTATGAAAATAACTTACAACTAATTGTGTACATTCAAGCAGACATGTTCAGTCATAGATGTTTACCTGTCTGGCCTGTATGTTTTAGATGCAGCTGACTGATACAATCTGTGTCCCATAACCAGACTGGCAAAATTTGGATGTCCCTTACCATCATGATCAAATCCAGGGATGAAAACATCAGCTTCAACACATACCATATAGTCTATTGCTTCCCATAGTAATTTATGGGCATTAGTTCTCAACTCTACAACTGTACTTTCAGGCTCATTATCACTCTCAGCCACCCAACCCCACCACCCTTCAATATTATAAGTCTTGGGTCTGGCAGGAGGAGGTGGAAGAGGATGGGGACGAGGACCAGAGTTTTTCCATGCATCAAGCTTCATTTCAACCTGCGTAGCTGCTGGAGCCCTTGGGTAAATTTCATCAAGGTTAGCCTCACGGCCATAAATTCTACTGAGCTCCCAAACTGTGCTGAGGGAAGTCCTATCGACAACATTTTCAAACATTCCATGAAGAGGGATCAATGTCCTTTGGCCTCCAAAAACTTCTCCTCCAGCCAAATATATGATTGTGTCCCATCTGTATCCGTATGCACGAAGAAGAATACCAACCTGCAGAAAGACAAGTGATTTCAATCAAGATTTAAAGTTTTCTAAAATTATTTCAACCCTGAGTAATTTCTCCTAACCAAATAGAATGGCTACATTAATTAGCCAGTTATGAAGTGTAGGAGTGGGACCAATAATCACAGGTTGTTTTTAACCCAGTCAAAATGACAAACCCATTTAGAAATTTGTCTTGCCTTTATAAAAGCTCTACCAGTTAAGCATCATAGCATATCTCCTCTCCCCATCATAAATGAAGTGCAAGAGACAGCTTCTAATGTCAGATGGTAAATTGGCCTATTTGGTCTCAAATAATAAGAAAAGGCATAGAACTGAAGCTTCATAAACAAATGAAGTTCACCTATTAAAAATTACCATACTCGTCATTTCTTACCTCTTCTGGCGTTAATGGACAAGAACCCTTGAGGCGTTGTTTTGCGGAATTTACAGAAAGCTGCCCCTTTATAATCCCACGTTTTCTCATCCAAGTTCTTCTATGCTGAATGAGTTCACTATGCACATCCTTGAAGAAGCTCCAAAAGAGAAAAAATATGTCAAATGATGGACAATATTTGCAATAAAAGGTTCAGCAAGTAAAAGCACCAATGATGCCTTCAGAATTCAAAGCAGGTACCTGGAAGAGTTCAGAACAACCATGATAGGCTAAAGCATCTCTTGTCATCCCAGGAGCAAAAGCAATAAAAGGTCGTCCAGAAGCCCGTAACCTTAATTGATAAAACAAAATTAGCAAAAAGGAAACTATATTACAATATATAACCATGTCCAGTTATTTACCTATGCAAAATCTTAGTTGCCAGTTCCTGAACATCCTCTCGGAACCTGAGAGCATGAAAAGCAACCCTACATCTGAGTCTTTGATACTCTTCAAGATGTGACGGAAGAATGGCCTGGATCAGATACAGAAAAAATTAGCAACAATTATAGGCTGCAAGATTCCCATTAGTCTTCACTCTTCATCATGAGATATCAAAAGCACAAAATAATGCTTGTGTAAGAGACTTAAAAAATAGACAAACAAACGGATGAGCATTAAAAATGCTCACGCAAAGAACCGTTTAAGCATAGCAGGTGGGGTTGCTGAAATTTGACATGCAAAGCAAGATCAGCCATTCTTCACTACATAACAATTCTGAGTATCCACGCAAATTGATCTATTATCCATGCAAATTAAGAAACCAAGAACCAATTTGGTGCCAAATAAAAAATAATCATCATTTAGCAATGGGGAACATGTGTCTAACTATAATTATTTTGACATACAAAGTTCAAGAAGAGTTATTCTAACTAGAAAGAAAAATTTTAAAGTTCAAGTCAGAAGGCCTGAGAGAATTGGCAACTCTAATCACCTGCAAGCATCCACCATCAGAAACAACTAGTTCAACTACAGAATGCTTGATCAAAATAGGGAGCACATTGTGCAAATAATAATAAGGTGAAGCCGAGTACGGCACTCTAAACACTGGGATCTCCTTATTTCTCCTTGCTGATTTAAGACTTTTAGGAAGAGTCCTCACAATATTAACATCTTTCGCTAAAGCTGCCATGAATTCATCCTCATTATAGAGGTATGCAAAACTTTTGAACTGTGAACTGCATTGAACAAATTACAGTAATTAGTTGACATAGAATAGTTACGGATACAATAAATGGTCATGATCTAACTCCAAATAAAAAAGTTGTGATAATTACACAAAAGTAAAGTTACCTGATTCCTTTCTTGCTTGTTGTTTGTTGAATCTCTGGAACAACTAAAGTAGCATTAAGAAACCGAGAAACCACAACCACATCACATATCTAAAAGATAAAGAAAAATATTATGACTCCAACAAAGTACAATAGAGAATTTTATCTGCAATTAGGAAATTTGACTGTAGCATCCTTACCGAGCTCCTAATCTCATGGAAACCACCCTGTATTCTGACAAAAATATAGCCATTTGTCTGAGCGATAGGACCTGCTATTGGCATGTTGCATATAGAAAAGCATTACTCCGAGTATATGTATATACATATATGGGGGGAAGGGGATGAAAAAAATTATAGGGAAATTTTCCTTCTCAGCCAGGCATCTATCATTACAAGTAAAGGGATCCCCCCATTCAAAATATCCTGATAAAAGAATGATAATTAACAGGGCCTAGATCCTAATAACTCAAATTAGCAAGTTTAACTTAAAGCTCTATTAGCTAGAATTTTGGGGTGGAAATATATGCATTTTCGTGTTTTTTTACCGAGTGAGTAAAGCTATTGTGAAACACATAACAGTAAATATCAAAGGTGGAAATGAGAGCGAACCTGCATAGTATCCTCTAGGATTTGCATCTGGGTGTAAAGATTCCAATTGCCCAACTGGACCCCATAGTCTTCTATACAGAGGGCTCTGCACCAACAGATAGAAAGAAACCCATAAGAATCCATAAATGTTAAACAAAATCCAACAGAAAGAATTGGCTTTAAAATTTACCAAAACAATTTAAAACCAAATCAAACTGGATCCAAAATACAAATTTCAGCTTATGTTAATTAAACAAACAAATTACACTAATCAAGACATTTTCAGTAACCAAAATGGATCCAAACAAAACTCCCAAACAACACTAAAACCAAACCCACATGTCCAAAACAGAAATCGAAAACCGCTAAAAGCAAACACTTTTGAGAAAAACAATCCCATAAAGTAAACATGTCAAATGAAAAATAATAAAAATTTTAAGGCAAGAGAAACATCCAAAAAATACGAGATTTTGATAGCATAAAACTTTGCACATTACCGTTCTTGATATGTCTGAAGGTTCAAAAATAGGTCTCCAAGAGAAGATGGTTATGGAAGACTGGTATTCTGAGAAGCCATCTTCAGTGAATCTTGCTAGCAAAAAGTGTACAAAGAGTGAAAAAGCTGATAAAACTAAACCAACTAAACCGACCCATTTCATCCTAGACCGCAAAAGCGCTTTCCCTTCTTTCATTTCTCTCTCTTTCTTTCTAAAACTCAATGATTTCTGTCTTTGTCTCTAGAAATGAAATAAAGCTTCAAAAAGGAAATGGAGGAGTCAGTAGGAGAAGTCAAGAGCCAGAGTAAGAGAGAGAAAGAGCGCGTGTTGACACGTGTGAGAACATGGTTTGTATAGTAAAAAAAAACTGAACTAACAACAGGAGTGTTGAGTTGTATACTTGTAAGAGATCAGACATCCTATTCCATGGAAATATTTTGTAAATACCAGTGCTCCACTCTCTTCTTCCACGCGTGTTACACACGACAACAAACATGGAAAGCCTCTCCAATCTCCAATGCTAGTTGTGCTCCAACATGCCAGTACCATTGAGGGCCATTGACAGAATTATTTCCAAATATTCAATAAAATAAATGACCTTTTTCATTTTAGCCTTTGGGGTTGTTTGTGCAAGGCATCACTTAAATGATCGTGTATTGGCCACTCGCTGTCACTTTTGGCATTATGAAGATAATAAGACAGAAAAGAAAAAAAAAAGAGAGAGAGAGTGAGATTCCAAGTTGCAATTTTCTTAGTAATAGACAAGACATGACAAGAAAGAACACCATGAAACTCGTTTTCTTTTATCAAAAATGTGATTTTCAATATGTTATTTACTATATTTATCTCTATCCATAAAAAAGTACACAAAATTACTCACTGATTGAAGTTTGGTCATGTACATTATCCTATGAAAACCTTCGAAATTTATGAGGATGACAATTTGGTGTGTGTGGGTTACGTTGGATTCTGAGTTATTTTTTTCATTTAGATTTATTTAAATTATTTTTTAATTTTATATAAAATATAATTATTTAATTATATTTTTTTGGATCAGAGGATTCAAATTATTTAGAGTTTGATAATCTTGAAATTATGTTATATTTATATTTTTTTATATCATATTTATATTATATTTTAAATTATCAAATTTAAATAATGACATATTAATAAAAAGTGAAATTTTTTTTATTAATCGAGATTCAATTATTTTAAAAATATTTCAAAAATAAAATATTAAATGAATTAGTAAATATGAAAGAAAATATCGTTAAAAACTATTTAAAAAGAGAATTAATTTAAGACAATTTTGAATATATTCTTCATTGTATTGTTTAAAAAAGCTATAGCATATGTATTTAACAAAGTTTTTGCGTGCTTTCTTATGGATTTTTGTCACTTCTATTGTAATAATAATATACATAATAAAATGAAAGGTTAGATTAAGAAAGCTTCAAAACTCAGGACGAAAAAAATGTTTTCTTTCACCTTTTGTTTCTAAAAATATACATTTTTTAGGAACATAGACAAAATTTATCAAAATTAAGTGCTTTATTATATTCATGCATTTCGTCATTTCGTCATTTTATCAATCGCCATTAAATTTAAAATACATATTTTTAGAAATGCTGGGAAAATGTATTTTTCAACAAATTTAATTTTTATTGAATATAAATCTTAGATATTTTACTAATTACATCAAAATCACTTGATTTAGATTTTTCATCTCAATTATTGGTACGGTTTTTTATTTTTTAAATAATTAAAATATATTTATAGTAATTAATAAACAAATAAAAATATAATAATATTCTTTTTTTTTTAATTTTAAAACTCTATTCACAATACCTTCTATCAACAATGTTTAGAATAACAATTTTATATATTTTAACAAGAAAAGTTAAAATGTAGCTTAAATATAAAAATGTTTTGAAATATAATTAAATAATTATTAAAATTTTTTATTATTTTATTACAATTAATTAATTTTTTAAATATTTATTTTTATTTAATTAAAATTTTAAACATTTTTTATTCAATTAATCCTCAATTTAATGGAAATGAAAAAAGATAATGATGGTTAACCAATTTTTATTAAAAATAGGTATAAATAAAATTTAAAAATCCTAATAAATCGATAAAAATTTGAATAATTATTTAATTTTAATTCAAAAAAATTTTAAATACTTAAGCCTTAAAACATCCACACACATATATATATATATATTTTTTTTTCATATTCACTTTTCCATTTTTATTTCAAGAGCTTCTAGAAATGTCTAATCAGCATTATTATTAACAAATGTTAAAAAAAAAAAATCCTCTTCCTATTCCTGGGTTTCCCTAATTACTCTGGAGACCAACGGATTAACTGCTACATCCAGCTAAGATCTCGCCACGTCACCATACTCTTACATGATACGATCTCCAGCGTCCACGTGGTCATTCCCATTGAATAATAAATTTTAAATTGTTTAATTTCTTATTATTCAACCGTTAAAACTCCTTCCGTTTCTCTTGAAAAGAAGTTAGACAAATCTAAAAAAGCGGGAGAGAGATAAAGGAGAAAAAACAACAACAAAAAAAAAAAAGGGAAAAACTCATTGAATCATAGCCGTAGATTAACTTCTCATCGCTGTGTCTCCACCGTAAACTCTCAGTAGCGGCGGTAGCTCTCTTTCGGTCGCTGCTCCGCCGTCCATCTCCTCATCGCTGGTGAGTCTCTTTGTCCTCACCTTCTATTTTGATTTTATTATTAATTAATGCCAATAGTTTCTCTTTTTTTTTTTTTTGAATTTCGAATTGTTTCTTCCTACAACCTTTCTTTTTTTTTTAAATGGAAGTTGTTGATGTTTGTTAGCGTATTGAAGAAGGAAAATTTTGAGCAAAGAATATCTTTATTTGCTGTCTTCTTTTGTTCATATTATGTTTTGGTGAATTACATCAACTCTTTGGAAAGAAGGAATAAATTCTTTGGATTAGTTGATGAAAAGCTTATATTCTCTTTTTTCTTGAATTTTATTTTGAAATTTGTGAAGATGAATTTTTATACATGATTTAGTAGTTAATTCAAAACTACAACCTATTATGAAATACAAGATTTAGTTTGTTATTGTTGTTTCTGATCAAGGATAATCATTGATAATGGATTTAGACATTGTTTGGTTGTTGGTTTTGCTTTTTAATTTTCGGAAGTGAAAAAGAAAAAAAGAAAACAGGTGTTCGCATTCACAAGCAAATAATAGTTTTGAAGAATAATCGTTATAAAAAACCAAAATGAATACTTTTAATTCTATATTTAAAGTACGGTTTACCATGATAGTTCACATAAATATCGTCTACCAATTTGATTTTCTAATTCTGTTTCTTTTTGTTCTAATTCATAATCCTGGTCTAGTAGTTAGTTTCTATCATGGCTGCATCTTTGCTAACAAAGCATAATTATTCGAATCAGATTAGCGTCTGAGATTAGTAAAGGTAAGTTTGAAGAGGAAGCATTTGGAACTTTTCCTAGGCCTTTTTAACATTTAGGATAGATGAGCAAACTTATAAATTTATGGCGATATTTTGAAATCATAAGAAAGGAGTTTTTTTTTTTTTTCTTTGAATTACTAATATTTTAAAGTATGGTTGATGCTTTTTTTTTTTTTTGTTGATTCTGTCTCTTTTATGAATCAAGTTGTAGGAAATAAAGTACAAAGTGGCTAAGTTTACTTAAAGTTTGGTTCTTTTGGTGTATTTGCTGGATAGCTGTTAATTTAGATGTAGAATTTCAACAAAAAAACTTACTTTAGTAAAATGGTTATAGGGTACCTTTTCTGGTTCAAAAAGACTTTGATTTATTGCTTCTTTCCTTATGATTACTAGTTAATACATTTAGGCTTTATTGAATTATTGTTAATTTATGAAAAGAAATTTATTTAGTTTTTACTTTCAATCATTTTCTCTTGTGATTGTTCTGATGATTATTTTATCTTTTGATTAGCCAACAGTATCAGGTCACTTCCTCAATGTAGCGGTTTCACTACATTTTATATCTGCTTTTGGTTTACACAATCTGTTCCGATGAAAATTTAAGAGTTACCAATTGAATTCAGCTGGGTTGATTATGAACGTTTACAACATCAGTTTTTCCAATCATGTTTTGCCAGCATTTGATTTTGGCGTCTGCTTGAGAGAGAAGCTCTCTGCTGTCGCCATCTCCATTGCTGGCACTGAATTCTATCAGTTCTCCTCTTCCTTTCACGTATCTTGAGCCAAACTGCTCTGTATATAACTGGATGGCTGTCGCAGCATTTAAGAGACTGTTTAACGGTGAATGTCGTGGAAATAATAGGATGGATAGAAAACCCTCTGGAAGAAAACGTGTATTTGTTCAGACTGAAACTGGCCGTGTTTTGGGTATAGAGTTAGATAGTAGTGACAATGCCCATACTGTGAAAAGGAAACTACAGGTTGCTCTTAATGTCCCAATAGAGGAGAGGTCTCTCATCTATGGGGATGTGGTGCTGAAGAATGATCTAAGTACTGTCAGAAATGATTCTCCACTTCTTCTCACGAGAAACTTCATGCACAGAAGCTCATCTAGCCCATGTCTCTCACCCACGGGAAAGGATATTCAGCAGAGAGATCAGAGTGGTCCAATTGAGATATTAGCGTGTTCAAATCACTTTTCCAGTACAAAAAAATTGGTAAAGGAAATTGTGAAGGCCATGAAGATTGGGATCGATCCCATTCCAGTATGCGGTGGGCTTGGAGGTGCCTACTATTTTCGAAATTGTCAGGGTGAAAATTGTGCAATTGTGAAACCAACTGATGAAGAACCTTATGCTCCAAACAACCCAAAAGGTTTTGTTGGCAAAGCCCTTGGGCAGCCAGGACTGAAACTCTCTGTACGTGTTGGGGAGACTGGCTTTAGGGAGGTAGCAGCTTATCTTCTTGACTACGATAACTTTGCCAATGTGCCCTCCACTGCTCTTGTGAAGGTCACACACTCTATTTTTAATGTCAATGACAGAGTGAACGGTAACAAGCAGCAAGAGCAAAAGGTGGTTAGCAAGATTGCTTCTCTGCAGCAGTTCATCTCTCATGATTTTGATGCCAGTGATCATGGGACTTCAAGCTTTCCAGTTGCAGCTGTGCATAGGATAGGGATATTAGATATTCGCATCTTGAACACTGATAGGCATGCTGGAAATCTTCTGGTTAGGAAAATTGATGGAGATGGAGGACTTGGTCAAGTGGAGCTTGTTCCAATTGATCATGGCCTATGCCTTCCGGAAAATCTAGAGGACCCTTACTTTGAATGGATCCATTGGCCACAGGCATCAATTCCTTTCTCCGAGGATGAGCTTGAATATATATCTCGCCTTGATCCATTTCGAGATTCTGAAATGCTTAGAATGGAGCTTCCAATGATTCGAGAGGCATGTCTTCGTGTCTTGGTTGTTTGCACAATTTTCCTCAAGGAAGGAGCACTTTTTGGTCTGTGTTTAGCTGAGATCGGTGAGATGATGAGCAGGGAGTTTCGAGGTCAGGAGGAGGAGCCAAGTGAGCTTGAGTTCATATGTATCGAGGCAAGGAGATTGTTAGAGGAAAGGAATATGTTTTTTGAGGATGTGAAAGCTGATGAAAATGTGTTTCAGTTTGAAATTGACTGTGAGGAAGAGGAGGTAGATTTAACTTCTAATGTAGAAAAGAAATTGGCGTCCCATGCTTGTTGTAGGCCTCTAGGTGGAGATATCCGGATTCCACTTTCCAAGCCAGATGAGAATATGGAGGATTGGACAGAGGATGAGGAGAAAGTAAAACCTCCAAGGTCAGATGAATATGCTTTTGTTGCTCAGGACTGGGCTTCAACCGTTCCTAGACTGTCAATGAAAAATGTGAGTATTGGAGAAAAGAGTTGGAGGCATGAGGGTGCCATGCAGAAAAGTGGCTATTTAGCTGGCACGTCATCTGGAAACAGAAGTGTGAGTGAACAGCTACCTGGAAACACAAGTTTTGTGAAACTTGCTGATATGAGTGAAGAGGAGTGGATACAGTATCTTGAGAATTTCCAGAATTTGCTCTACATGGCATTTTCTAGTCGTAAATCAAAGAGTGTGGGTCAGAGGCAGAGACAGAGGCTTGGAACTTCATGCCAGTTTTGAGTAGTTAAACATTTCAAATCGTAGAAATTGGAAAGCTAAAATTTTAAGGCTTGAAAGCTGTTGAAACAAGAAAGAAGAATTATGTAGGTAACTCAAAAGGTTTTTCCTGTTAAGGATGGACTTCATTGATGAGTTGGAGTTTTTCTTGTATGGTACTACTTTTAGATCATGAAAACTGTCTCACCAGGTGCTAGAGGTAAGAAATGTTGTTCAAATTGCTTTGCTCTCTCCCCCAACATTTTTTCCCTTTAACTTTCACTTGGCTTTTTTTCCCCCTCTTGTTTCCTTCATGCATAAATAATTTGGTTGAACCGTTCTGTATTCCATAGTTCAGATAATGCTGAATGCTGAATGTATCAAGGAGTTTGCAAGAAGAAATATAATGAATGTATATATGATGTTGTGGTCTTGTAGATTCGAACTTCATTTCATGTTTTTATTTCATAACCACTATAGTAGAACATGAAGGGTTAGTAATCCTGGAACACGCATTTGGTAGACACCATTTCTCTGTTACTTTCTATGAATTTCTATGCTATCACCACTAACCCTTGCCAGAAGCTTGATTGTGGGGGGAAAAGAAAAGGCAAAAGAAACCAATACAGGTAGAAGGAAAGTTGTGGTTGTCTAATTGGTCTCATTCAAGCTGGCCAACTTGGTCAGCTCTATATGCTGATCCTGCATCTGACTCATAATTCGCGAAAAATCTCCTTCAGCCATAGACATTGTGTCTTCTTTAGTCAGGCGCCTCTGCTTTACCTTCAGTATAGCCTGTGTCACTTCAGCAATTGAAGGCCGCTTTCTTGGTAATTTATGCAAGCATTTATGAGCAATTTTGGCTAGTTGCCTCACTTCTTCAATGTTGCATTCTCCAACCAGTGTTTTATCAAGAATTTCATTGACACCATCAGGACTCATAGCAGCCTTAGAAAAGGAAGTTTATGTCAGAAAGATGAATATATGAATTACTATCAAGCAGGACTTTACCATTCAAGGGAAGAAACTCACAAGATTAACATATTCCATTAAATTTTGATGTGGGTGAATGGCTGTAATTAGTTCAAACATGATGACACCGAAACTATATATATCACTCTTCATGGTGAACTTGTTTGTGGACATGTACACCGGGTCTATGTAGCCATATGTACCTGTAATGCCTGAGTTTCAGCCATCGAAAACCTCTTCCCTTGACAGCCCAAAATCAGCAACCTACCAAAGGGAGCAGCAGTGAAGCCATGGCATTTAGTCCATTATTGATATCTTGATAGTTTTGGTAAACTAAAAACAGAGAGGATTAGAAAAAGATGAGCTGTTGTACAGTTAATCACCTTGGCTCTCATTGACGGGTCCAATAGTATGTTAGCAGACTTTAAATCATGATGTATTACGGGAGGGACTGCCTGTTCCAAGAATAGTGATATCAAGTCTAGTTTGTTTAACTATGGAGAACATCAGCTTTGTATCATTCCATCATACCCCTTCATGAAGATATTCTATCCCATGTGAAATATCAAGAGCAATTTGAAGTCTTTCTTCCCAAGTTAAACCTCGTCCCCCTTCACCTAATTACATGCAGACCAAGTTGATTATCATCAAGGAATCAATCATGATAACAGTAAAACAGTGTCATTTGAGGTAAAGATAAGACTAAAATCAGGATGAATTCAAAAGCATGGCTGCAGGAAATATTTTACAGCATGACTTACTGCAACAAAGGTGCGGTAGTACTTTAACCATTCCAGAGAAGGGGCCACATTATTAATGACATGGATTAAAGGGAAGCATTATCACCTAAAATAATTGTACTACAATTAACCAATCAAAATTTAGAGTTACGTAAGGTCCACCAAAATTTTACATGAAATCCACACTTATAAGTGATGGACCTTAACATAATTTTTATTTAGATTGAATGTTCGTAGGATTATAGTAAAAAGAATTGTAGGTGAAATGCTCTTGGATGAAAGATACTGGTTGTCCTTCAATTTACATAATTTGACATGTGATTGGCACTGCTCAGAGACCTCTAGTAAGCCTTACTTGCACAATATCCAATATCAATGAACTAATAACATGCTGGCATTAGCATGTAGGTGTTCTAGGTTTATGTAAAATCACATTATCCCTTGTTCCCATTTTCCTTATGTTTAGAGGAATGGTTGAGAACGTGATCAGAGACTTTGGTCTATGACATGTTACCAATTCAGAAAGACTGCATGTCAGACCAATGGCAGTGATCCTAGATTACCAGCCACTGGGAAGTAGCAGTGAGCTTTTGAAAGCATAAAATGAAGTTTCCACAACAAAAAAATTAACTTTTTTTTGGTTCAAAAATATCAAATTGGTTATGTCAAGTTCTTTAACATAAAATGGCATGTTCTAAATTCAGATTTCCACTGAAGAATATCAGATGAGAGATGCAAATAAATAGGGGTTTCTGAACTTACCATACAGAATTTTTGCCAAGCTTCCATTGCTCATGAACTCATAAATTAACATGTGCTTCCCTTTATCCACGCAATATCCTACCAAGTTCACAAGATTTCGATGATGCAGCCTTCCTAGTAGACAAACCTGAAAAAAACTCAGTTTAATATTAAAAACGATAACATGATATGTTGGTTACCAAAAGTAAAATAATATAAAATATTCCCATAAGAAATTTCATTCCACTCCTTGGAAGAATGGAATTGCAACCTTGGCAGGCGTCTAGATAGAATTGTTGGTGAATAATAAAGATAAATGAGACATCAGAATATAGATTGCAGCTATTATGTTATGAATAATCCTGCATTTCTCCTACTTGCATGGGCTACTCAAAGATATTCCATCATACGTTAATGGATCTTTGCTCAAAATACTTTCAAATTCATACTAGACAGAATCAAAAGTAATGTTGTTTTTCAATTGATATAGATCAGTCCCTCATATGGTCAGATCAATCAAGTCAAGTACTGTTAAGATAAAAGAACTTGCTGGAAACTACCTACTCCCAAAACTGTGGGCAGACCTCTTTCTTACATGGTTAGTGCAGCTTACCTCTGTGTGGAACTCTTTCTCCCCCTGATGAGAATTGGAAGCAAGCACCTTTACAGCTGCTACTCCACCAGTAGGCATTGTGGCTTTATAGACCGGACCAAATGATCCTTCTCCTACAATAGTTATAAAATTTTGTGTAGCTTTCGGGACATCCCTGACAAGCATAATAAGTAAGATAAATACATATCAGAAAATCAGTTAAATGCTTGATTTGGAAATAAATATTGAACATTAATAATTTTTCTCAATTAGTAATGGAGCTATTGGGTTTGTATTAACAGAAAAAGTTTTAAGTCTACTCCCAAGATTAGATAGCTCCTTTATGAAAGGTGTAGAGGGAAGTCATAAATAACCACAACTTACCTTCACTACGAAAGTAGGAAATATACAATTTAGAAAGAGAACAATACTAAAATTCATACATTAATTTTATTATTATAGGAAATGCGAATTTGGTAAGCCTCTAAACATGGATTGGCTTTGATATTCCATAATTTAAGTATAATTCTGGTGCTCAAGTTTGAAATTAACTTACTTATAGGAATACTTTGGCAAGCCAGAAGTAGAAGCAGAGCGATCTTTACCATGAAGTCTCCACCAAGAATTAGAAGAACTTTTCTGATGATATTCTGGTACCTGAACAGCTATAGAATTCGAGAGAGATGCACTGAAGTCAGTGCTTGTACCAAAGCCATTTGTTCTTATAGGAAGATCTGTAACACTATGTTCATTTGAACATCGTCTGAGGTTAACTCGCTTTTTGTACCACCATATTCCAAAAAATACCAATGAAGCTATCACGATTCCAAGGGCCAAGCCAACAGAAATGCCAATGACAACTAAATCACCTTTATGAACCATGCTTTGGTCTCTTTAGGTATTCAGGCAATGAGAACATCTTGCAGTTCACAAATTCTGCAGGCTCACTGTCATAATGAAAAAATTACCATATCCATTTTAAAGAAAACAACAAAAAGTTTTTTGGGGAACCGAAAAATATGTCATTTCAAATTAGAAAGCCTATTGATAGCCCTCATTCTATTGAAGGCACGCAGGCGAAGAGGGAAGCTTACTGCAAATAAGAACAAAGGAAAATGCTGTTTTCCATTGTTAAAAGAATTTACTCAATCCTTCTGTTTATATAAATTTACTGATACAATCAGTCAAAACTTTTTCAACTATTAGCCAATTCAAATCTGCCTATTCAATGGGGCTCTGAGGAAGTGGAGGTGGAAACTGATGCAGTAATGGTGGTACAGGAGCTTGCAAAGGCGGGGGACTCTTGCTGGGAGGGAACAGGAAGAACAATGGATATTTTGAGGGCAGCATCACAGTACAGAGTTTGTCGATTTCTACATGTCAACAGGTCTGCCAATACATTGGCTCATAACGTTGCCAGGCTATCTTGTGCTGAGGGTCAAATATCTGTATGGGAGCAGCTCCCAGATTCCATCACAAATGTTGATGTTTTTCTAGAGTAATGAAAGTTTTCATGTTTTTGATCCAAAAATAAAAAAAATCTGCCAATTCAAAAAGAACATCCAAAGAATAAACCTTTAACTCAAAGCTTCATTAAGTAGCCTCAACAAGCTTTGGCTTTTCATATATGATTATATGGCACTATTAAATCATTCTTTCTAGTTTCTACATCATACTAATTCTTCTGAATCCAAGTTCATAAATCAGAATATATAAATATAGATCATGAAAACTCCTTCAGATATTAAATGGGTTCTATTAGATTTCCGATATAAAAACTCCCAAAAGGCAATCAATGATAACAAAAAACAATAAACAAAAGAAACCCAAGAACCAAAACCAACCAAAAAGATGAAAAAGAACAGATTTTCAAGCAAAGATATGAAAATTAGCAAACAGGCCATGAACTCTACCTTAGATGATCAGCAACTAAACAGCCAAAACATGATAATTCCTTCCTATGGATGTTGATATTTTGATGATCCTTTGATTAGTAAAGATTCCATAGCTGACAAAAGTCATGACCCACTTCAACAAAAAGAAAAAACAAAAACTGTAGAGAAAAGAGAAAAACGAGTCTTCAAGCTTAGTATTAGTGATAAATCCGCCATTTACAATGCTGTATTTTTTATACTTTATAAATATATTTTACAAGTGGGGCAGTTGACAAAGTCAAGTCCCAGTTAACCTTAGAAAAGAATTATTAAATATTTCTTCTCCATTTTTTTTTTTTGCTCTTCCTAATTCAATCATAGGAAAAATTTTAATATATTAAATTATTTTAATTAATAAATGAACTGTAATGGTTTGGTTATGTATGTACCAAACCTTTTATTTTTCCTTGTAACATAACTTAAAATAATATGAAACAATATTAGGCAACAATAATAACAAATAGATTTCCATAAAAAAATATTAATTTAAAAATTATTACTTTGATTGTAACAAGTTTAAACCATTCTTGTATTCAAGTTTATATTTTCTTTAATACAAAGAAGGTACATATATTTTGTTTAAAGAATCAGGTTCAAATTATAATTATATATATATATATTATATACTTATCATATGAAAATGCATAAAACAAAAATTTAAATAAATAAAAACAACATACTTTTACTTGAAAGTTTCATAAATGCTTATGATTCATGTAAGATTCACACTCTAAAAAGAATTTGAAATAAATTTATAAACATTCTTCAAATTGTGTATCTTAAAATACATGGATATAAATAGATGATTCAATCGTACATGTATCTACTTTTTACTCAAAATAAAAATTGATGAATTCAAATCACTTTCATTTCAAAATTACAAAAAAAAAAAAAAATGCAGTTACGGACTCTTGATTTAAAATTCAAACTTGGATTAACTGAAGCAAATTGATCGGAGAAGAAACCGACGAATCCTTCAGAAAGCGCCTTGCAATTACAAAATGCATGCTTTCACTGGGATGGTGTGCATCAAAGTATGCATGTTGATTTCTTTCCTTGCATGGTTCTAAGTTTGGAGCACATGGTCTGGTTTGATTTCTAAATTGATCAATGCAACAAGCTTTTTTTATCTGTAAAACCTGCATGCATACAACAAATAATATTTTACTTTTATTTGAATCCAAATATTTGACATATGAAAAAAATTATATACGCATAATCACTACACAAACCTCGTGCATACACAAAGAACTTGACAACATAAAGACTGAATCAAAGAAAAATAAAATTTGAAAAAAAAATCCATATTTGTACAATTTGTCTACAGAATATGTAGTACTGTTCTTAATCTCATGAATTCACAATATTGTAGATATTAAAAGAGTTCATATTAAAAGATAGATGGTAAACAAATAGATCCATTGGTTAAGTTTTTAGTTTTTACTGACAGTAGATAGAATAATAATCCAATAAACAAACTTGTTGGTGAAATTTTTAGTTTCCACTGACAATTGATAAGATAATAATCCCCATATATATAGTCTTAAATTTTTTATTATCATTTTAATTAAGGGCAAGTTGGATATACATATTATTATATTGATAAGCTAAGATTTTACTATCCAAATTAGCAAGTGGAAAATTATAAATTATTGTGAATATAAATTTAATTTATTCACTCACAATCATCAAATATAAACTTATGATTAAGGTATATAATTTTTCCTCTCTACGTAGAGCAAAATATTAATTTTAGAAATGGAATTACCCTTACCATGTGAAGCAGGTGATGCAAACACGTCTTCGTAAAACTTATAAAGATCTCCCAAAACAAACTTAGATCCTGGAAGGGTGGATTGCAAATGTGATAACAAAGGAGGAATTTGCTTGGTAAAGTTCAATATTCTGGTGTTCCTTTCCTCGTCACATTGTGTCGTCTTAGGCTTTAACACAACTATGTTACATGGTTGGCACCCGATTGGCGACACATTGTTCACAAAAAACTTGCGTGCTCCAAGTTGATAAAATTTCTACATAAAAAAAAAAAAACAAGTTTTAATTGTTAAAATGCTCGTAATTAATTGATAATGGATAGGGTTCGATTTATCATAAAAATAAGAGAAATAATTATAGATATTGAAATTTATATTTCAATAACATGAATCAACTGAGCTAAATTTCAGGTTTTGTGATTTAAAATTTTATATACCAAAAAATGAAAGAACATAAGATATATTACCTAAAAAAAATCTCAAGATGATCAATGAAAGATACTTGTTAACATTTAAAATAACATGAATGACATGCAATTATAGTGATTTACCTGCAATCGGGTGGATAACTCATAGATGAGAAGTTGAGAATAATTATCTGCAGGATAGTTGGAATGTCTTTCGAAGTCCCAATATAAGCCAAGGTCATTGCTGCCGATGTGGAAAAAGAATAGTGATTTTGACATGTGTTGAGCAAAGCTTTCTGCGTTGCTCAATTGACCTTTCAAGTCTTCTGTTGTATTCTCGAACAATGCTATTTGTTCGTCCAAGCTTAAGACGTGCCCCTAATGTCAGAACATCACAAATGTTATGCAATTGAAAAGTGAGTTGAACTTTATAACCAATATGAACTAAAGAAAGTTTATGTCAATTGTATCTATAGAACAAATTCTTGAGGCAAAAGTATCTCACAAATAGTTGTACAATTGAAGGGGGACTAGGGAGAATGCCACCGGAAGCAGAGCCATAATTAACCCCAGTCCGGCCATTCTTCTTTACCTCCGGTATGTCCAGGGCTGAAGGAGGGAATGGCAAGCCGGCTACTTGAGCTACATTATTGGTGGTACAACTCATTGTGAACAGCATGTATGAAAACTAAAACCAATCAAAATTTTATTGCATTTCAATGCAAATTAATTTAATATATATGTGCAAGTATGTTTGTGTATGAATCAAAGGAAATACAAAATCTAAACCAAAATGAAAAGCAAAATGTCAAAGGAAACATGAAAAATTAATAGGATGAAAGTTAATAAGAAAATAATTTAGTTTTTTTTTTTTTCATACCAATGAAGTCGACTACGGTTCTTCCATTAGTGGCACGACCATTAGGCTTTCCATCAAAATCTATTCCATATGAAGTAAAATTTGACTTAAGAGATGTATTCAAAAAATTATTGTTTCCAGGATCGATAAAAGAGTCCCCAAACGCATAGAGAGCTAGTAAATCAATGGTGATATTCCCCAAATATTGCAAGAGAGAAGTTTGATTAATAGTAAATGGTGGAGGTGCGGCAACTACATCTCCAGACACAAACGAGAAGAAATGAAATAGAAAGCAAATGATGGAAACACAAATGGGGCATCTAAAATCCATTTTAATTCCTAGAATTTGAAAGAAAAAAGAACACTTGTTGGATTGAGAAGAGAGTCTTGGTAATTTTTTGTGATAAATCGAAAGAGATATTTATAATGTGGGTTTTTTTTTTTAATTTTTTTTCTGTTTGGTGTTTTTGTCATAAAATTCGTTTGGTTGTTTGTAACTATAAACCCAAAATCAAAGTTAATTTCTCATAATGATTAATGATTAAATGAATTATTCGCTAGCATTTTATCTAACCAATGGTTTATTACAATTTTCTTGATATGATCAATACAACGAAAAAAAATGGGATGGCATCTCAGCTTGATTAAGGACACTTGCAACAGAAAAAAAGCTTAAATTATGGGTACAGTGAGAATGAGATCTGCTGGACTTGAGCTGGTGGATTTATCAGACCAGTCAAAAAGAAGAAAAAGGTTAGAGGATGTTGGAATGAAGACTCTAAAACGCTCAAGTCAATATGTGTTATAGAAAAGAGATAGTAAATAGCAAAGAAGAGAAACTAGAGATAGAACAGGCTGAACAGTTCATGCTAGGTAACATTCTTACTACTTTTATTTTATATTTCATGGATGACGATTGTCTGCTTTGAAATCATATGTAGATGTTGATGACGTTTCCCGCAAAATATAACAAATATTATTGAATCCAAAGATTTTCATTGAATCTTTTATCGGAAGAAAAAAGGAACTTTGAAATTAAATTTTATGTGTATACAATTTCACAGGCCTCCATATTTTCTTATCACTCGCTGATAAAAAAGGAAGAAATATTGGTCATTGATCAGTATTACAGAGGAAGCAAGTATTGAATTGAAGTCCTTGATATTCGACAATATCATGGGATTTTTTTTTCCTTCTTTAAGTATGGAATGATGAATGCCAAATTAATTATAGGGGAATAAAATTGAAACGTTGTAATAATTATTTGAGGTTGAGTTTGAAAAGGACGATAATCAAATATCCAAATTAAGTTAAACCTGTAAATTATTAAAGTGTAATAAAAGCATCCGTTTCCTTTTGTTAGAAATGACATTTTTTAAAACTTAATTTTGTTAGTGTTTTATCATTGGAATTGCTTACTCTTCCATTTTTCTTTTTTTTTTTAATTTTTGAAAAATTTAATTGACTGAAGGATCTGCCAATGAACAATTCTGCCCCAAATGAACAATTCTCACCATCACATGCTTGGTCTTCTCTTCACCATTAATGTCAGAACTCATAACATAATGGTGTGATTAACAAGTTGCTGCAAATGCATTAAACTCTATAATTTGCAATTGAAAAACTCAATGCAACATTACATCCCATCCTATATAAGTACTAGCCATTGGCTTTCAAAACTTTAAAACCAATTTAGAAAAAAAAAATGGCCTTCACACTACTTTTTGTGTGTCTTTCTTTCTTACCCATAATTTCTTCTTATCTTTTAAGTTATGGTGGGGCTGTAGATAATGTCCTTCCACCACCATTATTGGGAAACACTGAATTTGATATACCAGCATTATACGTATTTGGTGACTCGTATGTGGATGCTGGAAACAACAACTTCATTCCAACCAAGTCCAGAGCCAACTATTTCCCGTATGGCATAGACTTTGGTGGCGCACCTACTGGCCGTGCCACCAATGGCAGAACGGTGGTTGATTTCATTGGTATGAATGTTCACTATTTTTCAGGGTCTATTTTGCTGCTCTTCTTAATGTTATGCCTCGTTTTGAACGATGCAGCCCATGTTACTGGCCTTCCATTTCCTCCTCCAATGCTTGGCATGTCAAAGGCTGGGAGGAAAAAAACTCTTACAGGAGTGAATTACGGGTCCGCTGGTAGTGGCATACTTCATTCTCCCCCAATCGCGGAACAACTTTTTGTAAGCTACCTCTCCTTTGTTTGACATTTATTAATCTTTATATAGAAGAAGTGAATGTTAGATTCTGAAATTTCTGAAAGTTCACTAGTCAATGGTATTAATTGTTTCACTGATCACCTTCCAATATCAGGGGCATGTCTTAAGCTTCGAGGAACAAGTCTCCTTGTTCAAGAACACAATCATGGACTTGAAGGATCAGTTTGACTGTGCAGAAAGCTTTGGGTTTTATTTGTCAAAATCGTTATTTTTTATCCACATAGGAAGCAATGACTTGGGTTTATTCTGGGATTTGGGGAGACAATCCATTGGTGTTGAGAAATATCCTAAACTCCTCTCAGAAGAATTGTCCAAGCAGTTGCAGGTACATCAACATAATGACATACTAAAGCTGAATTGGATGCTAAATCATACATATTTTTAATCTTTTATGGACAGGCACTATATCAACTTGGTGCACGCAAGTTTTTTGTCAACAATGTGTCTCCACTAGGATGCCTACCCTTCAACATAAACAAAGTGAAGCCCAAGACACCATGTTTTGAGGAATTAAACAGGCGAATCTCTACCTACAACCTGCTCCTTCCAGGTTTACTAGCAGATCTGGAGTCCTCCCTTCCAGAATCTAAATTCATTCTTGGAGATCTTTTCAAGCTTTTCGAAGATGTTTATGCATCTCCAAGAACATATGGTGAGTTCATTGTCTGTTACATTGGCATTCAAAGTATTAAAGTACTGAATTACCATAAATTTCGTGCAGGGTTTAGGAACATAAAAGATTCTTGCTGCATTGATGTGAATCGAAATGGTACTGGACCATGTGCGCCCAACTTGGAGCCATGTCTGGACAGGGAAACTCATGTGTTTTTCGATCCCTTTCACATCAGTGAAAGAATGCATTTCATATGGGCGAGGACCTCCTTGAAGAGCTGGGCTAGCAAAATGTGAACTATCTTTTATTTTAATGGGATAATGCTAAGAATGGCCCTAAAATAAACCAAATGTTTAATATGATACTTAAACTATAAAAATCTCTAATTTAATATCTGAATTACGAATTTATTAATTAATATGATATTTACAAAATTATTTTTGTCCTACGTGTCATTGTTAGGGGTGAATATCATATTAATTAATTAATTTATAATTTAATTATTATATTAAAAATTTTTAAAATTTATGTCTTAATATTTCTCTGTAATTAAATGATCATTCATAACGATAACATTATTTTACTTTTATTTCAATAGATGGAGGCCAGTTATATTTAGTTGATGTAGAAGTAGCATAGCTTGTTTTCCCCTTAACTTAATTGAAATGAAACAAAAGATGTTTACCTAAGTTGAAATTTAAAGAGTTAGTTTCTCTCCTTAAAACAAAAGATGTTTATCTTTTAAGTAGCATTTATTTTGGACTATCAAATGCATTGAAAAAATAAACCGTTGAAAATGTTAATTTTTAATGTATTTGAAATTTGTCATTACGTTATCAAACATATTTTAAATTAAAATTAAATGCCAAAAAAATTTAGTTTAAATATCTATTTAGATTGCGTTTAGATTGAGAATTTTGAAATTTTGAAAAATTTAAAATAAAAACATTTTAAAATGCATCATTTTAAAATTTTATCATTAGAAATTATTTTGTTTGGATAAATATTTCTTAGAACAAATTTACTTTATTGGAATTTGATGAGAAAAAAAATAATTATAAAAAATAATGATATTAAAGATAAAAAATATATGTATAAATAAAAAATGTAATATGGGTATCATTAGATTTATAAATTATATAGATATTATTAATAATATAAAAAATAAGATATATATTAGAGTTAAATAAAAGGATATTTATTTGTTTAGTTTTATATTTTATAGTGTGTCATGTGCAATAAAAAAAGAGAAGATTTGAAGAAATTCTAAAAAACCAGCTTTTAAGGTAGAATTTTAAGACGTCAAATTTCCTCTTGAAATCTCATCTAAATTTTGAAATTCTTTTTTATTTTTATTCAAATAAATGAATCCATTTTTAAACTTCCAAATTTTGATTGAAACAAAATTCTTTTTTAAAATTCCTCGTCCAAACACATCTTAAAAGTATAGAAAATCAAAATTGACCTATTACTATACATGCCTTGGCCAACTAAAAGGAAAGAAAGAAAGAAAGAAATTAAAACAAAAACAGAAGTTATACCCTGATATACAAAGGTTAAGGGACTTCACTTTTTAGTGATGAGGGCAAAACTGTGAGCCTAAAACCTAGACAGGGTTTCAAACGGAAACTCAATGCCTTGGAACATGATTGTTGATCGGAGGCTTCCGACGAGGCCTGTCGCGTCCTTTGTAATCCTTGTGTATCAAGTTTACAATCTCCTTAGCTGCCTCAAGGAGCATTTTTGATTCAACTCTATTACCAATGACATGGTTGGGTTCTTGAGTCGCTGGTTTGTCAGACCTTGAAGGATGACTCTCCAAGCTGGCTTTAATTGACATTGCCTTGGACTCTTCAAGCTGCATTGAGTTTCGAAGATGGGATGGATGATCACTCCTAGGAATTCCCAAGCCAGCAAAATCCCTCGTCTTTGATTCCATCTTGTTCATTCCAATGACCTGGTTTTGAACATAAACTAATGTTTAATAGGTTATTGTAATATATGTGATTATGTGAATGCTACTTTCTTTATGCATGTGGATCTATATGTGAAAATTTTCCCAATGGAATGCTACCTGATTATTTGCTTGATCTTGAAATTTCCCAATAATTTCAGCGTCATTGTTCTCCCCTGCATTCAAAAGACTATCCATGATGAATATAGCTTAATTTGACACTAAATTCAGTTTCAATTATATGTGAATAAACATGTTATCATGCAATCTAAAATGTAAGATTGCATTAAAATCAGAAGCATTTCAAGCATCATTATAAGCAAAAAAATTCCCTTTTGTAAACAACAAAAAATTTCCATTACATACAAGTTATATATGATCGATATTCACACATCCTTTCCAAACCTCTACCAAGCCTTTCTAGCTTGTAACTGTTGACAAAATGGGATCTAATTAAAATGTTTTTTTTTTTTTCAGTGCCTTTGAATCAGTTATGCTCGGGAGGATGGCGTTTAGGCCCATGATAATCAGCACCAAAAGCTACAAAATCAGCTGTTTCAACATTAAGAGTACTACTAGTTTCGTTCCAAGATTTACATTTCACATTAAAAGCTCCCTTTCCTTCAAAATCACATTTTCCATCAAAGTGGTTTGCACCTGAATTCTTTGAAGCGCCAACCTCAAACCCTTGTTTTCCTCCAATCTCTACTACTTCATATCCTCCCATTTTCCTTCCTCCAAAACCAACAAGAAGTTCCTGCATACAAATATGCTATGACATAAGCCACCAAAATTTAAAAGATATAAACAATTTTATTGATAGATTAATACAAAACCAACCTTTTGAACAGATACAAAAGTTTCTTGATCACTAGCCAAAAGCCTTTCTCGAACTGTTTCCCCACCTGCAAACAATATTGAAACAACAGATAGTCTCAGCCTGGAGGGATTAGAGAGGATCATTTTGAGTAAATTAATGGAAAAGTTACTGCTTACTATACCTTGATAAGCATGCACTGAGCAGCTCTTGAGGGCATGCAAAACAAAGAGAAGCCCAAATATTAAGCCTGTAAACCTTATATGCAGCATCTTTGTGATTCTTTCCTTTGCTTGAGTATGTTTTCTTCGCTTAACAACTGAAAGAGAGGAAATCTGGAGAAACAAGAAAAGGGTTTTATGGAGAGTTCACCCCAAGTCAAAGTTAGGGTTTCGACACATGTCTAAATTAAATATTGATTCCAGTGAGAAATACAGAGATTAGGGAAACTGGCCAATAAAAGATTTACTAAATCAGGAAATATCCAATTTAAAAATGAAAAAAAAAAACTTTTTCTCTTCAAGAGTTTGAATGTGGTTTTAAGAGATGGACTGATCAGTCAAAGTTAGGGACAAGAGTGTCTAGTATTTTGATTGGAAATGTTGATTTTGTCCCTCTTTGCCTTCGTGAATGCAACGATGAACAAGATTCATGAGCTTTTGTTTTTCATTTTTAATAAAGTTAGGGGTTTTAATATACACCAATGTCATGGAAATCAGGAAAAAAAATAATTTTCAGGACCACAGTCCTGCAGGTAGGAGCTTTTTTTTGTTCATTTTTAATAAAGTTTTTTGAATTTTACAAAGACAAGTGACAGGTTTGAGCTTGTTTGTCATGACTCTGTCCAAGTACCAAGATGCCCTAAATCTTTGACTCTTCAAAGACAATCGATTTATTCATGAGCTGCAAGTTCACTAGACCACAGAATTTTCTGGTTTCTTTGCCTCCCCCCCCCAAAAAAAAAAAAAAGAACAGAATTTTCTGGCATTTTTCAATACAAACTGGTATGATCAAGCTTCTATAATCTTCATTCTCATCATGCTTTCAAGCTTAACTAAGTCATTTTATAATCAGTTATTAGCTGGTATTTCTGACATATTTAAACTTGTAGCCCTGAAAGATGATTAGATAAAAGGGTCAGAACAGGCAAGTGTCTGAGTCACAGATTCAGTCTTCTGCTAAATATTACATATATGTTTCCCCTAGGATACCCTATGGTACCAGAGCTAGGCACATTTCTCATTTTTTCTTTTTAACAAAATTTCCTTTTATAGAAAGGCATGCATGCTACTTTTTGTTTATAGAGAATATTATGTATTGATGATTTTGCTCTGAAATTAATAATTGAGGACACCTTTTTCATTACATCACGTAGCCTGAACCTATTCAGGCAACCTGTAAGGATCGACAGAAGTGGAGATCGAGATGCCGAAGTTGCTAGACAATTACCATTGGCGATTACAAATTCTGTAACATATAAAAAGACTGTAAAGATAAGAGGGAGAGGAGGGTGAAAAAGAGCAACTGAGCAAGGGCAAGCAATGAAGCATGGTTCCCAAAGAAGCATGAGCACGAGCATGAGCATCAAAGTGAGAGCTTGAGGTAACATAGGCAAGTGATTATTGCATTGAATTACTAAAACATATCTTTAATTTAAAGTTGTACATATAAATTTGAGCATAAATTAATAAACTAAAATAGATTAGTGTTTAACAGTTTGGAACACGAGGGCTGTCCTCCAACTTGATGCTTGTGCCTGGTCACCTGATCTTGAGAAAAGTGTGACCTCCTTAATTACCCGAGTCGGTTCCATGGCGATTTAGTTCTCCAAATTAGAGAAAATGGATCAAAATTAACCGACACCAAGAACACCATGATCAAGTTCTCAAAGTTTCCAATCTCAAGAGGGCAAATCCATTTTCGTTTCAGGTGATAATTATCTAAAATCTTTTATAGGCTTAGCATAGTTGGTTCAGCCAGCAATATTCAAGAACCTAAAACCTGCACCTATCACAAAATCAATAAACCTCTTAGTTCATTTAATCTTTAGTATCTCTGCAACTGCTCTCACTTCAATGCAACTGTATATATTTTAGTTCCTGCTTTGCATCAAAATTAAAGCTGAAACATGCAAAAAATATTTCGTCTCTTTGCAAAATTTTCCTCTCTTTCAATGTTTTTTCACTTCCTGTTCTCTAACTTTAAAGAAGATTAAGCTTACAGAGAACACGATAAAGGAGATTTGGACACCTGGAAAACAGTATGGCTTCAATTACCAAAGCCATGTCTTTGATCTTGAAACCTGTTACTTACTGATAATCCACCAGAATGATATGTAATCCCTTTTAGTGTAAGGGAATTTGGGCTTTTGAGGTTTGTGAGAATTCCAAGTTCATGTGGCTGTGAGCGACTAATGTTGTCCTTTTGAAAAGCATTGCTACCCCAAAGGAGCTGATGTATTTTTGGAATTTCATTTTCAATTTTCAAAGAAGTAAAAACCTGCTTGCTTTCTTAGGACAATGTCACATGCATAACACTAAAGCTTAATTATATTAATCAATTTGATTGTAATGTTTGCTTGCCCACCAATTTGGACTTGTCATTATTTGAAAATCCAAGAAAAGATTCCTTTTAAATTGCCTTTTTGTTTCTTCTTTGACACCAAAAATATCTTTGTTTACAAGATTAATGTCTTTTACAATGAAATACCTTTGAATCTTCAGACTATCTGATCAGCCACCATGGCAAATTTGCCTCTCTTTATCTCATTGGAAAGTGCATAAAAGCACTCTTAAAAACTATAAGACATTTTTTCTCCATCTCAATTCTCAAACTCAGATTATTACATTTTCGAACTCTTTATCATTTTTCTATTCGAGTAAATTTTACAAGAAAAGATCCTACAATGTCCTACTCTGTTTCGATTAGTTTTTAGTCTTTAACTACTCAATTCAATCAAAGATGTTTCAGAATGAGGTATAGTAGAATAAATGCACGCTACAACAGAATCATTTACTTCTAGTATATAAAAAAAGTTAGCCCCTGCTAGTCCCAGAAGTGGTTGAGAAAGAACACTTCCGAGCTGCATCCTAATTGCCTCTACAGTAAGTAACAGCAGCTTCCAGTTTAGCTTACAGACACTATGTTTAATGAGAACCTATCAGCTTCTTTTAATCAAACATCTATACTTTGATTTGCAACATGGTCACAAAGCTGAAAGAGTTAACAACATTGAAACTCCAATGTCTACAAGCTGTGGTGAAGACAGCGCAATCACATTAATTTGGCCATCAGGATATAAATCAACAGGCAAGGAAGTAAAATAATATTATGAAATGAACTTCCTATGTGTATGAAAAGGCTAGTGCAAAAAACTTTCTTACAATTCTTCCCCAAAATTCAGTCCCATGATATACACCTTCAAGAAACCCTCATCTAGTCATCAAAGTACAGTTCTGCCCAGTGTCAATGTGCATCATTGAGTCCCGATATGGAATGATATCACCAATTGTCTAAAAAATCTCTGTGATAGAAACAGCTTCAAAGAGATACTCCAAGATGCTGATGCAGTAGCAAGAACACAATCCACCAACAAGTGAGAAGTAATTCCAGACAAATATGTGCAGGAGAGGAGAAAAAGGATGGTGCAAAAGAAGATACCATCCCTTTCTTACAAAAGAAAGAAGAACTTGCTGCCTGAATGTTAACCTCTCAACAGCCAATGAACACAAATCTCCTGGGGCAAATCTTCCAGATTAGTGGACGGGGGCATCAAATCTTGGCTCATAGAAGCAAACCTGACTATTGTATGACTGAAGAGCACGGCCTGCAATCCAAGACCAAACCTTTCTATCCACATCATAAAGGAGGCCCTTCCCTTGGTTCCAAGATGTGAAACAGATAAGATTGTCCTGTCCAGAGCACTCAAATCTCTCAGCTGATCGCCTCAACAAAGCTCGAAAATACTTGGGTGGCATTCTACTTATCTCCACCCACATAATCTTAGCATGGTCCAATTCCCAAATTCTCATACTCTGTAGAGTACTATACATACCAATTCTTCCAACCAGAAACAGGCACTTTTGTGTCCCAGCAACCAAATAACCATCTAACAGAGATCTTGGGAACTTTGCTGGAATATGCTCCCAACATCCAGAGTCCAGTCCATACATCATCAAGCCAAGTGGTGAAAGGGTTTCCAAATACAACCTGGAGTTGCAATATGCCATCTTCGAGGAGCAAAGATTAACCGCGGGCATTATCTGGTGGACTGTCCACTTATCAATCTTTGAATCAAAGACTTCAGTGGGCAGCAACTTATCACCATAAATATCACTAGTGGCTATAACCTTAAATGATTTGTCTGTTTGATCCACAACCATAATCAACTGTCTTTGTTGGTTATAATTCATGCTTGGCAGTGTTCTCCAAGTTTGTGTAAGAGGATTACATAATAAAGTTTTGAAAGTTAGACCATCAAGTCCAGAAAAGCAAACTAGACCACCTGAAGAGCCAACCAACCAGAAGGCCCACTGGGGCAAAAAATTGAATGGAATTCTATACCATGTTTTTAATAGCAAGCTAAAAACGGAGCATTGTGGAGTCTGTGAGCTCTTCCAAAATGTAAGTAGACAAGGCCCATGAGATGGCACTCGTGAGTGAAACTTAAGAAAACTATTATCTTGAAGTATTAACTTCCATCTTTTACAAACTGAACGAAGCCGGAATATCATAAATGGGGGAACCCTTGCCAAAATCTCATTCAATAAGTCCTCAGGCAACGTTGCCCATATGTTATCTTCCATTTGAACATCAGGATGAACAGCCTTACCAAATGTAGCAACTGTTTCCTCATCTAAACCCCGCGGTTTAGTTTTTATCACCTTCTGCCTAGAAGGACTGGTGTTCCTCAATCCTACACGACTCGACGGACTTGTATTCCTCGACCCACCACCCGTAACAGGTGACACTTGCTTAGTACAACTCTCCTCATCATGAGAAGCCCCAGTTTTCATCGACTGGGAACTGGATGCTCCAGACCCAGATTCAGATGATTCCCCAGCACCTCCCATAGCTATTAACCCTAAGCAACCCAATGTTGTTGGTTTTTCATAAAATCCAAGTTTAAAACCCAAAGACGCTAGTTTTCAAGGTCAAATAATGAATTCTAGTACCAAGCAGATAATTCCTTAACACATTCCATAGCTACTAATTCTCGAAACCCTAAGCAACCCAATTTTGTTTCTTATCTTAAAAACCAAGCTGAATGCCCAAATGCAGGATTTTTACACCCAAAGATCCTAGCTTTCAAACATAAAACAATGAAATCAAGTACCAAACAGCAAATCACAAAAACCCAATCAGAACAATAAATTTCTGAACAATACCAGCACTGTGCTTCTGTTAAAAAACCCAACTTTTTAATCAGATCCAGGCATGATAATCTTGTAAACAGATAACTATGAATCAAAGAAATGATGGAAGCATTGAGTTTAAATCAATGAGATGATAAAAGAAAACATAGAAAAGTTTGAATCATGGAGATTATTGAGATAGGTTACCTTAGATTCAAAGAATTCATCTGAGTTTTTTGCTTGGCGAGGAGAAAACTTTGTCAAAGAACTAAGGAGAAGTAAAAGTCTGGCATAGAAATGAGAGCAACTAACGTCGGGAGTAAGGACTTTCTATATTTTGTCATTTTTGAGAAAAATATAAAATTTCAAAATGGATTTTTAAGTGAAAAAATGGAGGCCCATCTGGTGATAAGTAAGAGAGACCGTGCCATTGGATGTCCAATGAAGACATGACACCGCAGCAAACTTGGAATTGATTGGTCAATGACTTCAATGGTTATGTCAAATGCTTAACACTAATGTCCCCACTAATCACTCTTTTATCAATGGCAAACGTTAGAAATTATTGCAAACATTTCTCGTTAGTAAGTCACAAGTATGGATCCAGGGCAGTTGATGAGGAGGTGTTGAAAAATTAGACAGATTAAACTTTGTGATTTGATTTGGGTATTTGGTTTGTTGTTGCCTTGTTGAGTTCCACTAAATTGTTTCTGCCTGGTTGTTGAAAGTTTTGTTAGAGGATTGTTCTTGCAGATATGGTGGGTGGGTCTGTGAACTCCAAAAATTATCCTACCTTTCAATTTTTAAGATGAAAGTCCTGTTTTTCTCAGATATGGTGGCTCAGCCTGAAAACTCCTATCCAAGGCTCGATTGAAGTTCGATCTGATAGGCAGCCAAATCCATGAACAGATTTATCACAAAATTCGATGTAAAAATTTCTAAATCAGAGGTTCTAAGTTTTAACTAACGAGTTTAAGGTAATGTACTTATACATAAAATAAATATAATGTAGAGCAATTCTAAATTATTTGACAGTGTTCTCTGGTAAGATTATTTTTTTTGTTACAAGCCTGTTTCTGTTTCATAAACTTTGAACAGCATTGCTCATTCAAACAGAAGGAAGCTTTGTAGCTACAGCCATATTGCCAGGAACCAGAAGAATTTTAGTTGATTCATTTCTGCTTCTAGCTGTGTATGTTTCCACCTGTAGCAGGATTTCCTGTTTTTAGATAAATAAAATTTTACCTTATCCCCCAAAAAAATGCCAGGAGAAAATAAAACAGTGAGAAAAGTGGAACAATCTATATTTAAAACATCTCTTATGCTATTGGTCATCATTATTTTGAAAAACTGGAATTCAAAAGAAGAGATTAGAACATTAAAAAAAATGTATAAGATGTGAAGCTACTGCTTTAAAAATTGATTTGATCGGAGATTTTGCAGCCATTAAGCATTGCAACAGATATTTTGGAGAAACTAGAGACGTTATACCATAAAAATTGCAGGAAAGGTATATACTAGTATGATCACTTGAATGGATTTCAACTTACCTTTGCGTTTGGAATAAATTTGATGGAGTTGGATCTCCTCAGTGGCTCAAAACCAACTTTCAGTCTAGATACAATGCAGAAAGCGGACATTTGATCAAAAGAAATCTGATAGTTTTAGCTTTTTATGCTTGTGTTCATCTCCATCATCAGGGGAGCTGAAATTTTCACTGACATTGTGTCCAGATCCCTTTTCAATAATAAGGCCATCATTGTCATTCATATTATTGCCATCTTCAGTTATTGATCCTCCAAAATGTAGACTGTTGGCATCTGACTTGAGGGAAAGCGAATTCGGATCAACTGGTGAGTTGGGTTGAATCATATCAGGATCACAGCTCTTCTCTTCATCTGGGATAATTGGCAAATGAGCACCACTACTTGATTCAATTCCCTCAAGTCCTGGTTCCATTCCCTCCTCATCAGAGCTGAAATTTCCTCCGGATTCAATCATGTAGTCATTAGATCTCTTTCCATCAACATAGAATACATGAGCACCACATTTCTCCACCTTGATATCATCCAGGGGGATTTTTTTATATTCATCTCTGATGGAGAATTTAAACAATGCCTCTTCATAATGCTTTTCCTCCATTAGCATTTCGCTATCAAACAAAATTAACACCCGCTTGGAAAACTCCAAAGGCGTTGATTCATCATCATACATTGGCCATTGCCAATTAATTTTGAAATTATGATAATCACCGGATTTGGTTTTTAGTTGGTATTCACAGTCAACATCAAGACATAATTTATGAGAGCGTTTGAGATCAACCACCATGCATAGAACAAAACCAAAGAATCTGCCACACCTATCGGGGCCTAAATTGGCGATTACTGATGAATTCGTGCTCTGATACTCAAAGCTTCCCGAAATTTCACTTCCAGGAAAACAGCAAACCACTTGCCCTTTATAACCATCTGGATCATAAACTTCCTCTGTCAATTCCTCTGCCAATTGCTTTGCTATGCATTGAGATCTGAACATTGTACTTGCCACAATGTTGTCGATTGCATCTTGATCCAGGTCAAAGCAATCAGAGAATATGATGCATTGCCATGTTTTACTCTCATGGGATGCACATTCATATTGATCCATGCGTGACACATTTTTCAATGACGTGCAGCCCTTTGCATCAAGCCATCTTAGACATGGTGGAAGCTTGGAGATTGATTTAAGGCTCTTGCAGTCTCTCATATTCAATGTGCAAAGGCTTTTAAGCCTTGAGATAGATGAGGGAAGTTCTTCTACTTGAGTGCCATCCAAATCTAATTGTATTATGTTCTCTGAGACGTTCGGAAATTTGGTGATGTTCATGCAACCAGAGAGATCGATACAATCAAGGGTATCTAACTTAACGATACTAGATGGTAGATTTTGAATGTTTGAGCCACTCATATCTAGATATTCAAGTTTATTCAGACACCCTATCAATGAAGGCACTTCTTCTATTTGAGTCTTCCTCAATCCTAAACTTCTTATGCTTGTTGGAATTTCTGGAAATTTGGTGATTGGGCACTCACGTATATCCAAAGAGCTCAGGGATGTCAAATGATGCAGGCATGGAAGATCAGCCAAACTTCTGCACTCCCCGATTGTTAATTTTTCAACATTTATAGCTTGTGACAGATTTGAGATCCTTATCAAATTTTGGCAATGTTTAAGATCAACCACTTTCAAGTTCACGAGATTCTGAGCAAGATGAAGATAAAAAATAACTAAATTAGTCAAAAATTCAAAGTCTCTAATGAAATGGAAAAATATGAAACAGAAAACTAACTATAACTAAAATTAAGTTACCTGGTTTCCATTCCAAAGTTGTTCCATATTGCAGTAAGTTAATTTCAATTCAACAAGGTTTTCTGGACAAAAATTTGATGGCAAAGATTTCAAGGGACAATACTCCCAATGAAGATACCTTAGCTCATCTGGAAGAGATTTAAGATCTTGATTCAAAAGCATCAATTTGCTCTCCTGTTGATCACTAAACAAATTATAATAGAACCTAATAATTCTAAGATTAGCCATCTTTTCGAAAACCGAAGGAGATAACTGGAGCACACCGATTTGAGCCATGTTTAAGGATATTCCTTCAATTGATTCAGTCCCCTAGCAATCAAAAGCAGATTATCAAACATCAAGATAATAAATTTACTGGCCAGAAGTTAATTTTTTATCAATATGATACATTAAGAAGAAGAAGGTATATATAAATGCAGTAAGCTCTTACCTTGTTACTTTTTAACACACGATACACATCCTCAGGACTCCATAACCTACTGCGTTTACCAGGGTACTTGGATTCCTGGCGAACAATATCCCAACCCATTTCTTGTACCAAATCATGCATCGAAAAGGTGTTCATCATTGAAATATTAACCAGGCACTTATCCATTAAGTTGCTTATTCCAAAATAGGCACCTCTGTAACAACTTTTTAGCAATTTTGTTACATCGCCTCTGTCTTTCCCTTTAAAGAAGCATGCGATATCAAGAAATATATTCCTTTCCAAACGGTCCAATCCATCATAACTGATCTTCAGTATGTTAAAAATTTTGGGTTCAGGATATTCCTTTAGTTTATCCAGTGCACTTTCCCAGTATTCTCTTGGTTTTCTGTATAGTGTAGGACCCAAAACTTTAAGAGCAAGTGGAACGCCTCCGGCATATTCCACAAATCTATCTGATAGATCCTGACAATCACCAACTGGATACTGTTGCTTGAAGGCATATTTAGAGAAGAGATGAAGAGAGTCATCCTCATTCAACCTCTTTACTTCGTATATCGAATCAACTCCATTCTCGAGTACTTGTTTATCTCTAGATGTTACAATGATTTTACTTCCAAGACCAAAATGTTTAACACCCAAACGTTCTATTTGGTCTGAATCATTAACATCATCAAGGACAACAAATACTCTTTTACTGCGAAGCCTGTCAAGGATCAAAGTGGATCCTATAAAGCGAGTGCCGATATGGATTTGTTGTTTCAATATTTTTGAAAGAAGCTCATCTCGTAAAGATTCCATGCCTTGTTTTTCTAATTTCTCACGAACATTCAGAAGAAAGTAATGATCATCAAACAGGGGAGAGACTTCATTATAAACAATTTCAGCAAGAGTTGTTTTGCCTATTCCACCCATACCACAAATTCCTATTATACAAGTTTCTTCTTCAGGAATTCGTAGCAAAGATAAAATTTTCTTCTTTTGATCATCTATTCCAACAAATTCTTCAGAACTATTCAGAGACTTGCTATTTAATTTCTCTATAACATCTTGAACGATTTCCTTAATGTATGCAGGTTCCGATCTAGCAAATAATTTAAGATGAAAGTTAAAAATTAATTATTTTTCCATAAGAAATATATATATATTCATCATATACAATTCGATGAATAAGTTATAAGTTTGAACCGGAAAAGTTGAGGCTAGAGAGAAAAATCTATTACATAATAGAAAAAGAGCATAATAGAGATCACATCTCTTGTAATTATAATTTATAGAACCATATTCTAGAGGTGGCAATTGGACAAGTACGGTGATTCGAATTGATATGCTTCCAAGTTTGGATTCGATTTGAATTGTTTTGAATTTTAAGCACTTTCAGATTTATATTATTTTAAATTCAAACTTTTTTAGGTTCAAATTCTTATAGGTTAGAGACATATCGAATATGAAACATTTCAGATGCAAATCAATTCAAATAAAATTTGTTTCGAATCCGATTGATATTGTATCAAAATTGTTGTCATTTTGGGTTATTTCATATTTGAATAATTTTAAATTCAAATTGTTTTTTGTTCAGATGACAGTAGATTCGAATTGTGGATTTAAATCATTTTTTGAGATTCAAATTTTTTTTCAAATTAAGATTTTTGACTTTTTTTCCAATTAATTTAAATTGAATCGTGTTCGATCTAAAAAAATCAGGATGATTTTTCAGATCCGGTCAAATTTTAGCAACTTTGATTACCAAGAATTCATAAGGGTAAGAACTCTCCCCGGTTGAATGTATATTTACCCTTCAAGTTTGATCTAATTGCCCAATAATTTTCAACCAATAGAAATTCCCAAATTCTAATTGATTTCATTCAAAATTTTGAGTCAAATTAATATCTAATAACAGCAAAAATCAAATGAAGGAACCAAAAAAACTAAATCATCAGGATAAGATATAAATCAAATGGAGAAGATGAAGAAACAGTTACCTGTCAGAGAAGTGTCCCACTATATGCCATCCTTTCAATTTTCCTATTTCAGTAAATGCAGCTTTCCATCTGTTTGCATCATCTGGGTTATTTATTAGATGTTGATCGAAAGATTTTTTAAAAGTCCCACCATGTTTGCGCACATCAGAGGGATCAACATGGTAGAAGATGGGAACCACATCCTGTTGTTGAGCACGCCTGCATTCCATGATCTGGAAGAGCTCTGTCAAGCATGATTTCGAAGAAGCATAGTCTTTGGATAAGATGACTATTGAGATCTTTGATGCTGCGATTGCTTTCAATAATGCTGGAGAAAGTTCCTGTCCTTTTTCCAGTTTTTCGTCATCGAAGAAAACTCCAATTCCCTTGTCTTCCAAAGCTCTGAGAAGATGGCTGGTGAAGTTATGGCGAGTGTCCTCACCCCTGAAGCTCAGAAAAACTTGATACATTGATCGACGAGAGGAGGAAGACGAAGAAGCCATGGAAGCGAGGGCCAGCAAAAGTCAAGATCACCGAATTATGTTACTTTTTAAACCTGCTTCGCATCTTTATACTTGTACAATTCATTCAAAAAAACAATGGGCTAAGAGAACAAAAGTCAAACAAATTCGTCTGTTTGCAACCAATTTAAATTATTACCCAAATTAAATATTCTTTTATGCTCCGCGTCCGCGTGAGGCATACGTTTTGGATATATACTTTTTATTTGTGAGATACAACAGCCAAAGGGAAGTTTCAAAAGCGTGAGATGAGAAGGAAGTTTCCTACACGTTTCCAGGACGATTTATGATCTCAAACAATGCCTTAATTCCTTGAATTATTCCGCCAAGAAAACAATATTATAGAGCTTCGTGCAGTTTATTTGATTTGTTTATTCAAGAATCTATATTCAAAACATCTCTCATGTATATATATATATATATAATTTTGAAATATCCTATTACAAAAGAAGATACTGAAACATAACACAGAAATTTACAAAATTTTTGAAAGATACTAAGACATATGAAAGAAATTTACAAAATTTTGGCACCCAAGTTTCCAGACTTTCTTTGAATACATCGAAATCTCTTTCACCTTCTGCCCAAATTCACAAAGAGAGTTGTCTTTTACAACAATTTGCCCTGTGAAAGAACACAAATGAAAGATGGGGACGAGGAGGAGCGAGTAAGAAGCAATAAGCAGTGATAATAAAAGTATAATAATATGATATATATATATATATATATTTAATTATTGAAATCCACTTACCTAAGTTTGCCGGAGTTGGAGTTGAACATGATCAAGAAGCCAGAGATTGTTGAGAAGAGAGAACATTAGTCTACATCATCAGAGCCAAAACTTCATTTGTACTTGGTCAACCGACCTCCTCATAATCAACTGGAGAGGGGGGTTTGATCATATCTGGCTTGACTCACCCTCAGAGTTGATAATTATTCTTTCTGCATTCCCATAGAATATATGAACACCACATTTCTTCACCTTGAAACGATCGAACCGTCCGTTGTTAGAGTGACCTTCGATGTAGAATTTAAACGAGGCCTCCTCATAATTCTCGTCTTCTTGAAGCATATTGTCATCAAACCAAATGAAGACGTGATTGGACTGAAAACGTTCGGGGTCTTGATCATCCACCCGATAATATTCCCATATACTTTTGAAATGACGATAATCACCGCCTTTGGTTTTTAACCGAAATTTGCAGATAATCCGAATAATCTCAACATCATGTTCATCACAATCAACCACAACACATGGAACAAAGCCCCAGGATCTAACACCCTGCCAATCTGGATGCAACTTGACAGTTTTTGAAGAATTCGTGCTTTGATACTTGAACCTTTCTGAAATTTCAGAGCTAGCAACAATTGCTTCAACAAATTCATTTCCTGGCTTCTTCTTTACCCATTTATTTGCCATGCAATGAATTTTGAGCAGTGTATTAGCCACAATGATCTCAACAGCATTTGGATCCAAGTTGAAGCAATTACCGAATCGCATGAGGTGTATGAGAAAAATTCCTCCATAAGGTGTATATTGGAATTGTTGTGCTCCCGATACACTTTTCAATGATGGGCAATCGTATACATTTAATTCTGTTAAACCTAGTGGAAGCACTGGTACAGACTTAAGGCTCTTGCAACCTTGTAAATAAAGAGACGTTAGAGTACTGGGAAGCTGTTTGACGCTCGTAGGAAATTCCACTAGAGTTGAACAGCCCGAGAGATCAAGTGATCGAAGAGATTTCAACTCAACCATACTGTCAGGTAGAGTTTGAATCATTGACCCACTCAAATCCAAATGGATAAGTTGATCAAGAAACTTGATTGACTCGGGAACTTCCTCTATTGCATTGTTGGTTAACTTCAAGCTCTTCAAATGCTGTGGGACCTCAGGAAATTTCTTAAGATTGCTACAAAGATTAACATGGAGGTTAGGTTCAAGAGATACCAGATGAATCATGGACGGAAGTTCAAGCAAGCTTTCACAACCATCTACACTCAGTCTTTTCAACTTTTTTGCTCGTGAGAGATCTGGGATCTTAGTCAGATTCTTGCATCTCTTAAGGTCGATTACTCTTAAATTCACAAGAGTCTGTGCAATGAAAGTGAGAAAAAAAATGATTAGTTTAACATCTCTTTGAATTGTACAGAAAAAGGAAACAAATATTAAAATTGAAGAAATATACCTTAATTCCTTCCCAAAGTTGTTCAACACTGCTATCAGGTAATCTTAGTTCAACAAGGCATTCTGGCATAAAATTTGATGGGAAAGATTTCAATGGATAGTACTCCCAAGAAAGATAGATCAGATCATCAGGAAAGCATTCAAGACTATGTAGAGAAAGACTAAATTCGCCATTTGAAGAGTATGGAGGGTTGTAGAAGTTAAGAAATCTTAGATTTGGCATCCTTGTAAAGACTGTTGGAGATAGTTGTATTTCACGAATTTGAGACGCATCTAGAAAAATGCCTTTCATTACTTCATTTTCCTACAGTGATCAATGGCAAAAAATTAGCACAAAATTAAATACATAGGCATCTAAAATTTTAATTTAGGAAAAGGTTAATGTATTCAGCTTCTTACTCTCTGATGTCTGAGAACTTTAAAACCATCTTCAGAGGCCCACACTCTACTACGTTCCCCAATGGGTTCCTCCCTGACAATATTCCAACCCATCACTTGAATCAAATCATGCATCCACAACTTATTGCCTTTTGCAAGAGTTAAGAGGGTTCTATCTTCGAGGACGGTTATTCCACAAAGAGCACCGTCATAATAGCAAACATCCAGTAATTTTATTACATCTTCTTTATCAAATCCTTTAAAGAAACATGCAATATCAAGAAATATGTTCTTCTCATCATCATCTAATCCGTCAAAACTAATCCTCAGTGCAGTATCAATTACCTTATTAGGAACTTCTCTAAGTTTATTTAGTTGACTCTGCCAGTAATCTGCTCTCTTTTTATATAGTGCTCGACCCAAGACTTTAAGAGCAAGTGGAACGCCTTTAACATATTCCACAATCCTGTTTGATAGATTCGGAAAATCAGTGGGAGGAACATTCTGCTTGAAGGCATGCTGAGAGAAAAGTTGAAGGGAGTAACCATCATTTAATCCTTGAATCTCGTACGTACTATCAACTTCATTCGTAAGGACTTGTCTATCTCTAGATGTTACGATGATTCTACTTCCAGAACCCCAGTGATCATGACTAATAACTAAAGTTTCGAGTTGCTCCGAATCACTAACATCATCAAGGACGACAAGAACCTTTTTCTGTTGGAGTCTATCTTTGATGACAGTGGATCCTACTGTGGGAGTGCCTATATGGAGGTTTTTTTCTTCTAATACTTCAGAAAGAAGTTGATCTCTTAGAGACTTGATTCCACCAGATTTCTCTGACTCCTCTCTAACATTGTGAAGGAAGCAACAACTTTGAAACTGATCTCGAACTTCATTAAAAACAGCTTCAGCAAGAGTTGTTTTGCCCAAGCCACCCATTCCCCAAATTCCTATGATGCGAATGTCTTCCCCACCAATGCACAATAATGATTTAATACGCTCCATCTGATGATCAATTCCAACCAATCCTTTAGACTCATATAAAGACATGCGATTTAGCTTCTTTATAACATCTTGAACGATAAGCTCAATATATTCAGGTTCAGATCTAGCAAAATAATTCAAAATAAAAGTTCAAAATTAATATACAATACCTCTTTTGTTCATAAAAAAAGGGAAAACAAACTTATCTAACATATACAATAGAATCAATGAATTATAATTTTCAACTGGAAGTTGAAAAATAAAGTACAAATTAAGGACCCCAAAAAATTAAAAAAAGATAAAACAAAGGTAATTTATAAATCCAAGAAGTTGGAGAAATAGTTTACCTGTCAAAGGGGCCTCCCTCTATATGCCACCCTGCTAAGCTGCCTACCTTAGTAAAAGCAACTTTCCACCTATTAATTACTTCATCCGGCTCCTTTTTTTGGTGCTTGTCAAAAGAGCCTTTAAAAGTCTCAGCAATTTTCCGCACATCGGACGGATCGACATGGTAGAAGATAGGCAGCACAAGCTGTTCGTTAGTAACCTTGCATTCCATGATTTTGGAGAGTTCTTTCAAGCACGAATTTGAAGAAGCATAATCTTCAGATAAAACGATGATTGAGATTTTTGATGTTGCAATTGCTGCCGATAGTTCTGGTTCAAGTTCCTTTCCCTTTTCCAGTTTTTCTTCATCGAAGAAGACGTTGATTGCCTTGTTTTTCAGATGTTTAAGTAAATGAGCGGTGAAACCAAGGCGAGTGTCTGCACCTCTAAAACTCAAAAAAACTTGATATGTTGGTCGACAAGAGGAGGAAGAAGAAGCCATGGAAGTAAGTCAAAAGGAAACAGAAGACAGCAAGGTTCGAAGCAAACGAATTGCATAACGTTCTAAACTCTGCTTCTCCTCATTTATATTTGCACATTTGGTCCGAAGGTAAATAATAATAATAATAAAATACATAACTGATCACTCAATTACCAAGGTGTTTTTAAAATGATAATTGAATTATAAAATTTTTTAATTTATTAAGTGTTTTCTTTTTCATCACACATTTATCTTTAACGGCATACTTATATGATAATATCAAATTAAATGTCAAATATCATAGATTACTGTCACATCATTTGATCGGTTACGTGACATTACTAATATAACATTATAAATTTTTTAAAAAATAAAGACAAAGTATACTTCAATCACTTAACATTTTAAGTATTTATATCTGGTCATTCAACTTGAAAATTTTACAATTTGATCATTGATAAATAAGTTCTCAAAATTTTTAAAAAATAAAAATAAGTATTTTATATTTTTATTACATGAAATTTAATTATAAATTTTATTTTATTGTAATTATGCCATTTAGATTTGAAAAATGGATGAATATTATCCCTTTGATAAAATTACTTAAATATCATTATTTCATATCTTTGTTATTCAACCTATCCAGATAAATTCAAGTAAGTTATAATTATAATAAAATTCATAGTTTCAATTTTAAGCAATAAAATATTAAGAAAAATATAGATATAAACTTTTTGTAATTAAAACTTTAATATTATGGAATATAAAATTTATTAATATTACATTTGTGAAATTTATTAATATTTTGCTCTTCATCGTCAGTGGCTCATTGTTATTGTAAATTTATAATTATTTGCTCATTAATATCTGTGAAATTTTAATATAAAAATTATTTTATCTATATTTCTTTTAATTTTTATTTACATGAAATTAAAACTATAAGTTTTCATTATAATTAGAATTTTGATATTATGAAATATGAAATACTTCATTTTATTTAGATTAACTAAATAACAAAATTTTGAAGTAACTTTATTTTAACAATTTTGACAATTGGATAATATTCTCTTATTTTTCAAATTTAAATGGTACAATACAATACAAATTTTATATTTTAATTTCCTACAATAAAAATATTAAATACTTATTTTTAATTTTTTATAAAATTTGAGAATTTATTTGTTAGTAACAAAATTATAAATTTTTAAAGTTGGATAATCTTAATAGAAACTTTTAAAAATTAGTGATTAAAGTGTACACGGTATTTATTTTTTCAAAATTTATAATATCATGTCAATAATATCGTATAATCTCTCAAATAAAATGATAATATCACGTGATATCTGATGGTATTATCACATCAATATATTATTATAGATTAATGATTGGATAATAAAAAATATTTATTCAAAATTTAATGATTAAATTAAAAATTTTATAATTTTATAAACATTTTTAAAATACAATCATAGTCAAGTGATTAATGATTTATTTTTTAACCAAATTTATCATAGTTTAATTATGTAATGTAGCAAGAAAAACAAAAAAAAAAAATTGATAAATGATTCTTAAGCTCTCAATGCTTGGGTGGCTTTTTGTATATAGAAAATTACCCTACGCTGACAATGATCTTCAAACTGAGCCCTGCAACTCGAAGCCCTCTAAAATTTAAGGATTACAACAACACTCTATGTGACAAAAGAAATAGAGTGAAAACAAAATAGCAAATGAAGAAACAAGTGACGAAATAGAGAGGAAAGAGAGTGAAAGTGAAGAGTGAAGCTACGATTTGGGTTACATAAGTATTATCGTTTCTTGAAATTTGAAATCAACGTATTCGAGTGGGGACGAAAAAGAGAGTAAATTATTTGGTGGCAATTTTTTTAAATTATATTTCTGCTTGGATTAATTCTTTTGTCAAAGTCATACTTCAAAACATAAGTTGATTCGTTTTCCAATGAATATTGTATTATATATCAATAACAATGTAATCCGAAATACAAATAATGAACGATATATTTTTTTATAATTTATTAACTTAATTATTTTATTTTAATTAATAATTAATTATAATGCAATTAGGTGCACACTTCTTGTCCAATTTCAACATTAATTTAATTATGTAATGTACCAAAAAAGACAAAACTAAACATTATTTTGATAGATGATTAGCATTCTTTATATTATTGCCTACTTGATTTGATAACTTGATCTTCATACTGATCTCTTAATTATGAACCTAAACCCCTCCAAAATTTCAGAATTACAAAAGCACTATATTCAATAAATGAAGAACCAAATGACTAAATAAGAGAGGAGAGAGAGAGAGTGAAGGTTGAAACAGAGGCATCGGAACAATTTGGCTTATTATAACTACGAAATTGTTGTTTCTTCAAATCGACTCAACACCAAAAGCGGGATGAAGAGATGATATTATTTTATGGTGGCAATCTTTTTTTAAATTGTATTTCTGCTTGGATTCTTTTGCCAAAAGTCCTATTTCACGGCAGGAGTAGTTGATATGTTTCCGGGTTTAGATTATCAGCAACAAATAATTTTTTCTTATTCAACTACCGTATTAAAGTAGTTTTCTTCGTCAGGCTCAACCAAAGTCAGGGAAAAAGACAAGATGGAGGGCACAATATTTAAAATATTAATTGAGCATTATAGCTTACAACGTAATGCAATTATCAGTAACTATTAATTAAGGGCTAATTGCACAGATAGTAGACAATTATAAAGTATAATTAATTACTGGATCTAGACTCGGTTGGGGACGAGACAAGAAAGAAGAAAAGCCAAAGCTGAAATTAAAAACATTGAATTCCTGTCTTTGACCCAAAGGTCCCAAACCATACAAATGTCTCGAAGTTGGTTTTTGGAGGGAGGAAAAGCAAGACAAAAATGGCGATTACAGAGTCATCAATGAGATCCACTAGACTCTTATTTCCCACCTTTCAAATTAACCAATGTACGTACCGTATTTTACTAAAGCAATTTTGATCAAGCAAATGAAATTGATTAAGGTTCAAGACCAGATAAAAGTTAAAGATTTGATGTTCAGTTTGAGTTGAGTATTTGAAAAAAATAAAAAATATTGAAAAATCCACCGATTACTCTCCCTCTTATTTAATTGGTTTTAACTCATCAATTATTTTTATCCATAGTAAAGGGAAAAGGAGATGGGATAGAGAGGTTCGAACTCCCATTTTACATTTTTTTTTAAAGTCAATTTTATTAAAGCAATCAAAAAGTTACAAAGCTAGCTAGCAATAGCTAGAAAATAGTTGGAATGGTGGATTTTGTGCGCACTTACAGGGAGGCAACTTGCTTTGCAGATGCACTAGCAAGAATGGGGGTTGATGCAAATGAGTTTTTTTCGTGCTTGGTTATAATTGTTAAAAATAATAAATAAGAAAAAATAATTAATAGAAAAAATTTTTTATTTTGAGAGGTGAAAAATATTTTTTTAAAGACAATTGGACTTTTAGGATTTATAGGAAAAAGTTGGGCTTTTATTTTTACCCTTTTGGGGAAAACTTGGGCTCTCTTTATTATTAGCTGGCATTGCCATGATTTACATTTTTCTTTGCCTATCATGGCCCTAAAATTTCTAAATTACAAGACACTCCGAAGCAAAACAAAGCTGAAGAAAACAAATCTTTACACTCAGACAAGGTTTAAGGCAGCTACTGCTTCCCTTTCTCTACCATTTTTTTTTTATATCTTGAAACATTCTTTTTCTCAAACCCATTTTCTCTTGTCTTAAAATCTTCCAGTCCCAAAAATTACACTTCATTTTCAGTTTCACCTTTTGTTTATTAATAATTTTCATGCATCAAAACCCCATTACTTATTTATTAATATACAGTGCCCAACCCAAGATTTAAAGGGCAAGTGGAACGGCTTTAACATATTCCACAATCCTGTTTGATAAATTCTCAAAATCAGTGGGAGAAAAATTCTGCCTGAAGGCGTACTGAAAGAAAAGTTGAATGGAATCATCGAAATTTAATTCTTGAAATTGATGTATGTCATCAAGTGAATCAACTTCATTCTTAAGGACTTAGTTTATTTCTAGATGTTACAATGATTCTACTTTCAGAATCCCAGTGATCATGACTAATAGTTTCGAGTTACTCCGAATCACTAACATCATCAAGGACGACAAAAACCTTTTTCCGGTAGAATCTGTCCTCGGTGACAGTGGATCCTACTTTGGATGTGCCTTGACGAGAATTTGTTTGTATACATGCTTTAATAAAGAATCAAAAAATTTATTTCAAACAAAATCCATCATTTCAATTATCTAAAAAAATAATTCATACATAATATATATCTCGAATTCTATTAGAAAAGTGCACCATCAAAGTGAAAACATAATATGCTGAATAACCAAAGTTCAAGGATTTGCAAAGGCTATATTTACAAAAAACAAAAAAAAAAAAAAATCAGTGTAGTGTAAGAACCGTTTGACAATCTACTATCCCAAAATGCACTCAAAAAGTAGAGATATGCGCTATCTTTATCGTTTGCGGACCAGTCAAACCGAAAAATTTCATCCTCCAAGATGGGCTCAAAATCAGTTTCCTTGCAATGGAGTCTGATGTTGTTGCCTTGCCTTCAAAATCAGCCATCTTAGGCATTAGCCTCCTACCAGTAAGCTTATTGTTAGATCTCTTATTTCTACAAGTCACACTTTGTACGGAAAAAAGTAGATAGAATATTACATATACATGGACATTCACTTTATAAATACCCCAGGAAAAGGTTTCATGCTAGAAGCATGCATGACATAATTTAATACTACTTGCACACATGGATATTAACATCAACAAGGATATAAATTTTCAAAATATACTTGCATCCAGATCCTCGCAGTCATCAAAAAACCTGAAGATATTTTGAGATGCACCAAAATTTCAGCAAAACTCAAAAAATACCAAACACCAGAGATATAATGGTTTTATTAGCATCAATTATTGAGCCTCTAAGCTACACACTGAACTCAATAGGCTAAGATAAAGCTACAAGAAATAGGCAATACAAAGTGAGTGAGGGAGACTGGAGAGGAAGGAGTTAAATCTAATGTAGGATCTACACATGTCATGGCAGTTAAAGCAAAGACACTTTAAAATGAAGTCACCTTGTTAGAACTTTTATATTTTTTAGAAAAACTTAAGAACTAAGGGGAAATTTCTAAAAGAAGTAAAAAGAAAAAGCACAAAAATAGAAGAGATGAGTGGAGCTTGAGATAGAGATCATAAATCAAAAGCAAAGAAAAAATAGAAAGAAGGGAATAAAGGGTTCAGACTCAAGACTCCAAAAGAGAGAGAGAGAGAGAGAGAGAGAGAGAAACACAAGAATCTTACATAAAGACTTCTGCATTATGCTACCAGATAATTGAAAGGAATAGATTCAAACATTGAAAATTACAAAATTTTGACACCCAAGTTCCTTACGGATTTGTTCAACTTGAAGCATCCTCTTGCTTCACTTTTCCCTCACATAGGGAGAATACCTTTTGCAGCATCCTGTGAAAGAAAATAAAAGGAAAGGAGGCAATAAGTAACCATTAGGAAGAAAAAAGTTCTTCAAAGAAATTCAACATCTAACTCTGGAAAGAAATTTCTTCTTATTTTTAGGCTTCAATTTCTCAAACAATGGAGATATAAAAGGTTTCATTTTCTCTAACATTAATAAGTATTGTTTTGCTTAAATATAAAAAAAATTTAACTAAAATTAAATTATCTAATCTTTTATCATTTTATTGCGATATATTGAGTGTTCAAAATTTTATTTTTATTCAATATAACTCGTTAATTGAACAGTTAATTAACAGTTATCACATCTTACAATCACATGGCCTAAATGATTAATTTTCTTCTAATCGAATGTTTAATTGAGTAAAAATAAATATTTGATGATTTAATTGACTATAATAAAATTTTTAAAGTTTAAATAATAATTTAATTTTAATTCAAAAGCTTTTTTATATTCAGACCGAAATTTTTTTCATCACGATTAAAAAATGAAAATGATGAAGCTACTGCTTTTTAAAAAAATTATTTGATTGGAAATTTTTTGGTTATCGGGCGTTTTGTTACAACAGATATTATTTATAAATTCAAAAACTAGGAACAATTCATAAATGTTTTTTATTGTATCATTTGCATTAAGGTGAGAATTCACTATATAATTATATAGTAGAAAAAGTAACTAGTGTCACAAATTAAATCATCCACTTACATTTGTAGGCCCTCGATCAAAGGAGAGAAAATATTTTAATCTTTTCGGCTCTGGTTCATGTCCATTATCAGGGTTAAAATTTCTTTGATCTTCCTCAGAGTCAGAGCCAAAACATCTTGTCTGCCCAGTATCTTCTTCAGTCTGGAAAATTTCACTGGATTCAGCATCATCAGAAAGCTGGACCTTTCGCCGGATTATGTCTGCATCCATGTAGAATACACGAACACCAACGCAATCCAGTTGGGCGCCAGATTGAAATTGAAATGATGCCTCCACATAAGGCATGGCTTCGTGTAGCATATTGTGATCAAAGACAATGAACTGTGCATGATCGCCGCCTTCATGATAATTCTTACGTGGGAACGATGGAGGACTACCGTTATGAAAGAAAGTATGACAATCACCGCTTGTGGTTTTCAGTTGGCATTTGCACGAAAAACTCGGAGGCAGTCCCATTTCATGACTGTTCACAACAACGCATAAAGCAAACCCCAATAATCCACTACTACTTTTATCTGGATCTAGCTCCACAGCTATTGATGAATCCCTGCTCTGATGCTGGAACTGTTTTAAAATTTGACATCCATGTAAAAAACAAAACAATTTCACTTTGCAGTAACTTGTTTCATAAGCTTTCCTTTTGTCATTAACTTTCCAATCGTAGTGCTCCTCCTCTACCAGCTCCTTTGCCAATTCCACTGTCGATCTCTCTACCAATTGCTTTGTAATGCACTCAATCCTAAGCAGTGTATTAGCCACAATGTTGTTGATTGCATCTCGATTCAGTTTGACGCAATTTTCGAATACAATTGAGTCATGTCGTTTCGGTTTGGAGAAACTATCAAATACAAACAAGTCATGTTGGGGGAAAGTAATTTGATATTGTTCCGTGAACGAAACTGTTTGTAATGACGTGCAACCACCTGCTTCTATTTCTTGTAGAAATGGTGGGAGCCCTAGCAATGATTTAAGTCTCTGACATCTTTTCACTTCCAATTTTTTAAGGCTTTTAAGCCTAGAGATTGATGACGAGGAAACTTCTTCAATTGAAGTGTTGTCCATATATATTTCTTCTATCTTCTCTGGAAAATTGGGAAAGTTGGTGATGCTGGTGCAATCAGAGAGGTAAATAACTTTAAGAGCATCCAACTCAACAATACTACTTGGAAGATTTTGAATCCTTGTGCTCCTCATATTTAAAACTTGAAGTTTATCTAGACACCTGATAGATGATGGCACTCCTTCTACTCGAGTCCCAGCCACACATAATTTTGAAAGATTTCTGGGAATTGCTGGAAATTCAGTGATTTGGCATTCAAGGAGATCTAGATCAGCAAGAGATTCCAACTTAGAAAGATTGCTTGAGCAACTCAAAGATAACCTTCTAAGTTGTAGGAGATCGCCGATTGAATCGGGTACTTCTTCAATCCCAGTGCTAGTTAAATCTAATTCATTGAAATGACTTGGAAACTCAGGAAACTTTTTGAGATTTCGACAATATGATAAACGTAGCCGTTTAAGAGACGTCAAACGTTTCAAGCTAGGAAGTTCAACCAGATTGAAGCAGCAGTCACACACTAATTCCTCAAGGTTTATGGCTGATGAGAGATTTGGGATCTCGCGTAACTTAAAGCAGCAGTTGAGGTCAAGCACTCTTAAATTTTCCAGAATCTGTACGAAAGTGGAAGATAACTAAATCAGTTTTAAGTCTTTAAATTGTAGGCCATACTAAAAATGAAAAAAAAATAAATAAAAGAGAGAAGTAATTAATGAACATAAAATATTAATCTTTGAATGAATAAGACAATAAATAACATTGAATAAGAATACCTGGTCTCCACTCCAAAGTAGTTCGATTTCGCCATGCTGTAATCTTAATTCGACAAGGTTCTTTGGACAAAAGTTTGATCCCAAAGATTTAAACGGATAACAATCCCAATGAAGGTAGCATAGCTCATCAGAAAGAAATCCCGGATCGTGGTTGAAAACCCAATCGTCAGAGAAGAGATGTGCTAAATTAATGCAAACAGGATAGAGCTTGATAAATCGAAGATTAGTCATCTTTTTAAAAGCAGCAGGACAAAATTGTAGAGGTTTATCTATTGCACAGGATATCCCTTTAACTGAATCTGTCACCTAATAACCAAAAGCAAATAATCAAGTATCGATATAATGAATTTTACTTGCAAATAGACGCATGCATATTTATTTATTTATTCACATGGAAGAAGAAAAAAGTTAGTGTAAAAAGCATTTAGCTCATACCTTGTCATCTTTTAACACGAGACTAACATCTTCACGTCTCCATAACCTACTGCGTTTTCTAGGATCATCCGACTCTTCGAAAACGATATTCCAACCCATTTCTTGTAGCAAATCATGCATCCAAAGAATCTCTTCAGATGTATCAAGTAGGCACTTGTCAACCAGATCGGTTATTGCATATCGTGCAGCTCCTTTATACCAACTATCCAGTATTTTTGTTACATGCTCTCTGCTTTCCCCTTTAAAAAAACATACAACATCAAGAAATATATTCCTTTCCACTTTATCCAGTCCATCAAAACTAATCTTCAAATTATCAACAACTTCTTCTACCGGATAATTCTTTAGCTTACCCAATTTACTTACCCAATCTCCTTTATGCTTTCGATATAGTGCAGCACCCAAAACTTTAAGAGCAAGTGGAAGGCCTCTAGCATACTTTGCTACCATATTTGATAGATCCCGAAAATCAGCAACAGGATTCTCTTGCTTAAAGGCATATTTGGAAAAGAGTTTAAGAGAGTAATCCTCATTTAACGTCGTTACCACATGTATTTGATCAACTCCATTTCTTAATACTTGTTTATCTCTGGATGTTACAATGATTTTACTTCCAGGACCAAAATGTTTAACACCCAAGCGTTCTATTTGATCTAAATGGTCAACATCATCAAGGACAACAAGTACTCTTCTCCTGCGGAGCCTTTCTTTTATCACATTGGATGATATAAAGGGAGTGTCTATTTGGGTTTTTTGGTTTAATACTCTACAAAGAAATTCATCTCGTACAGATTCGATTCCTTGTTTTGCAATTTTTTCACGAACATTCTGAAGAAAGTAATGATCATCAAACCCAGAGGAGACTTCATTATAAACAGCTTCAGCAAGAGTTGTTTTGCCTATACCTCCCATTCCACAAATTCCTATTGCTCGATGAGTACGTAGCAAAGATAAAATTTTCGCCTTCTGATCATCTATCCCAACCAATTCTTCATAATCACTAGGAGACTTGCTATTCAAAGTCTCTATAACTTTTTGAACGATTTCCTCTATGTATTCAGGTTCAGATCTAAAAAATAAAATAAAATGAATGTAAACATTTTTTCATAAAGAAAAAAAAAACCTTAATTCAACATACATAAATATGATATCAAGGAATTACAAGTTTCAACAGAAAATTAGTTGCAAAACAAATAACAAGGGAATACTATTTGTTTCGAAAAAAATAACTTTCAAAAAATAATTTCTAAATTTTCAAGTATTTATTCGATAGAAAATAAACTAGTCAATGAAAAATAAGTTTTTGGTCAATGAAAAATAAGGTGATTTTTCTAAAAATTATCTTCTCCTAACAATTTTCAAAAAAAATTATTTATAAGTAAAACTATTTATTCATATATTTGAGTATAATGTTAGACTTTATGCATGATTTTTTTAAGTTCAAACTTAATTTGACCCAATCTAAAATATTATTTATTATTAAATAATATTTTTATTTAATTTTACTTAAAAAATAAAATATTAATATTAAAAGTCTTTTAATATTTTAATTTTAAATATTTTTATAATTTTACTTAAGTAAGATTTTGAACATAATACATTAAATTCAAACTTGATTTGATTCGATATAAAATATTATTATATTAATAAAAATATTTAATTAAATTTTAATTAAAGAATTAAAATACTAACATTAAAAGTATTTTGATATTTCAATTTTAAATATTTTAATTTTGTATATTATTAAACATAAATATTTTTAATATTTCATTAACAAATAGTAACATATTTTATTTTAATAATAAATAATAACATATATAATAATATTTTTATTATTTTAATAATTAATGTTAAAAACTATAATAATATTATTTTCTTAATATGAATATTTTTAGTAATTTATTATTATTTTTTAGTTTAAAATATAAAGTTTTATATTTTGTTTATTAAGGTATTTATATTACTATTTTAATAATGAATATAAGTATAAAAGATTTTGTTATAATTCAATAATAGATACTTTTAATATAAAATATAGATAATTTAATAGTATAAATAGTTTAATAATAAATATTATTTTAATATTAATAAAATAATATTTTAAAATAGTAATATTATTTTAAATATTTTAAAATATTAATATAAAGAATACTAAAAAGTTTGATTTTAAATATTTTTATATTAATATAATATTTTAATACTAAATATTATTATGATATAATTATTTTTAAATATTAATAATTTTAATAATAATGAATTTTAATATATTTTAATAATAAATATTTTTAATATTTTAATTGTTATATTAATATTATTTAAACAAATAAAATTTTCAAAAACCAATCAAACAATAAAAAAATTTTTATTAATTTATTCAAATAATAAAGAATTTGTACTTTTTAAAGCAATGTAAATTTTTTAAAAAATTAATTTTACGAAACAAACCAAACTAAAGATTTATAAAATTTAGATAAAACCATAAAATCAAATCAAGAGGAAGAAATAGTTACTTGTTAGAGGAGTTTCCCACTATATGCCAACCATCTAGTTCTCCTACTTTAGCGAAAGCACCTTTCCACCGCTTTACGTCATCTGCCGGCTTCTTTCTTTGATGCTTATCGAAAGATTTTTTAAAATTTCCACCACGTTTTCGCACATGGGACGGGTCAATATGGTAGAAAATGGGCAGCACAAGCTGTCCCTTAGTAGACCATTCCATGATCTCAGAGAGTTCTCTCAAGCACCATGAAGAAGCAGCATATCCTTTAGATAAAATAATTATTGCTATCTGTGATTCTGCTATTGCTTGCAACAGTGCTGGAGAAAGTTTCTCTCCCTTTTTCAGTTTTTCTTCATCGAAGAAAACGTTGATTCCACGGTCTTTCAAAGCTTTGAGTAGATGACTGGTGAAGGTACGGCGAGTGTCTTCACCTCTGAAGCTCAGAAAAACTTGATGCTCTGGTCGAAGAGAGGAGGACAAAAAAGAAGAAGAAGAAGAAGAAGAAGAAGAAGAAGAAGAAGCCATGAAAGAGTAAAGATCGTAAGACAAAAGAAACAATAGATCCAGAACTTGAGACAAAGAGATACAAATGAAGCTTTTTTAGTCTCCTTTTATTTCATTCCTTCGAAGAAAAATTTTTTATACTACTTAAAAAAGAAAAATTTTAACTTAAAAAAAAAAAGTTTAACGTTTTCATCATTTGTGTTATCACGACAAAGCTTATTTATTACAATATTTTCGAAAACAATAATTTAATTATTTTTTTGGCAAATGGTGTCCAATCGTATTATAAAACAATTCAACAAGAGGACCTCAAAGTCAAGTCATTAATTATAGTGCTCGGATTCTATTTCAAAAATCCAACTCGGGAATAATAGGACTTGAATTTGATATGTTAAATTCCATGAAAGCCGTACTCATGGTTTTTGTTTTCCCATTTTGTTTCTATGTTATTTTTGTTAGCCCCAAAGAAAAGTTTCCTTCATGTTTCAAAGGGGACTTCCGGAACTTACATGAATGGAACTGTGCATGATTATCTTTTCAATTGTTGTGTATTTTCTATTTAGGAAAAATTAAAACATTGGTGAATAATCGAAAAGGGATGACAGCTAACAAAAATAAAATCAAGGATAGTTATTCACCTTCACCGTGGTGAAATTTCGATAAAAAGATTTTTAATAACTTAATTTCTTTAGTGGAAATTTGGATCCTCCAAATAATTCAGTCATCCCCGAATGATACTTGTCAGAATAATTCATATATTCTCAAATTGATTTATTATCAAATTCAAATTTCAGTTTAAATTTGATCAAATTTATTTTCATGTTAAATTTCACTCACAAAATTATTCAAATTTCAAGCTCAATAACTCAAATAATTTTAAATTAATTTGAGTAATATTATTTCTCAACTCAAATAAAAATATTCATAATTTCAAACCTAATTTAAATAAGAGAAAAAATCAAGCATAACAATCAAGGGCCTTCGCTTTGAAGACCTTGACCTTAACAATTGAGAAAATGGTAGCATAACAATCAAAGACCTTGACTTTGAAGACCTTGACCTTAACAATTGAGAAAAGGGTGGCATATCAATCAAAGACCTTGACCTTGAAAGACCTTGACCTTAACAATTGAAAAAAGGGGAGTACGATAAAAATTAAGCATAGGTTGGATTAGATTTGGTTGTTTGTATATTTGTATTATATAAAATATTAAAATTTATATATTTTTATCTTATATTTTTTATTATAATTATATATTATAATTCATATTGATAAAAAAATATAAAATATATTTTTATTTTGTTAAACTTAATATAATTATTATTAAAATTTTAAATCATATTATTTTCATATTTTTTTATATCATATTTATATTATTAAATTTAAGTTTTTATCACCTTACGATTTTGCAGGATAAAAGTCATTCAAATCATGCTTAAGTTTAAAATTAATTGACATGTTTTATCGTTTTTATTATAGTGAAGATAATTAAGTAATTTTGTAAAACATTTTATTAATACATTTATAATAAATTTTAAATAAAACATAAAAATGACGGTGATGTTTTGCATGTAGTAAAAATATAAATATAATTGGAAGAATTTATAATAAATTAATATTTTTAAATATCTCTTCGAAGTCAAGGTCTTCGGAATGGGACAACAAAACTTTAAATTTTTTGTGTTCTTTTTTCATAATTGGGACATTACATGTGCGAGTGAGTGAAATTTCTTGTCAATCCTTGTGTATTTACGATCTAGAATCTTAATGAAAAAAGTAGTCAAAGGTGATCATTCACCGTGTTGAAATTTCAACACAATTTTCTCAAGTGTTGTCAAATTTTTACAAAATGGGTTGTTGTCGTTAGAAAAAGAAAAGCTTTGGGATTCTGTTCAGATTATTGGATTAATTAGCAAAGGAAAATTATGATAAGAAAAATAACCAAAAATTTTATGAGATCCAATTAATATCAACCATTTGATAATGGTGAGACCATTACAAATCGCTGGATGTTGCTTTTTGGTGAGATGGTTAGAGATCAAATGGTGTGAACGAGTGGCTTTAAAAAAAGTCCAGTTTATAGTCTCTAACGTCTGAATTTTTTGTTCTAATTCTTATTCTAAGACAGTTTTCTATTAAGAGGTTATCGATAGAAATAAAATAATTTGATTTTACTTTAAACCAAATTGCTCCTGATATTAAATTTGATTGAATACCTCCTACATTGATTTAGCAGGACTGGTAAACATTTTATTAAGTAAAACTGCTAATATTGATGTCTTTACTAGTAATAAAAAGAGATTTTATAGTAATCATAATTATACCTATATGTATATATTTGACTTCAGAATATTTTTATTTACATTTTTTGATTTTTTTTTTTTTGTAAAAAGAGGAATATCAACAAATCCTTGTTTAAAATCATTTATGATTGTATCACCATTAACTTTTTCAATGTGATGTTATATCCAAGGTTGAAATTTTTTTAAAAATAAAGCTTTATAAATCTCATCTTTTTTTATGATTTGCATTTGAGCAATTTCTTCATCTGTAAAAATATAACTTTCTTCTATTACATCTATGAAAGAAGTCACTTGTTGTGTTTCAACAGAAGAAATTCCAGTATTTGTATCTTCAACAGGGTTTTAGAAGAATTTACGATATTTAACATAAAAATATATTCTTCTTCAGTGTCAAAATCTGTTTCAAAAATTAATTCATAAAAAAAAAAAAAAGATAGTGGATTGAAGAGATAGACTTTGTTGCCCCATAGGCCTAGTATTAACTTCCTATTAAGAAAAAATAACAAATTTAATAATTATTGGATAAATAAATTATATTTAATTTATTTTTTATGATAAAGAGTTTCACGTTATTTTCTTAATTTTTAGTAAATTTTTTAATTTATATAATTATTATATAAATATAAAAAAATGAATTTGATGTTTTATAAAGTTAGTATTTGATAAACTATTAGCGTAAATTTTTAATTTCATGAATGATGTTAAAAAATTGACCAATGTCTTATTTTTATTTTTAATATATCTTAAGGGGATGTGTCACTCTCTTAATTTCATTTATAAAATTTAAAATTTTCATTATTAATATATTTGATAATTTCTCATATTCTATATACAACATAAATAAGTCATATGGAAGAAAATTAGCTTTGAACCATATCCAAAATTCAAATGGTCAAAATTTAAGAATACTATATCAATTCATTTAAAATATTTAATTTTTGTAAAGTATAAGTTAGACAATTAGACTTATCAAGCTACAAATTTCAATGAATAATTTTCCTTTTAACATTGTCTTATGTCTACATTATCTATTGAATAACATTAATCAAATTTAATTAAAACATTACATTTAAAATTAAGACTGACATACTTCCAACATTATGTCAAGCCAATTCTAATTCTTTGTACGAATGTTTAAATGATATAAAATCTCTAAATCAATTTTTATAAATAATATATTTTGGATATTTTATATACCTTTTAAATATGAAGAATGAAAATTATGCCAACTAATTAATTAAAATTTTTTAACAAATTTATTTTTAAAGTTACAATCATAATCAAGTATTACATTCATATAACCAATTAAATAATTAACTATTATATCATAATCAATTAACAAATTAAAATATAATTAATAAAAATTTGTGTAATATTTGTACCCTATAAATTTTCTTGTTTCTTTTACATTTTGCCTTTCATTTTGTTTCAGAGTTTTCACTTCCTTTGATAGATACACAAACAGACTAATACATATATATTAACTTAATATGCATTGCAATCCAATAATTTTTTTATTGGTTTTAGTTTTCGTAATTGCTGGTAATAAATTGTACCACTAAATTGTATATATATGGATCTTTTTTATAAAAAAATTTATTTTTTAAAATTGTCTTAATTTTGTCAAATTCTTATATATGAATGAAGTTTGTGTAGTTGTTACCTGTATATAACCTTTTCATATATTAATATTTAGATTTAAATAAAAGTAAAATATTGTTTTCTTATGCATGTAGGGTTCCAGACGTGAAGAATGCTTGTTGCATTGATCAATTTAGAATCAAACCGTAAACCAAATTAGGGATGGCTGTAAGTATATAAGAATGGGTATCGAGAACTACTTGACCCTATTAAGTAAGATTATAATATTTTATATTCGAGTTTGATAGGATTCAGATAATAAAATTATTAGCCATCATGGATTCAGATAGAGTTTAAGTAGTGATTTTAAGATATCTATTACCTGAATCCGGTTATAAATCATTATTTTTTAATATTATATTACTTAATTATTTATTATTAATATAATACTTAACTAAATTAACTTATTAAATATTTTAATTATAAATGTTAACTGCAATTTATTTTTTATGAGTTAATTTTAATTTGTTAATTTAAAATTTTGTAATAATATGTAGTAAAATTGATTTTAAATTTAAGTTTGAAAATGAAATTTTGACTTAATAAATGAGTATTTAGTGAGTTCGGATAATTAATAAATATTTTTCATATTATATATATATGATTAAAGTAATATAAATAAAAAATATTATAGTAATTATCATATTCGAATATTTTGATAACTATATGGATTTAAGACCGAATATCTAAAAAATAGCGGTACCTTAGCCAATGATGGTCCTAGACCACGTGCTCTAAACTTAGAATCATGAAAGGGAAGAAATCAACATTTACACTTTGATGAATATCATCCTAGTATGTAAACATTTTGTACTTACAAGGTGGCATTTGAAGGATTTAACCGGGCCAGCCCACTCATTTTGCCACCCATATTCACATCCAAAACTATTTATTATTCCTCATATCTTTTGTTAGCTGATCCTGCAATAATTGCTTATTTCGGTAAGATATCTGACAAAAATCTTCATTGTGACAAGATGCTTTATATATTTGTATTTCTTGGTACCTATAAAACGCAATTCTTATAAATCTTTTAATTTTTTGATAAGTTATATTGCCATAATAGCCAGTTTTGGTAAGTATCTCATAGAAATCTTCTCAAATATTGTAACAAAATATTTCCATATAGTAATGTGAAAAGATACTATATATATTTGAATTTCCCAATGCTTATAAAACACAATTCTAGCCATATCTCTATACATTGACAAAATTGATCAGCAAAAAA